AATTTGCTCTGTGGGTTTTTTTGAAGCCTTTGGAGTTGATATAACATCATTTTGAAGCTGTAAATCAGCTAGCTTAGCCAATTCTTGCTCGTCCTTAAGCCGTTGCTTTTCCGCAGCCTCTTGCTCACGCTGCTCACGTTTTTCTTGTCGGATTTGAGCTCTTTTAACCTTTTCGGCCTCTTTAGCTTGCTTTTTAAGCTGTTGTTGAAGCTTTTTATCATCTTTATGAGCCTGCTTCTGCGCGGCTTCGTCATTTTTTTGAGAAATAATATCACGAGCTTGCTGAACCTTAGTAGGGCTCATAAAAAGCGCTCCACCATCTTGTTCTGATGGTAAACCTAGTAATAAAGGCTGTTTCTTGTTTTTAGGCTTCTTTGCATTTATGAGAGCTCTTTTCAGGCCTTGATTCTCATTTTGAAGCAAGATAAGCTGAGTAGAAAGATGTGACACCGTTTCTCGAAGCTGTACAGCCTTTTCATCATAAATATTGTTAACAACAGTTTTAACAAGCTTCTCAAGCCGTCTCCAATCTTCTGGAGGAATAATTGAAGCTCCGGATTCGCTTGAGGATGGCCGGCTGGTGATTTTCTTGTTGAATTTGTTGATAACAATCTCCGGATCAAAGGGATATAGACCAGTCGTTCTGAATGCTGAATTGATATTCTTGCTTATAAAAACCTCATTCCAGCTAGCCCAAAAAAGGCGAAAGAAGTCACGTTTAGTGAGCCGGGTGAAGCCTTGGCTATCCCTTATAAAATCATCCAATTGCTTCGTATAAGCGTTAGAAAGAGGCGAGAAAAGAGCGACATCAAGAGGCTGTAAAGTATGTGTTGCATGAGCCGGAAAGATTGCTAATAGAATTCGATTCGAGTCGCAGTATTCAATAAACTTCATTGTAACGTGGGATCCATGCCCATCGAGGATAAGAAGGCGCCATCCCCGGCTTGCTTGAGATTTTGTCTCTTTATCAAAAACATCCACCAACCAGCGATATCCGATATCATTATTAGTCCACCCTGACTCTGAGGCTGCAAAGAAGCATCTCTGTGTTTGGGGATCGTAATCTTGAAGCCAAGAATCCTGTATAAAGCCCGATTTTGCCATATAAATAAGACTAGGCGCTAAAGCAGTTCCATTGGCACAAATACAACCAATTGTTGTAATCCATTCTCGATTTCCATCCTGAAGATGCTGTTTATAGCCCCCTTGCTCATATTTGCGCCGAGTAAAGATTCTTTTCCGTTTTGTGCTTACTCCAAGCATGAAGCCCTTCTCATCCATATTATAGATTTGCTCTGGGCCGAGGTTATATTCCCGTATTTTCCGTCCAATAAGCTCAAAATATAAAGCATATTTATATGCCGAATCTGCCTTTTTTCTATCCGAATCAAGGCCCGTTGAATAGCGAGAAATCACCTTATCCGAATGAGCCTTGAGCCAGCGTGAAGCCCAGTTTTTCCCAGGCTCTTTACCAGATATTTCTCTTGCAAAGTTCGCTAACATTGAATTTGTAGGGGGCAGGCCTCGCTCGGTGAGTTGATTTATCCATTTTATAAGCGCTCTTGATTGCGTGGTGGTGAGTATTCGTTGCTTGTCGTATTGCTCTTCTTTTGAGCCTGTAACACCGTGAAAACGTTTATAAAGGCCCGATTGGCTAACGCCGTATGTTCTTGCAACCAAACTAATATTAGGCTTTTCTCCAGGATCCGCTGAATGTAATGCTGCAAGTGCGAGCTCCATTGAAGCCATATTGGTTGATATATCGCGGTGTGAAATATTCGCGATTTTTCGCGTTTTGGGGTAAATTTATTCCTCAGGTGGGTTTATTCCTCAGGCGGTGAGGGACGGTATTCCTCAGGCGGTGAAGGACGGTAAGGATTAGTGTGCAAAATCACGTGTCAGTTGCTGTTGACGACACGCTGGAAAGACGAGTTGCGGCGGAGCTCAGCTGTAGCCGCTGAGACATTTTGCTGACAGCCCATTCTTGTCTTTATTCATTTCACGGCCGTCGTGTTTTCTTTTTTACGAATGCGAAATCCGATGTATCTTTTAATCAATTACCGTCTCGAATGAAATCTTTTGTCCCTTTGTGCTGACATCTGCAAGGTTCTTGGCTAGCTCGGTAAGTTCGTTGAATCGATCACTTTTATGGACACGTCAAAACGAGCGAGCTTGAATTTGGCAACCTAAGATTCTTGGCCTTTATTTGACTAATGTAAATCTTTAGTAACCATATAACAAGATGCCGTCGTCAGGACGGGCATTGTTGCTGTCCTCGTTGCTTCTATTGTCATCCAGTACATCGGCATTCTACCTTCCCGGTGTCGCGCCGACTTCATACGATGAAGGCCAGTCGGTACCGCTATATGTGAATCATCTCACACCTGGAATCGCCAGACAAGATGATCAATTGCACGCTGTTCTGTCGTACGATTACTACAACCCTATATTCCATTTTTGCCAGCCCAAGGATGGACCGGCCGATGTGAGGGAATCATTAGGCAGCATCATATTTGGAGATCGCATTCGCACATCGCCATTTGAGTTGCACATGGCTAAGAATGAGACCTGTAAGGCTGTTTGTGGTGAAGTGGAATTTGGACCGCGGGATGCGCGGTTCACGAATAACCGCATTGCTCAGGGGTACAACATCAACTGGCTGGTAGACGGGTTACCTGCTGCTATGTTAAATCTCGATCCCATCACTGAAGCGGAGTTCTACAACCCGGGCTTTCTCATGGGCTATGTTGACGAAAATGGCCAATCTTACCTCAACAACCATTTCGATATTATCATCGATTATCACGAGGTTGGCCTCGCCACGCAAGACAAGTACAGGGTAGTAGGTGTGCTAGTTCAACCGGACTCTCGTGGCGAATCTTCTATCGATGCCGATAATCAAGTCGACTGCGGTGAAGAGGGCGGCCCGATGATGCTGAGCGAGGAGAACCCGACAAAGGTCGTTTGGACCTACAGTGTCTATTGGAGGGAATCGGACACTGCATGGGCAACACGATGGGATAAATATCTCCATGTTTTCGATCCTAAGATCCACTGGTTTTCCCTCATCAACTCTACTGTTTTCGTGGTCTTCCTAGTCGGCATGGTCAGCATGATTCTCATCCGTGCGCTAAGGAAGGATATTGCTCGATACAACCGGCTTGACCAAATTAACCTTGATGATCTTAACGGCACCTCTGTCGTCGAAGATGGTATCCAGGAAGACTCGGGCTGGAAACTTGTACACGGAGACGTCTTTCGCTGTCCGAAGAGTCCACTGCTTCTTAGTGTTTTGCTTGGAAACGGAGCTCAATTGTTTGTCATGACCGGTGTCACTGTTGCCTTTGCACTATTTGGCCTGCTTTCTCCCGCTAACCGAGGATTCTTGGGAACCACGGTTGTCATCCTATACACATTGCTCGGTTTTATCGGAGGCTATGTTTCCTCTCGCGCCTATAAATCGTTTGGCGGCGAAGCATGGAAACGCAATATTGTCATGACGCCTCTTTTGATCCCCGGTCTTGTCTTTTCCTGGTTCTTCCTATTAAATTTGTTCGTCTGGGCCAAAGGATCGAGCGGCGCGGTGCCATTTACTACCATGCTTGCGGTGATCGCTATCTGGTTTGTGATTAGTCTTCCGCTTAGTTTTGCGGGTAGTTGGATCGGATTCAAGTCCCCAGTAAGTGCTTGTTTTATGAGAAGCCCGATATATATACCCAGTACTAACAAGATTGAACAGGCTTTTGAAGCTCCTACCAAGACGAACCAGATTCCCCGGCAAATCCCACCTGCAGTTGGAACGCTTCGTCCGATTCCATCGCTCCTACTCACTGGTATTCTACCATTCGGAGCCATCTTTGTAGAACTTTACTTCATCATGAACTCTCTATGGACCAGCAAGATCTACTATATGTTTGGATTCTTGTTTCTCTGCTACGGCTTGATGGTGATTACGACCGCCGCCACCACTATTTTGCTCGTTTACTTTATGCTTTGCGCTGAAGATTATCGCTGGTCATGGCGTGCCTTTGGCGGCGCTGGTATGACCGGATTTTATGTGTTTGTGAATGCCCTCATTTTCTGGGCCACCCGAGTCAGCTTTGGAGGATTGACTGGAGCTGTGCTGTATGTTGGATATTCGGCCTTGATTGGCTTTTTGGTCTTCATCTTGACTGGTAAGTGCATCCATTCAATTCTTATGAAAAGAGGGTTTCACTAACTATTAGACAAGGTACAATCGGCTTCTTCGCAAGTTGGATGTTTGTCCGCAAGATATACAGCTCCATCAAGGTGGATTAAACTTCTGCAAGATGTACAGGAAATAAGTACAAAGCTCAAGCAGAACCATCACATACTCATCTCCTTGCGTATGACCATTTAAGTAGACACTCGCCTTAGCGGCATACCCTGATTCGAAGGATGTCTACCTCTTCAGCCCCAGAAACAGGACGCTAGCTTTGTATTATTCTTTTCTTTCCCACTGTGTGATTCTAGCCTTCGTGTGATGTCCGCTGGGTTTTATCCTCGATTTATATACTATTCGTCCACGTCTTATTTTTGTCTTGGTCTGTTGACTTTTTGTGCCGTTTTCATGGAACAGGCGTGTATATAGTTTATAGATGGCGCATAAAATGGATGATTAATGCAAGGCTGATGTCGAAAGGCTTCGTTTGAAAACTATTGTGTTGATAAATCGGTAACCCCAACCCTAACCCGCCAAGCGTGGCGCAGCAGTCGGTCCCCCGCGGTTATTGACGAGAACGTCATGGATCATTCCACTCTCTCCTACAAGTCAATTAATCATTCATTATTCCACTGAGATACTCAGTGAGATCTGATTCTATTTGTGCCCTCTGACACTAGCCCTATTCTGCGACAACTCCTTACATACTACGTACTGCTTCAGTCTAGCCTCCTGCTACATACCCCACGCCACCTCCGACAACAGCCCGCGCTTACGGAATTGCAACTCCAGAGGACTATCGCTGCTCTCGACTTTATAGAGTAACTATTGACAGTCTGTTCTTGGTTTTATAATCTTGTTATTTGGCATTTGCAAGTCAGCAGCATGGGTCAAAAGTAAGTTGTTCTCTTAGGAAGGAGTCAGCATGTGACTGGCCGCTGGGGACGCCGACTCGCAATTAATCAGTTGTCTATCTCTTGGCTATCATGCTTATTCACATCATGATGCTGTTCCTCTTAGAATTAAATGCGCTGAGAAATCCGATTAACTGATACTGTGCAGGCAGTCAAAGCTTTCCCCACAGCAGCTGGATGAGCTGGTCAAGGCCACCCATTTCGATAAGAAGGAATTGCAACAATGGTATAAAGGTATACTATCTCTGTAAGGGGAATCGCAAGCTTGATTCCATACTAATGTCTTCGATGATAGGCTTCCTGAAAGATTGCCCCTCCGGCCACCTCAATAAAGAGGAATTCCAAAAAATCTACCGTCAATTCTTCCCTTTCGGCGACCCCTCCCCCTTCGCCAACTATGTCTTTCGCGTCTTTGATTCCGATAATAGCGGCACTATCGATTTTAAAGAGTTTATATGCGCACTATCCGTGACTTCGCGAGGCAAGATGGAGGATAAACTAGACTGGGCGTTTCAGTTGTACGATATTGACGGCGATGGGAAGATAAGTTATGATGAGATGTTGGCTATTGTGGAAGCTATATATAAGATGGTACCATTCCTCTTCTTCCCTTTTCCCTTGAATTGTTAGCATATATGCTAACTTGTTGGACAGGTCGGCTCAATGGTCAAACTCCCCGAAGACGAAGACACGCCCGAAAAACGAGTCAAGAAAATCTTCGGCATGATGGACAAGGACGAAAACGGTAGTCTGGATATGGAGGAGTTCAAAGAAGGAAGTAAACGTGATGAGACCATTGTCAGTGCTCTGTCGTTGTATGATGGATTGGTATAGTCTTTTTCGTCTGTTTATTTTGTTTGCATTACATTCAAACGTATGTTTTTATGATTCGATTCTGACCTTATGAATTTCTGATGGCTTGTCGATATACTCGACCTGCACTGGCATACCATTGCTTCTTTTTTCTTCTTTCGGTGTTGTTCTGGCGGTTAATTGCATGCATTCTCCTGTCTTCAAGGTGACTGACCTGCTATGTATTTATTCTCTGATACTCACAAAGTAAATTGTGCAACGGCTCCATACACCTCTCCTTCGACCGGTTGGAGATGTATATATAGATACAATCATGATCATCCTGGATATCTTCTATTGAGCTCAGTAGGTAATAGCGTTGAGGTCAATGCACACAGTCATAGCATTCTGGGCCCGCCAAGGTGGATCTTTTCTTAAATATGAATCATCCTCCGGTGTTGAAACTTAAACAACCGCCTAGAGTCATCGACAGCAGATACTTAGAACCATACAATCCCAATATCAACTGAATGTCGTCTACGATTGATACGGAGACAAGTCTCCGCCCTAGACGACAGCCCAGGAGCTTCATCCGGATTATCTGATGTAATGGAGATGGTTCATGCGCCGTCAAGAATCATTTCTGCGAATGCGACAACCACAGAAGAACGAGAAAACGAGAATGAAAAGCTCAGACAACTCAAGACTCGTGGTCGCAAACCACGCGCCAAAAATCCAAAGAGATATACCGAAGATGTAGACACTATCGCGATTGTGCGCCGACACGGCGCAAATAATAATTATCTGGCCATGGACGAATATCTCAACCCTTCTCTCGCGGCTCAAACAACTTCCACACAGCATATTCAGGTCTTTGTTGACTATATCATGGTCGCATGGCCGTGTCTCTTCAAATGCACTGAGCGATCTGTGCCCATCAGTTGGGTGACATACGCCGCTTCTCGGGGCTCCGGCACAGACACCAATTCCTTCGACCTAGGACTTCGATCACTGACATGCTCGTTCATGGGCGCATCGTCGCACGACCAAAGACTGATCAATGCCGGGCGACAGCTGTACGGTAAATCCTTGCGCTGTCTAGCTAGTAAATTATCGAACCTCCAGTATACTTCTTTTAAAGAAGGTGGCATCCTGGATGAAGACATCCTCGCCGCAGCAGTCGTACTAAGCGTCTACGAAATGTACAACGGCTCTACGGCCTCGGCATGGTTATACCACCACTCCGGAATCGTGGAAATGATGCGTCTCCGCGGCGCAGAAGCGCACACCACTGGATTCGGGAGAGCAATCTACATCGCCTACCGCGGCTTCATCATCACTGCCTCGCTCCTGAAAGGGGAAGCATGTTTCTTAGAACAAAAGGAATGGCAATCCATGAGTGAACGGCTCGCGACGGAAAACGCGAAGCAGCCCGATTCGTCAGTATTTAATGAAATCGCGGAACGCGCGTTCCGTGAGATGGTTAAGTTGCCGGGTATGCTCAAACGAGTTCGAGATTTGTGGGAAACGCCGCCTGTGAATCAGTTCCTTGTTCGGCCGCAGTTGAAGCAGGAATTGGCTGCGTTGAGGGCAGCTTTGAGAGGATTACATACCGAGTTGGGTATCACGGTATCCACGCACGGCGGACCTGATAATCCTTCTGCTTTGGTTGCGAATGTCGATAGAAAGAAGAAAGATATCTTCGTTGGCCCCGTGTCGTGTATGTTCTTTGACGGATTCTCTGCTTTGACGATCCGCGGTATAAGATCTGGAATCGTCCTCGTGGATCAGCTTTTGTTCTTACTTACGCCTGAAACAAAAGTGAGGCAGATGCTTGATGAAGAAATTAATACCTTGTCGCGAGAGGACGATCTGACTCAAAACTTTGTGGACAACGTCCGGAAAGATCCGTCGCCCTCGCCGTTTTTCATGATAGATACATCTACGCGGCCATTTCCCATCAGAATTGAGAGTTTGATGGATCCACGCCTTCGTCAGGGTCCGAATACGTCTTGGACAGATCGGATTGCGACTAGTTATGGGATGTTAGGCGTGAGGATACATGTTGATTATGAGTAACACTCTTCAAACTGTATATATGTATAGTATTTCACATCGCCCATGAATATAAGGTACAACTTACTCCCATCTCAACCAATGGAAGTCTTATATTCCAATTCCAATACCTCTGCTTGAGAGGAAGAACTGATTAATCAGATGAGATAGTTGTAATTCCATTCAAGACTACGAAAACGACTGATATAGAAAGAAACATGGAATATTCAGCTATGCTGCTTACATCAAGAAACAGGGATATCATCAAGATACATACAACACAAAGATACAAATGGTATAATCAACTCAAGAATGAGGATGCTGAAAGTGTTGAAACAAAATCATCGATTCGAAGCCTCCGCGCGGGCAAGCGCCTCTGCCTCAACGGTTTTTGCTTCTTGTTCCTGCTTTGCATCACGCACTTTTGCAAGTACAATCTCTCTGAAAATGTCACCTCGCGCAACTCGACTCAGACTTCGTTTCTTCGTGGTGACTCCACCTTCTTGTGGTTGTTGTGATGAACTCGTCTCTGTTGTATCTCCGGACGGGTTCGTGACAGCCAACGACGGGAATGCAGATACAATATCCGATGCATCACGGTTTTCGACTGCCTGTCTCGCGGCTTCGCCCACGTTACTGGGGACACCAGCACCGTTCAGGTCCTCTTCATCATCTTCCTGCATCTTCAACGCTTCAATACGATTGGCCAATTTGATAATCTCGATACCGCGACGAAGCTTTGCGCGAGCCATGTAGGCCTTGATTTCAGGCAACAAGTTGTGGTCCGAGGCAGTATCGCCCTTGAGCCAGCGATGGGTCAGGGCTTGCTCTGCTGTGGCACGTTTGTTTTGGTCGGCTGTCAGGAGTGTATTGATAAAGTCCTTGGCGTCGGCAGAGACATCGCGCCAGTACCGTTCGTGGAATTGGACTTGGCCTCGACGGCATTCTTCGATTAGATCGGACATGTTTTCGGACCGGAAGGGCGAGTAGCCGCATAGCAGTGTGTATGTGATTACGCCTAGAGACCACATGTCGGCGGGTTTGCCGTGGCCTTCTTTCAGCATGACCTCAGGTGCGGCGTAACCGAATGATCCAGCCATGGATGTGAGGACATCAGAAGGGCTTTCCAACATTTTGGCAATACCAAAATCGGCCAGGACGAGGGGTGATTCGACCGCAGTGGTAGCATAGAGTAGATTTTCAGGTTTGAGGTCTAACTCGTTAGTCTGCGAATACAGCCCCAGGAATCAGGGTTGAATACCTCGATGCACAATATTCCGCTCGTGCAAATACCTCACCGCATCCAAAACCTGTTTAATAGTCTGCGAAGCATCCTTTTCCGTAAACTTGCCATACTCGCAAATCCGATCAAACAATTCACCACCAGTCGCGAGTTCAGTCACAATGTAATACTTATCCTAATCTCATCATCAGCTCACCTCATGCCACCAACTTATACTTTGTATAGACATACCCTCGACTCAAACCAATCGCGAAAGTGCACGATATGAGGATGATTTAACTTCTGCAAAGATCCAATTCGTCATAGACCATCTGCTCATTGCCGCGGACACTTTTCTTGAGGATGATTTTGACGGCGACTTTTCCGTTGGGGGAGTCTGCTTCGCGGACGATGCCGTATGTGCCTGCGCCGAGGGTTCGACCGAATCGATATAGAGATCTGTTCATTTACCATCGTCAGTACTCCATTAGTCTCTTCGTGTGCACAGTATGAACTCACTTCTTCTCATAACTCTCCGGCTGACCCTGCAGCTTATTGAGCATACCCGAGACTATAAATCGGAAAATCGTATTAGCCTTCTGTTCTTGGATGTTGACTCAGTATCTCCCATCCGTCTCTCACGATAAGTTCACGCTGTATGTATTCCAGACCATGCTTCCACGTCTCCCACAAACTGACGCACACAACAAACGCGACGACGACGCAGTCGAATATAGACAGACTATAAAAACGAGATTTGACACGGGGCGGAATGTTGATTGACATTGAACGTAGGGTAGAGTAGAAGTCCATTGCCGAGGGTAAATCATGAATTGACATTGAACATCAAAAACGTCTCATATATCATAAAAGGAGAGCAATTCAACCATAATAACAACCGAAAAGAAACAAGACTTACAACTCATTGCGACTTCCGATGCAGATAATCCAGCTGCAGATAGGGAGAAATGTTGTGTTGTTAATTTGTCCCGCGGGGTAAAAAGACGTATGTAGTAACGCACGCGACAGTGGTGCAAAAACAAACCACAAAGAAGAATTGAATTCGTGTACAAAGCTCAATTCCTCTCGCGATATTTATAAAGACTTGAGAAAAAGAAATATCCAAATATTTCAGCCTGACAGACGAGCTAGTCAAGCTAGCTTCGAGGCTGAGATGGGAATTGGACTCTGGATCTGTGGCTGAGCACGGCGGGGCAGCTGGACTGTGCGGTTTCATTGGAGAGACCAAGTACTCCGTAGAGGACGTAGAGCAGTATCTCGACCGGGGTTTCATCTATCCGTGAGACTTTTGTGTTTCACCGTGCTACCGCGTATGACGATTATTGCGGCTGATTAGGCGTTACTGAGGAAGCTAGGAGATCAATTCTTTGCCATGATTATAGATTACTACAGTTAAATAGCAGCAGTCTGCTGTATCGAGTCCTTCACCCCAAAGGTCCCTCCATCAATTGCGGCATCCATCATTCTATCCCCGGTCAGGATGCTAGTAGTACAAATAACCAACTTCCTGGTTGCCGCTTCCTGCGCTGCGATATATCTCAATGCTGCAATTTCGGTGAACGTGATACCACCGAGGAACATGATATAGACCATCCTCTGGTGGCCGAAGTTGCCGCCGGAGGATGTCAATGACTGTCTCGCACGCACCGCCTTCTCATCTCCCTTTTGCACAATGCTGAATGTCGATCCGCGGGCCGATTTTGCAATATCTTCAAACCCAATCCATCCTGGGGAAGACGTATTCGATGTATTGATTTGTGCAGTTGGACCGGCGGATAGTGCAGAGGGACCCCCTTTGATAAGCGCCATCATGTGCGACTTTTGCAAAATACACTGTACAAGTCGGACTGACAACGGCGCAAACCCGCTGTAGACATAGGATATGTCATTAGGATCCTTTTCGCTGACTTCTTCAACGACGAGTCGGAGGTTCTTGCGAAGGTAGTTGTAGTTTGTTTTCGTGCCGGCAACTGCACCGCCAACCGCTCCCGGCAGGAGCATTGCTGTCGCCGATCCTCGTGGTTGGAGAAGCTCCATTTTTTCAAGGGCACGGAATGTAAGAAGATGTTGATAGCCATATGCTTGTAGAATTTCTCGTTTGAAAAAATCCAAATCCTTAGCACGTAGGCCCCCGGACATGCACGACTCAAGGCACAGCAGACGGAGGATCGTTTTTAATGGCACGTCGCGAGCAATCAAGTCGTTAATGTTGCTGTGTTGATAGCTTGGGTCCGCTCCGGAGGCATGGCTCTGTTGAACTTCAAGAACCTTGCGAAAGATGTCCGACCGAGTTTGGCGCATAATATCTTCTGCCAAGTTCGTATGTATCTTCAAGCTTTGATGCTCTTGCTGATAGGCTGGCAGACGGTTAACAAATTCGCGTAGTTCCGCTGTTGTTTGCGCGGAGTGTCGAGTTTCATAATCAGATTCGAGTCTTCGTGCGACTTTGTTCAAGATGTCGCCGACTATGGCAAAGTTGGTATCCCTCAATTGACTAAACAATTGATCGGAAGAGTCCAATTGAATCTTCCGTTTCAACCCAGGTTTTGTAGCAGGCGCAGTAGATGATCGCTGTGCGGGAGGTTGAGTGGCAGGACCGATAATACTGGTGTCAACGTCCGCTTGATTATTTTGTATACCGACAAACTCGTCAATCAAGCCTTCGTAAGTGAGCTGTGTCAGAAGTGGCGTACCAAAATCGACCTCCCGGTCAATAATGATAAGCTGCTCAATTGATGAGCTAGGAAGTTTATTGCCATAATTAGGGCCTGTACTTGACGGCTGCTCTGCTTCGACCTCTTTCCTCATTCGAATAAGGAGGTCAGCTAATTTTCGAGCGTTATCTCCCTTGCCGGTGATACGAGGGAAATATCCATGACGTCGCTGGATGTTCATCAAGCCTTTGGCCGACAGAAATATACTACCTGGGTTTTTGTGCTAACACAGTCAGGTTTGATGCAACATCCCAATATAAAGAGAAGGCTTACCAGATACAAATCGCCAAAAGAAGTGTCAAGCTCAAGAGACAAAACATCCTGCTCTAAGGGAAGAAAGTAGATAGGGAGATCGGCAATATTTACATCTCCGGTAATGCCTGCCTCTTCTAGAATCGTATTGCTCACCAAAGTCCGTCGAGGGACCCAGAATATGGAAATGTCATGCTCAACATTACTGCTTTGACGCAGTTTCTTGATTTGTTCTGCGAATAATGTCAGCACATACTGATGGCATTCCAACACGGTACACAAAGCAAGAAAGCCAATAGGCTGCGCTCAAATTGAATAATAAAAAGAAATAATTTTAATCTAGGGAACAAGACTGATAACGAGGAGTTGGTGAAAGTCCACGAAATCTACTGAAGTCCCATATGGATGTGATAGCTGAATGGTTATGAACTCACCAGCAACCGAAGCAACCTGGTTTACCTTCTCGGCATGGACCAAAAACACAACATTCCGTTGCGAACTGTCGAGATTGCCGTTCTCCAGTAGAAATACGCGATCAACTCCATAGTCTTGGAGGACGGAGAACTTGACAAACAGTCCGACTGGGCCAGCCAGGTCTTTGCTGATGACCAAGTTCTTTTTTCCGCGAACCTATCTTGACAGTCAACGGTCGTCCCGGAAAGAACAAACAGACAAACGTACGCTTTCGAGAAGATTCAACAAGTCTCTGCGCGCTTTTTCTCGTAGATGATCAGCTTCATTCCCCGGAAGGGGAGCCATGACTTCTATGGAGGGATGTATTGCTTGCACATGGCTTCTCCTCCTGGCGAATGCAGGGATTGAAGTAAGAGAGCTTCAAGACCACGAACGTGGGAAATAGCAGCACGCTAGGCCTGATGAAGTTTAGCTCATATATCAACCCGCACCCGCCACTTTGTAACTTTCGTGTATCTCAAATACCGTAAATTACCTAGCAAATTCGTTCTTCCGCGGATAGTTTTAAAGCTCCCGTAATTGTTTTACACCCCTAAGTATCAGCTCAGGCATCGACACAGCCACCAGTGTCTCATCAGTGACAGTCACCCCCTCTTCCTTCAACTCTCCTTTACTCACTTCTAAAGATACCCCCTTCTTTATTTCTCAGTCTGTTCTACAATCACGTTGCTCCAGCTCTCATATAATCTTTTTTTTTTTTTTTTTGTTTTTTTAATTTTCACTTCCTGCGTGAACTCAGCATGAAAAAGTTCGGTTTCAAAAAGTCCAAGGACGACGGCGACGACGACTCCAACCGCCGAGCCCTCTTCGGATCTCGTTCGCGCGACAAAAGCCCCAATCCACAAGCGCAAGGAAGCAATCCCTACGCACAAAATATTCCTATCGATCCATATACACGAGCCAAGATCAACGCGGGCGTTGCTCCTGCTCCTGGTGGTACCGGTCCTGCAGGTCAAGGCTACAGTGATGTGAAGCACCCCGACGGCCCTGTCGGAAATCAGCAAGGCGGATATGCACCGAACAGATACGGAAACCAAGGTGGTTACGGCGCTGATCGATACGGAGGTGGTGCAGACAATAGCAGTAGACCTGGTGGCGGACCGCGCCCTGGTGGCTATGGTGGTTTGGGTAGCACAGATCCTAACGAGGCTGACAGAGATGCACTCTTTGGAGGTGCTCGTGACCGGGTACAACAAAATGGGCCTGGTGGACCTCCGCCACCATATAGTACAGGCGGGCCTGGAGCTGGTGGTTACGGTGGTTACGGGGAGGAGAATGGCGGTTCATCGGCAGTTTATCAAGAGCGTCAGCTAACTGCTGAAGAAGAAGAAGAGGAAGAAGTTAATGCGGTTAAACAAGAAATCCGATTTATCAAACAGGGTGATGTTTCATCTACGCGAAATGCTCTTCGCGCCGCGGCTCAGGCTGAAGAAACCGGTCGCAACACCCTTGCTCGACTTGGAGCCCAGAGTGAGCGTATTCTAGACACTGAGAAATCCCTCGATGTCGCCGCCAGTCAGGGTCGTCTAGCCGAAGAAAAGGCCAGAGAACTTAAAACACTCAACAAGAGTATGTTCGCGATGCATGTTTCGAACCCATTTACCAGCAACGCTCGTCGCCGAGAGCGCGATGAGAAATTACTCGAAACCCATCGCGCAGAGCGTAACACTCGCGAAGGAACACGTCAGGAAGCTTTCCAATCCAACCAGCGTATGGAACGCACATTCAGAGAAATCGAACGTGAAGCCAACAAGAACTATCCTGCACAAAAGAAAGATCTCGCTGAACGCGCAAAATATCAGTTTGAAGCTGACAGTGAAGATGAGGCCATGGAAGATGAGATCGATAACAACTTGAACTTGTTATCTGGAGCAGCTGCGCGATTGAATGGATTGGCGAAAGCAACGGGTAAGGAGTTGGAGGAGCAGAATCGTCATTTGGACAGAATCATGGGAAAAGTATGTTCAACCCTGCAATCCTTGATTTTGCGGCAACTAATATCGGATATAGAGCGACTATGTGGATGATCAGATTGCTATGAACAGGGCGAGACTAGATCGCATTCGTTAACCTTCAAAATGTGGACATTTCAGGCCATGTGGCTTCATTCGAGTTGTATAGACATTGCATTACTTTGATCAGTTATCATATCCTACGAGGATAGGCGTTTGGTGCATGAATAAATTCTATGTTTCAGCAATCAATTTTTTTCAATATGCAATGTTAGGTGAGATCTCTAGTGGTTATAATCCAAGCATTCATAGCTCTCGTTTCTTCTGATATCCTAGGCCACCGAATCAGCTATCATGAAATCAGAGCATCATAAATCCTTCTTATCTCTCTTCAACCTTTCCACAAACTCCTCCACCAACCCTCTATAATCCTCCACTCCATATGCTTCCAGCCACTCCTTGAGTCTGCTCTCTTTTCTGTTTTGCCTCAACCCCAACTCTTTAAGAAGCATGTCAACATACGGCATAACATCAAACACAAAATCGGGTCGCCGATTACCATGTCCGCCCACACCATAGCGCCATATACAGTACTGTGTATGAAGGGCAGTGGACCATTGGATCTCAGTGCGGTCTGGAGCAGGGAGATGCAATGAGTCGGGGTGGTAGAAGTAGGCTGCTATCCAGAGGGCTTGGACTTGAGTGATTAGCATTGTAGAGGCCGTCGTTGCCATGCCTAGAAACGCTATGGAGCGTGAGGAAGCGAGCTGAGGTGTGCAGGGGATTAGGAAGTGGTAGAGTCGTAGGGGGTGAGATGGAGCTGCTGAAAGGGTTTGGGATGGGGTTTCTTGTATCAGTGGCTGATATTCGGTGTTGAAGACTGGTTGGTCCTTGAGGCGAGGTAATTGTTGCAAGATATGTGCGTCCGCTTTCTGTATCATATCTACTGGTATTGGGTCCTCTGCTGTTGGAAAACCGAGCTCTTTTTGCGTCTCAGGGGGAAAGTTTATGGTTGGCGTTGTTCGCCATCCGGTACAGCACACGATGCCATCAGAAGACAAGAACTCGCCTGTTGACAAATGAACAGCCCCCGTTGATAACCGTTCAACATTTGCAATATGAATGCGAACTTTACCCTCGCGAACCAAATCGAAGAAATCCCTGTCGTAATTGAGTATACTCAACCCCGAAGCAACCCACAACGGCTCAATCCACGGCTTCAGCTTGGCTGTTTCCAGATGCGAGTCATATTTGTTCAGAGTTTTGACATCATTCCCAATCACAGACCAGAATATATCGACGATTTTCCTCCCCAACCAAGTTGAATGTAGGAAAGAGCGCACACCGGAATATCCGTCCGCATCTCCCCATATACACGGACTGAACCAGGTGAGTAGCCGGACAGTCATTAGCTTTTCGAGATATTTCTTGAGTGGTGTCACGAGGGCCGGGCACATCCAGATTGGTCCGTGTCCGGAAGCACGAATGATCATGTCGACGGGTGTATTGTATGTTTCTGCAATGGTGTATACGGCATCAAAAGCTGATTTTGCACTGCCGAATACTGTGACCCTTTTCTTCTCCTTTCCATCTGCATTGTTGAACAGTTCGGATTCGTATTTGTGTAAATCCACGCAATGGAATATGGGACGCTCGAATTCGTCTTGACTCTTGAATAGTCGTTCTGGGAAATAGGGCTGCGACGTTTGACCCGTTGCAACAATCAATTTTTTTGCATGAATTGTAGATATTGTACCGGCTGAAAGATCTTCAATTTCAAGCTCCCAAGTAGATGTCTGATCATCGTCGCCGGTCTTGTGTTCTACGACATTCTGCACCCTTTGCCCTAATCTGATATACCCCCTCAACAAGAACTCATCCACATATGTCTCCAGATAATCGTGCACTGTATTTCCGGGTATATGGTGTCCTGGTTTCAGATCAGAATGTACCTTCGGCCGCATAGGGAAGTCGCTGAATTCATAGCTTCCGAGGACATGGTTCGTTTTCAGGTCTGTATATAGTCGTTCCTGGGCCCATACGCCGCCGATGGAAGATTGGTTTTCGAGAAGGGCGATTTTTAGAGGGCCTTTTTCGAGGCTCACGATTGTTCTCAATGCGCAAAGGCCGGATATTCCTGGACAGTCTATCATGAGTGACAAGCTGAAATTGAAGGGGTGACGCGTTTCTTACCACCACCAACAATAACTAGGTCCAGTTCTTCCGTCTCTTCAGCGTGGGAGGCCATTGCATCCAGAACTCAGAGAAATTGTGATACTCCAATTTCGAGTCCGGTGGAGAAGTAGTAACTTATCGTCTAGCACCGACACTAAAACGAGCACTCGAAAACCTCCTTGTGCAACGTGTTCGACCTTTAACGTCCCGCGCTCAAGCCTTGTTGCTTGGACACGCTCAACAAATTCTCGGAAATGAATACGAGGTTTTGTGCGTCTATATCCACATTTGAGGAAAACATTTAGTGTGTGAAGATCTCAGGTGGAGTCGGGTTGTACTTTGAAGGCTGTGCCTATATATGAAACATTTTATACCTTGCAGGGAACAGATTCTGTGGGGTTATACTCCGTATTTTCTCACGGATGGGTTTGTTATTGACACTATTGACTAAAGTTTTGTTTCGGAAGTTTTGTCTATAATAAGAGAATCATTCTCGAGGTCTCTCTTCTAGTACCCAAGTAGACTACCTAGGTATAAAAGATAACTACACACTAGCATCTACCTGTCATAAACCAACACCGAAACCCACCCAGCTACTTCCTCTAAGCCGCCTTACTTTCCTCTACATGAATCACAGCGTTCTTCCCACCATGCTCAAACTCCTCATTCGTGACTGCCGCAACATCATCACCATCGAAATACTTTACAATCTCTTCCAGGGGTACGTAGCGAGTTTCGACGTAGAAGAAGTAGACAATGACTAATTCGAAGCCTAGAAAGCAGCAATAGAAGATGTAGTACTTCCAGTGGATGTTGTTGAGTGCCTATGTTTGCTGTTAGTTAGTATTTTTTTGTTGGCTTTTGTCGTATTGAAGGAATTACCGTAGCGTTAACGAATTGATTGAAGAAAAGTGCTCCATAAAGAGCATATTCCCTATTCATGAAATAGTCAGCTTCCATTCTTGGACACCTGAGTGAAAGTATGAACTTACATCACAGTATACCCCTTTGCACGCATATGATATGGCAAAATCTCCGTAGTATAACTGGCAATGAGACCGGACCTGAAAAAGTCAATTCAAAATCCCGTTCAATAACTAGACGACGCCCGGGAGGCTTACTTCAGATTATACCAAAGATTATAGAAGAAAATCATAAAGACAATCGACTTCCCATACGCTGGGTTAGCATTATCCTGCTTCGCATCGATAGCAGAAAGTATCGTCCAAATGACAAAGGTGAGCAACATGCCGATTGTGCTAATCAAATTGATCGGGCGACGACCCCATTTATCCACAAAGAAGCTGAAGATAATGTTCAATATGAGGCTGAAAGTAGTCAATCCTCCATTGATACCCAATTGCGTCTGAGGACTCTTGATGCCGATATTGTTCATGATTGTGGTTAGATAATAGGAGACTAGACCGTTTCCAGACCATTGTGAGAATAGACCAATTGAGAGAATCATGATCAACCGTTTTCGATTTCCGGGGGTTCGTAGGAAGTCAAGGAATGAGAAAGATTTCTGGGCGTTCTTTTCCATGGCGAGGGCTGTGGTGATTTCGGTAAATTCGAGCTGTACGACCTCTTCTTGCTCATCACCGTTGGCGTGGTATTGCGCTAGGATTTTTAGGGCCTTCTCCGGTTGATCTTTGGCAATGTAGAAGCGTGGACTTTCTGGGATCCAGGGCACAACGGCGATCATAAGTATGGTGAAGATTCCTTGAATGAGACTGGGAGCTCTCCATGCCCAATCGCTCTGTGGTTTGTAACATCAATGTTAGAAACATAACCCAAAAGGACTACGGGGATAACTCGCCTGAATCTGGAGTGTACCGTAAGTAGTCCACGCTGCAATGAACGCGCCAGACTGATAATTCGCACCAGCAATCGTCACGAGAATCGCTCGATCTTGAACTGGAGCAATTTCTGCAATTAGCAACGGCGCCGTACAAATCACCAAAATATCGCCAAATCCCAGGATCCATCTCGCGGCAATAAACATGGCGAAGTTGATTGCACTCGCCTGCAGCGCGATTCCCAATATCATAAAGAAAGCTCCTATTATCAGACACGGTTTCCGGCCAAGGCGATCCATAATGAAGGGCATGGGGACCAAGCCACTCAGCGCTCCGGCGCTCATTACACAGTTGAATAGACCTAGAGTTGGACCGGAGGGGTGATTGAAGTAATCTTGCCAGTATGAGATTGCCTGGAGGCCATTCCTAAACCTGAGGTTAGTATTGTTCAATATCTATTGTACGAGCAAAGGATTCGACTCACATCATGGAGTTATCGAACCCATTTGCAGTGTTTGTGAAGATCAACACGGCAATGAAGAAATACAATGTCCGCATATTCTTGTCTCTCCACCACTTTTTCCGTGGGAATAATCTTCCAGCTAGGTAGAAATGGCCTGGAGGAGGCTTCATTTGGGCTGGGCCTTGGGAAGGCATGATTATGTAGTCTTTACAAGATGAGAAACGATTTACTGGGTCGCTCGACGATCCAAGATCCAACTACCAGTGAAGAATGGTACCTTGCTGGTTTTATAAAATTCTTTCTGATCCCCATGGGGTATTTATCGGTCCATCTCTGGCATGCTCGTGGATAAATGCATGCTGTCTCCAAGAGTCTCCACAACCCTGCTTGAGCCACGTTGCGGTGAGCCTTTGAACTCTGGTCTACATTCTTTACCACTTGTGCTAAAACGCGGGGTGACTTGAGGCTATAATGCTGGTTGCAGGGATAGCTTCAACAAAATAGCCTGAATGCGAAATCCCACTAGTACTACAACAACTATATCCATGTCCCTATCGGCAAGCTACCGGTACAAGTGTCCACAACTCCACAAAATCCTCCACAAAATACCACCTATACCCCACGATTCTGAGAGGCTAGGCCTAAAAGTAGGGAATCACAAGACATCACACATTCAAAGGGTTATACCAGCTTAGTTGCCAATTCTTGGGAAACAAAGAGCTTCATTAGCTTGAGAATCCCCTCATCTCCTTCGCATTTCCAATTTTACTGTATATAACATATAACACACATATCTATAACGCTAGTGGTTCTTTCTCCTAACTTAATTAATTTGGAAACTTAAAACGCAAGATAAGACTGAGCAAAATAGCCAGCCAGGCTATCACACGATATGAGGCTTTGCCTTGAATAGGCTGAATTTGGCAGCAGGGTCTCCCAACACATTAATATAGAGTTGATAGGTCTGTTACACCTGACCACTGCGGAGAAGGAGTATTCCTAGATACTGGGTTTGAAAGCTTGTAGTGGTTAGGTAGCTTATGCCTGTCGTTACAGGTGTATAATGTGGGTGGCACTTCACTTCGTATTGTAGGTAGATTGTTTTTATCCGGATTCAAAGCGCAGTCCGTAGGAAAGCTTTGGGTAACGGCTAGTATTGGTCAGATTCAATGATCATGACTAGCTATGCGAATTGGCATCTCGTATATTCGGCATTTATACTTCGTTTCTTATGCCGCGTTATATGTACTAGCGTGGAAGAATACCTAGGTACTCTCTTTGTTGTGGGTAGTACATGTCTAGCTACTTGTGCGGTTTCGACTACAGCAAGTCCGAAACTCAGATTTCTCAATGTTAGGCAACTTAGGCTCACATTTAACCTTGTGAGAGCAATTGGGAACTGAGCTCGACTGCGTACTTATATATGCATTGTCAAAGAGACGGGAGAAGATCAAGCAAGACGAAAGAATGACTGGAGTCCTGCTAATACCGCTCACTCAACTTCGAATCCTCTAAAAATGACATCTATTTCCCTATCCACTTCCTTGGTGAAGGCAAATACTCCCACAATAGGCCCCACAAAATCATGTCCGGTCATTTCAAGCGTATCAAAGTCCGCAAACTCAGTCCACTGAAAATTATGCTCAAGTCGATAGGAGCATTTATAAGTTGTCTCTGAGTACTCCAGTCTCAGCCATGTCAGCGCGGCGTCGTTGCCTCCGAGATCGATGGTTATCCTCTTGGTCCTGTGAATAAACTTAGCTTCGTTAACCAATTCGAACACGATGACAGCCGGAGAGTCGAATTCACGAAATATGCGCGCAAATCGATGTTCATCTTTGTAAATACATAACCCGGCATCGAGCAATGTCCCCGTCGTAACGTGCTGAACTGCAACTTGAGAGTGGCCATGCAGCCGACGTTGTCGCTTGCCTATGAACGTGACCTGATCGCTAGTATCGGCCTGGCACAAATCACTTTCGCTCGCAGTGAGTGTGATCTCCTTGCCATTCTCCTCGATCTTGTGCGAAGTCAAATCTGCGTCTCGAATGTAACACCAGTCCATGCCAGGATCTGCACTAAGGGTCGCTACGGCGTTATCAGGTATGATGCTCCTTCCAGGCTCCAACGGAAAGCTGGACTTTACCCGGCTCACTGCTGGCCAACTTCCCTGCGTCCAGTGCACAGGGGTAAGAAAAGTCTCTCTCCCCAAGACGTAGCGTTTTGATTTGTCTTTACGCACGGCAAGGCAAACCGCCCACCAATGGCCTTGCGCATTCTGAAAGAGATCGCTGTGACCGGTGTGTTGAATGTATTCATCTGTCCCACGAGCTGTGAGAATTGGATTATCAGGATTCGCTTCGTAGGGTCCCCAGATAGACTTTGACCGCGCGACAGTAACCATATGATTTTCAAAGGTCCCTCCTTCAGAAATAAACAAGTAATACCATCCATCATGATTATGGTATATATGAGGACCTTCAGGCCATATCCCACCAGTGCCATCCCATATCATCTTCTCATCCGAAAGCTTCTGACCCGTCTTGATATCAATTTCAAATAACTTAATAGTGGTCATTGGTCCCGGCGCCGCGGATCCATGCATATATGCCCGACCATCACTATCCCAGAAAAGGCTGGTGTCAATTCCATCGAACTCGAAGAACACAGGATCACTCCACTGATTGCTCCATATATCGGTCGCCGAAACAATAAAGTTTTGGTGTTGGTCCGATGTGCTGCCATCTTGCGCGCCATGAATCACGTTCGTGCAGACAATGTAGAAAATGCCGTCGTAATACCGGATTGTGGGAGCATAGAGGCCGCCAGTTGCACACATCATGTCGCCTGCTTCGTCGTCTTCAGGGTTCAGCTTTGTGCGGCTAGCAGCGAGACTGAGTTGGGTTTGCCGGTTGATGGCATTTCCTGACGTCGGAATAAGTACATAGAGCACGTACACACACGCCGTATAGTACTTACCAATGTGTCTCCATGATACAAGATCTTTGCTAGCATATATAGGGAGGCCAGGGAAGATATGAAAACTGGAATTGACTAGAAAATAGGTATCACCAACCTGGATGGCAGAAGGGTCAGGAGCGAAACCTGGGATTATGGGGTTTATTCCTCCAGCCGGCATTTTTGCTAACTCCCAATAATCGTGCTTGAGGATTTCGGTGCTCGCAGCATTTTGTGAAAAGAAAAGATTCCGACTCCATCTGGAGATAAACGACAAAGAAGCACATATGCATATAGCCTAAATGCATTTCAATAATTTGCCGCCTAGTAGAAGTATGGACGGTACAACTGCTAGGGACTAGAAAATGTGAGGGTACTAACAAGCATCACTTGATCCTAATTCCATAATGAGTGATTCATCCTAGCTCGTAGCGCCAGGTATCATCCTTCATTTGAATAGTCTCATTTCTAAGTAGGTAAACAGTCCCAGAAAACAGACCTTCCAAGTCTTGGAATACGGCAGCTTTTTCTCGAGAAACGTAATTGAAAAACTTCATCGATCATGGACATCTTAGAGTCAATTGAGGGTTTGTTCTCTTAGAATGAGCATCGTCTTGTCCATTGGAGAACTCAACAAAATCTTCTCAGGAACAAGAGCTGGTACCTTCTTCTGTCACTTTAGCCGAGGTACGGAACACAGCAGTACCATTAAGCGCAAAAGTGGCGGTGCACAACCACCTCTTACATCATCAACACACATTTTAGCGAGACCCCAAATTAATCTGGAGATGACATTAAAGAATTGAAGTTAATTCCAAGCCTGGGCATCCCAAACAGGAAATTCGAGGTTGCAAAAGTTGTGAAAATTGAGTGAAAAAAACGTCAGAGAGTCATATGGGAGGTACTCGTGACATCATGGGTGGGGTAACTAAGCCACACTTGCTGCTTGAAGACCCATAAAATGATTGCTTTGACTACAGTTCTGGCAAATCAGGATTGTCCGATCTTTGTAGATCCAATAAATCTGGTGGACCCTAACTCTATTAGCCACTCAGAAGGCGCGACCAGACAATGATGTTCTGTGGATGATGTGAGGTACGACGATCTCTGGTGGCTTGTATAAATATTGGTCTTATTGTGTTGCCTGAATAAATATTTTCATCTCAACCTCACTTATACCACTCCTTCGGTCTCGGACAGTCTATCATCTCAAGACACCTCATCTTTTCTTTTCTATACGGTCCTAGTCTACCTTTTTCTTTTTCCATTGGACACCGTCATCAACACCATGGGCCTAGGGAGTGTCGTCCTCCGCATCCTTGCCAATGGCATCCGCGTCCTGCAATTCCTCGCCGGCGCCGTCATTTTAGGCATCTTCTCCTACTATCTCGCCGTGCTCAGCAACCATCACCTCCCCATCGCACAATGGATTCGAGCCGTAGAAGGTCTCTCTGGTGCAGCCACGCTCTACGCACTCCTGGGCTCAATCTTCACCATCTGTCTTGGCGGCATTATGTTCTTTGGGTTGGTGGGCATGATTCTTGATGCCTGCTTCGTCGGTGCCATGGTTGCTATTGCCGTTATGACTCGCGACGGAACTCAGTCTTGTCATGGAAATGTGCATACTCCCTTGGGCAGTGGTCCTTCCGACTCGAATGCTTCCGGTTATGGACGGGACGGATTCGGATTTGGAGATGGTCAGACTGTGACTTATCTGCCCAACCTGGGTTTGGCTTGTCGTCTCGAAAAGACTGCTTTCGCTGTCTCGATCATTTCCATGTAAGTTACATGTACTCCCTCATACGAGAGTTTTAGATGACTAACAATGGCAGCTTCCTCTTCATCGTCTCCTTCTTTCTTGCCATCCCCATGGTTCGCAGCCACCGCCGTGAGAAACGCTTTGGTCCTTCTCCCGTCAATGGATACACCTCTGGAACTACTCGTCGTCGCGGTTTCTGGCGTCGGAACAAGGCTACTAATCCTGATGTCCCTGCTGACAACACTCTCCCTGGCCACCCTACCCCAGCTGAGGTTGAGAATGGCTATAAGCCAGAGACGAGCGGCTACAACGCCGCTCGTTTCTAAGTGATCTCAATTTTGATCGATCTTAGATACCGACGTATATGCGATGTACGCTATGGAAGGGTTTGAATTGTTGTGGCTGAATGAATGAATAAATTGATCTGATAATGCTAATATTTCCCAAATCCAATTTGAGATGAGTATGATGTTTGTTCTATTTGTTGGTATAAAGTTAGACTATACTTATTAATCTTAATATTTACACAATATTCGATGAAATCAATTCGTTTGCAGTTGACCTGAAAGGCCAATAGTCATTCCCAGTTCTTGAAGCGATCTACCTTAGCTGAATTTTCCAACCTCCTATCTGCCAGGGTAATCATCTTCTTTCTCACATCTTCAAGCCCATGAAAGGGAATCTAGTCAGATTCACAGCGTTACTAGATACATAGATATCTCTAAAAGATCTGTTCACATAGGCTTTGAGAGAGACCATGGTTGGACATAGCCCATATTAGAAGGAATCCGTCACTAAAGCTCCTTATAGCTACACAGCCATGTTCGATAGTTAAACATTATGGATAATGCCAATCACGCATCTCCCCCTTATGTAGCTATCTATATTATAGGGAGTGAACCATCTGCTGGTTTTTTTTATGTAGTAGTAACTCAAATTCTTATCAAAGTTGCCAAATAATACAATAGCTGCCTCAGGCCAGTATCTATAGAAATGTGAACAGTACCAACGACTTTCTTCAGGGAGATGTAAACAATCCAGGATTTCCCAGGATTTTCTCACTGTGTTAACTCTTCAAACGACCATTGTGCTTTTCATAAGCAGAAATCCTACATATTATCTCCATGAAATGAGAGTGACCAGTCCTTCAGGGTGTTTATCTACCTACCTGGATGGTCCCAAGCCCTACCAATCTGGACACAAATACAGGCTGTTTTCCCTGTTGGAGACCTGTTTGCATTCTTCCTATTTAAGAAAAAAAGTCTCAGTTGACTCTGTTCAGAAGACACCCCAACAAAATCAAAACTGATCCAACCAAACAAATCGATCTCAAATACCAATACATCAAATCACAATGCAACAATCTTCTATTGACGAACGCTCTCAAGACAGAGATCCTAGCAAATCTAGAGATATTAGATCCGCCTCTCTGTCGCCCGAAAATTTCAGGAGCCGGACCCTTACGCCTGCTAAAAATCTCCCATCCCCAATACGACCGAATAATGATTCAGCGCCCCTAGCTACCATACCTGCTTATATCGTCGATTCAGACGAACCAGCAACCACTGATCGTGACAATGGCGATAGTGGCGACGAGCTCTCAGACTCAGGTTCCTCGACCCCCAAAGCCTCTCAACACCCCCAGAGTCTGACGAGTATATACCGTCCATTTGACCGTCCCAAGCCCCCTCCAGGACGACATCGACGTGGAAACCAATCCGTCTCATCATCAAGCACACCAAAACCGGAGGTACACCAAGAACAAAAAGTCATCGATGACATGAGCAACATACTACAACTTGGAAATGCCCGAAATCAAGAAGATCTAGGTTTCGGAGGAGACATTATCAGTGAACGAAGCCGGCAACTTACACCAGCACGGAGTTTGCGTCGTGAGGGACGGAAGGCGTGTGATTATTACGATGATGATGATTATGATGAGGATAGTCATGAGGTGGGATAGTTGGAAGGGGAGGGTCATAATACAAAAGACAAGATAGGAGGTGGTAAAGCTGAGAAAGGAAGGGGAAGATGATGCTATCGGTAGGGACTTGGGCTCAGGATTGGGATTTAGGAAGCTGCTTGAGCGATTTTGATGCATAGCGAATGATTTTCGTTCTCTCTTTTCAAGATAGCATTCTTAAGAATCAGTTTACTTTTGGAGTATCAAGATTGATATCTTTTTTGTTTATTAGCCTTGAAATAAGCTGTTCATGGATGACACAATATGAAGCGTCCTGTTAGGGTAACCGTGAGCATGTGACGAGCAGCCATTCTAGATTTTGTCACTTAGCCGAAGCTGTCAGATGAACAATTAATCATATTCGTCTAAAGACTTCTAAATCAGTACAATCAAGATTATGGGGATAGTATTCTGACTCATCTTTGTACAAATTCACTGATTGAGTACATAAACCATTCCCAAAAGACTCATCAAGCAAAATGACAATCACCAACGTGAGTCAATCGTGACTATGTATCGATTCCAGAGCAAATATAAAATACCCCCGAAAGTACTATCATGATTCCCAAATTTTATTTCCTTCATACGTTCGGAATTACACTGATACCCGAAACATCATACCCAACCAGCTACTGCATACACTTGAAAACCAACCAACTCTTTTCTTCCTTCGAATACCATTCACGACCTACACAGGAGATTCGTATCATGTCAAGTCAAGGACGATTTACCCCTCTCTCTCCCAAAAAGTTCAGGGGAGACAACCTGACAGCCGCAAAAACTTCTCTTCCAGACCCGTCATCTTAGAGCCTCCGCCCGAAGATTTCAGAGAGAGAACCTGACAGCCGCTAAAAGCCTTCCTGCACCATCATCCCCAGAGCCTCCGACTACCAGAGGTGCTAAGATCGTCGATCTGAAGAAGGAAGGGAATTTGGAGCACAAATTACCGCATAAGTAAAGAAAAATGGAGTTGGTATAGTTGAGCACAGGAGAAAAACGGAGGGTGTTGTGGACGCGACGATAAGGCACTACAAGGAATGGAGTCTGATCGACGAGATACACCCAGGGGGCTGATGGGAAGGATAGAGCATGAGGTGACTGGAGGAGAAAGCCAAAAGAACCCATGGATTCCTAGGTAGATACTCAAGCGATGGGCGTGATCAGTCACTCGTATGTCTCCTTTCGAGACGAATCGGAAAAGCTGATCGATTTCCCATTGCTTGTCTTCGATAGATCTATCAATCTATGAACATATATAAATCCTTTATACGAACATATAGTCCCTAGGTGTGTATCTATTAAGCGTGGGGTTGTAGATATGAAAGAGATAACACGAAGTAAATGTCTGAAATCAGAATGATATCAAGTACAAAACGCAAAGATTCTTATATACAAATCTATAAAAACAAACCCAGAGCGTAATACATACAAGAGGTGGTTATTCACAGTCCTTGTTACGTCATTTCCCTCTTATTATCATCCTTCTCTTTTTCCTTCTTCATAGCGTTCTCTACAAGCCAAACCGTGACATCCTGGACATCACATCCAACCCTCCAACTACCCAGTACAACACCCTGATCAGATAGAATCTGTTGTGCGCGTTCCCAGCGACGTCTCCATAGTTCCTCACGCTTGTTTAAGATTGGCGCTGCTGGTTCCGGGTATTCATAATATGCGGATGAATTCATGGCGTTGGTTGCGGCGGTTTGTCTCGTTGTAGAGACTGCTGAAGTCGGGAATGTGCTTTGGCGAGATATATTTCGAGTTGGTGGAGGTGGAGGAGGGGTGTTGGTTATGGATTTCCGTTCTGCGGAGGTTGATGTGACTGCTGTACCTCGACGTGCTGGAGGAACAGGGGGTGGGGTACCACGTTTTGAAGTAGATTCCATCGTTTCTGATTGAGAGGGGTCGTGCTTGAGAGATAAATGACTCAAAGAATCGAGTGTGTCCTTGGTAGAGGGTAAATTATTATATACATCCATCGCTATATTTTTCACCGCCTCAGTATATGATCCATTTGTTGGCCTGCGTTGAGGGAGTGGAGGTGGCTTCTTCTCTGCTTCGGTTGAAGTGGATAGACTTGACGGTTTGCTGGGAAGAGGTGGAGCAGGTTTTCGTCGTATAGCATCTGCAGGCTTTTCCATTTTCTGTACAGGCGTTGTGACTACTGTTCGTAGCCCTGCCGGTTTCGAAGGCTTGATGGGAGACTCCTTTGCAGCAGGTTTATCTGTTACATCTGCCGCATCATCACCGGAAGAGTCATCCTCGAAATTCATCAGATCACCGTTGTCAATGGTTTGTGGAGATGATGGTTTCCTAGGCGGCAATGGCGGCCTATTTTCAACGAGATCGGACGAATCTCGAATAGAAAATGAAGAGGCTGGAGTCGAATAACCAGATCGTCGCTGGGAAGCGAACGAATGGTCGAAGAATTCTTTCTTCTCTGTGGTCGTAACGTCACGAATGAAGACCCCGAGAACCCTTCCTGGATTTTGTTGAACCAATTCCGTATATACCTCAAGATCTGCCTCGCCACTATCACCAACAAGAATGAACTTGCGTTCTGGGAAGTCTCCCACGATTTTCTCTAGAGACATTCTCTTGCGTTCTGCCGTCGGTTCAAATATTCCTTGTAGCATGCCGCTGTACTGTTTCAGGTGGAAAGAGCCATTCGGTAAACCAGCCATCTCAAAGAATAGTTTCAACTGTGGATAAAGTTGCCACGGAGAATTGGACACATAATGAATCGACACACCCATATCGTGCAGTTTACCATACCATTCCCTGACCCCTTCAATTGTGAGATCGTTGAAATCTCGCACAAAAGTATTCCAAAACACCTCCTTCGCCCCACTCGCAATCGCGGAATGTTTAATTGTGTCGTCGATATCGCTGATTAAGCTGACACCAGTCGGCTTGATCATCTTCACTTTTTCTGTGACAGAGAGATGATCAGAAGCTAGTACTCGAACATGTGTAGGAATAAAATCTAGAGCAGCTCTGACATTAAAATGCCCCGATTCATTGGTCAGTGTAGTCCTCGATTGGCTTTGCTGATCGTTGTAAAAGAACAGCGTTACGGGAGTATCGACAGATGGGTTGTGCATGAATGGCTTCAGCCTGTTCATAAGATTTGTGTTCAAAACAGTGACATCGTTCTTATCAGGTGATAATGTAGTGGTCGACGAACGGGTGACACGTTTAGGTAAATCAGGGTCCCTCTCTGCATGGTTGCTTCTCCATACCACGTCCGCATCTTGTTCACCTTTGTCTATAAGGTACTGCGCCTCTCGGTTGGCATCTTCTTCTTCTCTCTTTGCAGCATGTCGCTGGACAGGATGATTAATGGGCAGCGCTGGAGTTGGAATGTCACTCAATTTCCTAGCAAGCGCAACCATAAGCCGTTGCTTACGGTTCATAGGACCATTTTGAGGGGTATATAGCCATCCTCGCACATCAACATCCACAATCGCATTATTGTCTTCGTATTTTTCCCACTCTTCCCTCCAAAAGTCCTCATCACCAGTATCGCTCGATTGCTCAATCCGCTCATTAGTACCAGGCAATAATCGAGACTGTGCATTACTTCCATTCGTGTTGTTCCGTTTCACGTGTCTTCTGGCATAACTGGGAAAAAGCAGCATCTCTTCCTTTCCAGAAGATGTAATATCATAATCCGGGAACGCGCCTGGAGCATCCACCCCTCTATCATTATAGGCTTCCTGCCATTTCTGGGATAATTGACTCTGATATGTTTGACGAATCTCATTAGCAGCTTTCAAATAACCCATCACTTTTTGTCTCCGAGACCCAGTCTCACGACCAGAGTCATCGCTACCCCAACCCTCCGATCCATAACCGCCAAATCGTGACATTATTTTCCACGAACTGGTCTTTTCCACATGCTTGAGCGTCCGGCTCACAGTACGCGACGTCAAGCCGCGCCCTGGCGGAGGAAGAAGACCTGCTCTTCTTTTCCAATTCAGTGCCGGCAAAAGCACCCAGATATTTCTACCACCAACGCCACGACCACTGGGTCCTCTACTACCCCTCTGCCGCAATCTCTCCTGTCTCTTGACAATAGCCCGGTAGAGACGTGCTTGAGCTCGATGACGAAAATGCGCAAGTGTTTCGTGTCGAAATGTCCAGAGATTAGCCCGGATTCGATGACGGGTGCGAGGAAAGAATAAGGCCCGAAGTAAGCGTGATATGGAGTTGCTGTTTCCTCTATAACTGCGCCAGGAACGAGGGTGACTGGTCGAGAATGGAGAGAGGGCTGACCGTGGGGTTATCAAGCTTTGTGGGAAGATCGAGGCAATTCTTCGCCAACGGCCGAGGAATGGGGTTTTGTACGCCAGGATTCTTGATTCGCAGATAGCAGTCGCTAGTTTTCGATATATACCACCGTATCGCGGTGCTATATTGTACAACAATCAAATGTCTGATAGAAGTTGTCGGTTTAATGTCGAGTGTTGACGGTGTGACGTCTGGCGCTAACTATCGGTGGGTCCGGAAACTGATGCCTAAGGCATAAAATAAATCGTAGCCCTAAAAGCGTGTCCCTGCCCAAAAAGGAAAATTCGTTACAGCGCAATTATTTGCATATGTATCTAGTTCTTTACGATCTATTAAAAGAAACTCAAATGATAGTCAGACATTTTGAATACATGAAGAGATTTCTACTATCCTATCCGTAAGTATCATCCACTTGTTCGCTCTGGGAAAACAGAGGAGTCCTAATCTAGCACATTGGATGGCGTCGATACTTCTCTACCAACAGCTGAGGGAACACGCCTATAGTTGCATTGGAACCACTAAAGTAGCACCGACAACCCTATACGGCGTATTATAAGGGGGCGATTTGGCGTACGTCATGATCAAACCAACTCAGTGATATGTGTGCGCTGTGCCTTCGACCTGACTTGAATGCGACATTAAGGACTTTTACTTATTTATATTGGTCTATAACAATCAGGTGTAGTCTAAATATTTGGATACCTGCGCACAATCCCATTTCGAGTCGCAGTTGTCACCCCCGAGGAAATACAATAATCGGAGGCATTTTGTATTTGTTCTTCTGCAGGGTTATCTACTGCTGCCCGAATGGCATCGTTAACCGCTGTCAAACGTCATGCCCAACAAAGAATGTGGAAAGAATTGCTTAAAGAAGCAAACATGCTCATGACCACATCGAGAGACCCGTGTGCACATAGCGATGAGTACCGTAAGGCTTACGGTAAGCGCTTCGGTTGGTTCGGCTGACCTTTCGGCCGCCTAGTCGTATCTTCTACATTTACTAGTTCCATAAAAAGAGACAGAATAAATGGCGACCGTGATCAACTTTATGTAAAGATTATGCCTATACCTCTCAGTTGCACATCCGAGAAGCAGATCCTATTATAAGTTCTAAGTACGACGCAATCATTGTTGGAGGCGGAACCGCTGGCTTGGTCGCTGGCGCTCGATTAAGCGAAGACGGAACGAAGAAAGATTCTTGTAATTGAAGCTGGTTAAGACTGCCGCGGGGATCCATTAGTCGATACACCGGGACTCTTGATTGCAAAACGGGGTAATCCCGTCTATGACCGGGACTTCTGGACCACCCCACAGGACTCCTTAGTTAGTTGTCACCTACCACAGCCCAGAGGATGTCTCCTAGGCGGTCCTTCTGCTACCAATGCTACGGCAATGCTGTAACCCTGTCCGCGCGATCTGAATAACTGGAGCAAGCTAAAAATTTGTGGTTGGACAGCTCGGGGCCTTGCCCCTTACTGCGGCAAGTCGGCGAAGTTCTTTCCGCCTTCTAAAGAGACCATTGAATTGTTGGGTTTGAACACTTACTAACTATCAGTCCGAACTGTACGGAACTGTACGGAACTGACGGCCCCCATTTCTCAAAGCATTACGGATAGTTTCGGTCAGTTCGACACCGCTTTTCATTGCCGCCTTAGATAGCACTGGACTCAGCAAGAAGGGTGCCCAATGATGGAAACGCAACATGGCCTGCGCTGCTTCTAGAGACCAAAAGGTTGAGCCTTGAACTTCCAGTTCGGCCTGCTCCAAATGGTGGCGTGCCGCCATGTTGAATTGCTTTTTACGGTGTGAATCTCCGTCGAGATGGGCACCTGCCATGCAGATTGCGTATTTCAACGCTTGTGCCTGACTCGAATTCGAAAGCACTGTATACTGCATAAGCTTATTTCGATTGACCAATGGTAAATGTTTCTGAGTAACGCAGAAGTACTTCTTTAAACTTTCGGCAGAGAAGAAAAAGCGCCTCGTCAGCAGCAGAAACAGGCAGGGAATCCCGATAGAAACTCACAGATCGTCGCTATGATAGTCTCCATGCAATTTGGGTTCCGTGTGCAAGCCGAACCCGAGGAATGATTAGTTAAGTCGATAGTTGGCCCCAGCTGTGATCCCAGGATACTTGGAGTTGATCAGCCGCGGTCAGCTCCTATTTGGGGGGAGTCCGTTGTTGTTCACTTCAGGCATTTGTATACCATCTTCCAAGTGATGTAAAACTGCGTCAAAGTCGCATGCGGCCATTTTCTCCCTGGAAGTATGGATGTATATCTTCGAGTCAAATTAGACATGCTTGCCTCATCACTACCACGAGTAAATCAGGCCTTCCTAGTTGACTTCCGAGAACTCGATGCTATCTGGTAGGGAGGCTATGAATTCTGTGCTTGTTTTGTGGTACCTGAGCTTGAGGAGAATCACGCCGAGGGTTGTTTCTTGCTGACTTCTGGAGCATTGTCTCCGCTTGTGCTGTTTGGTTATCAGAATTTGTCTGTGGGGTGAAGAATTGGCAAGCGCTAACTGACTCAGATGATCATTGAGTTCTTGTAATGCCATGGTGAATTTGGTAGCGTTGCTGCTTTCAGAGAGATAAGTGCACTTGTAACCAGATCTTCTACATAGTACATCTTAAACATCCGGATTGTTTCTGTCGCAACGGACTTTTCTTTTTACATAAATCATGGGATTAAGTAACGTCATCCACAAGCGAGTTGGCCACACAAGCGAGTTGGCCATTTTTCCCGAAAACGCGCTCTATATTGATTTCAAATCTCAATTTCTAACCACATACAAATTATATACAAAAGAATTAACTCCTAGTACGATTAGGACATCCGGTTATTTTATGTCCTTCAATACCGCAACCACTGCAGCGAAATTGACGTCGTACAGGTGGATGAGAGACTGGGAGCTCAGGCTCGGCCGGAGCAGTAGTGACAGCTTGAGAGGCCTCAATCTGACCTTGTACAAGTGCCTGAGCTTCCTCTCTAATAATTCCTTGCTCTAGAGATATTTGCTTTTTAGATTTTTGACGTTTTTGCTTCTCCTTCTCATGTGCAGCCCGTAGATCATGGAGTTCCTTCTGTGCAATTGTAAGCTTATTAATACTCATCTCATAAGCCTTTGACGCCCGTGTAAACACTTCATCAATAGCCTCAGATGAACTTCTCGTATGCCGGCTTATTCGCTTCTTAATTGTAGTCATTTGGCGCTTGAATTGACGTGGATTTTGAGGGGTTTGTAAGCAGGATGATTGTGTATCACTTGATCGACTTGGAGGGGGGTGTTGGAGTCTTCAATCGAACAGTAAGCTGTTGATAGACTCGATCTGGATTGAAAGGTACTAATCCAGTTGCTGCAAAGCTATTCCGAACAGTTTGAGCTTTATATGCCATCGTACGAGCTGCTGGAAATGCAGTGAGAAAGTCGATTTTTTTCAATGTGATTGAATCCAAGCCTCATTCGCTGCTCAACAAGCTGTCCATAATGTCGCTTTAAAACAGCAAAACAACCAACATCAAGAGGCTGTAAAAGATGTGAGGAATGAGGAGGCATACACACTGGAATAATATTATTCTCAGTGCATGTACGGTCAAATTCGGCAGTTAAATGGCTTCCATGACCATCAAGAATCAACATCCGATATTTTCCCAATGTACGGTCATTGGTAAGAGGAATAAAATGGAGTTTAAGCCATTCTAACCCAATCTTATCTGTTATCCATCCATTGTCACTGATATTGATTATCCAGTTAGCTGGAAGATCCTCAAACCAGCCTAATCGCATATATTTCTTTGCCTTAAAGATAATATATGAAGGTAAAGCCCATCCTGTTGAGTTAACTGCCTCAATTGCAGTTACCCATTCTCGATCACCAGGCTGTAATAGCTTTGGCCGAGCATATCGATCACTTCCAGTAATAACCTTGGCAGTTGCACAAAGTCCCATAGCAAAGCCAGTCTCATCAAAATTATAGATATCCCTGGCAGGATTCCATATTCCAATATAACCTCTCGTATGCGAACAAAATATTCTTGGATTATCTTCGGATCTTCGCATTTAGCACGTTCATAGTTGTATTTCCGTGAGAATTTTGATTCAATCTCTGGACGACGTTTGACAAGATTATAAACCCATTTTTCTCCAACCTGTTGATTTCCGTGTTGCGAGAGAAGATAATTAGCCATCTCTCGTACAAGAGAGCGCCGAGGGGGTAATCCACGTTTATCTAGATCGAGTATCCATTTGACAAGTGATCCCTCCTCAAATTGTGCCAATTTATGATTGTTGCGCGTATTTGAGATCTTTGTTGAGTACCGTTTAATCTCTTTTGTAGAGTGGTCCGGGGTATCTTATAAATCCTTGCAGCTTGAGCCACGCGCAAGATTCGGTCATTTTGTAAATCGGAAATAGCTAATAGGATTCGGCCCTCTTGCTCAGCTAAGTCTTTTTTGTTTTTATTGCGAATTGATGGCATATTGACGCGTTAAATAATATAGAATCAAGATTGTGTATGCGTTCGGGAAAAAAATGCCCCTTCACTTACCGATTACGTTAGTTAACTAAGGAAATCCTGCTTTTTGTAAGAACTTCTGAATAAGAACTCGTAGGCCGCAACTGCCACGTGCTTGATCTAGGTGTAAGCAGAATGAGAAAAGGATAAGAGGATAGATTGTTGGATGCGAGGGTGAAGCCTAGATCCGGATAGTGTTGGATATTTGATACGCTAATCCCAATCCGGATGTACTTACTAATCTTTGAATCCTCGGAAAAGCAACATATCCGCGAGAACAAGAGCGCCAAAAAGCAGACTACATTTTGGAGTCAGGATTGTTATTTATTCCGTAAATCCGTGATATTTCGCCACTACGTTTTGTATATAAAGAGGATCAGGATGTGTATCTAGAGGGGATTTTAGAGTGTGTGCAAATCAGAGTCAATTATTCCTCACCCAAATTGTACGCTCCTATCAGAGCCTAACCCCGTTCGGACTAGTACCAAAAGATTCCAATAGATAGCTGATATCACGTGATGAAGGCTACACAAGGAATCCTTACCGCGTCGATGTCAGATATCTTGAGAACAGAGACAAATTAGACTACTCAATTGAACCCATATTCCGTGTTAGGAAACTTATCGTACTAGTACTAGTGCAAATGCACCCACATAGATAAACATTTGTTTATTTTCATACGGTATCAAGTCCATCGAAGAGAAGGTTAGAAAGAAGAACAGTAAGAAAACCTGGTACCTGGTTTGTTTAGAAACACGAATGATGAAAATGATAGATGATAATAAATATACAATAAAAGTCAGCTAGAAAATAAAATGTGGTGTCTTAGGTAAGGAAGAAAAAAAAAGAAGGTAAGAAAAAGAAGGGAGCGACCGGGATCGAACCGGTGACTGTAAGATATTTCTCAAGACGAATCTCTACTGCAATCTCACACTCTACCACTGAGTTACACCCCCGAGTTGGATGCTGATATTTGAGCAGGAACTATGAAGGCTTATTAAGACTCCAATCAAGGAAAAAAATACCTGCTGCGTACAAGCCCTGCTGTCATGTGACTGATTTCGCAGTGATTAGTAGGGGGCCTCTGGCCTCCGGCGCTCTGGTTGGCGTTTAATAGACCTTCTCACGGGACCACCGCCATACAGGTAGACGTCGGTACCGCATTGGGCCTAGCGTGATCGTAGCAAGGACATAACCTCGCACGCCACGGATCTCAGATAGTTAGTTAGACTTCTCAATATCACTCTCTCTAGCCCATCATCAATACTTATAGCACAATGAATTAGCATACACAGCCTTGCAATTCGCAACAGTCCGCTTAAGCCCACGACACAAGTTCGGGAGTTCAAAGATCTAACTCTGAAAGACATATATATATATATAACGAGACTCTGTTTTTAGAATGCATGGTGCCTACTGGAATAAGGTATCCAGTTAATGAAATACGATGTGAGATCTTGCTAAGGATCAGCAAGGAGCTGTCAGGGATAAAATGATATCAAGAGATTAGAGAGAGAGGAATGTGGTTTGTATCTTCCTATTACAGACTTGTCATTTATACTTAATTTAATTGCAATCACAAACTTGAAGCTTTACAGCAATATAATATCTCATGCTTGTAGACAAAAACTGACTCTTGATTATATATATGCTTGCAACATCACGTGCCGCATTAGCTAGAAGCTAGACGTGTTGGTTTCATCTCAGATTACTGGGTTGGAACTTTCTTATTCTTCCCTAACCCCACCACCATTCAATTTGAGAAGGGCACGAGACAATAGCTTACGAGCGAAAGAATAAATGAGCACTAAATTACGCGCGGCATGCGATAACTGCCACCGGGCCAAAGTGCGGTGTTCAGGGCAGCTCCCTTGTCAAGGATGTCTGAATTCCGGCACGCTGTGTTTCTTCAGTTTGTCGGATCGGCTGGGACGGCCAAAAGGGACCAAGAATCGGAGTCCACAAGGATGCCGAGAGCAATCGAGAGCCCGGAAAGCTGCTGTTCCTACTAGAAAAGCGAACAGCCGACATAATAAGGGACCCCTATCCAACGGAAATGAGTCACCCATGGCCGGTGATCCAGCTACTACGGTCACTACCACCACCACTTTTAACCCTGATATCAATGATCATGACTTGAGTGGATCGGGTTCAGGAGAATGTTTCAAACACGGATTTGAATTTCTACCCTCACGCATCGATCAACCACCGTTTGATAACCAATTACACACCACTCCTCACGACTCTGACTTCTCTGCATTACTATGGACCGACACGGAAACAGACTTTTTGAGAGAACCCGCTCCCTCCAATCATGACCTGGACAATATGATGCTAGACTCGACAGTCTCAGTTACGCTAGCGGCGCCACCAATGGAGAACATACTGGGAAATGAGTCTACCAGTCCAAGCTCATGCGCCTGTATGCAACAACAAATCGACCTACTTATAAAGTCAAAAACATTAAACAATGCACAACCAAATGACCGCGACTACAACCAGAAGTCCGTCATATCCTTCGACGTTGCTCTAGCGCTTGTAGAGGTAGGCATGAAAACATGGCAGGGTCCGATAATGTGCAGTTCGTGCCGATGTAACGATGACCAAGAAGTAATTCTTCTTGCATTTATGAGCATACAAGCTATTACTCGGTACTTTCAACGTCTCTTGACAGAATACCAAACTCGGCACAGCAAGAATGCTGTCGGACAACCACATTACGATGGAGTTAGCGACTGTCCGATTAAAAGTCAGCATTTGACGATTGGCGCGTTTCAGATTCAAGGTGAAGATCGACTGCTGTTGCTCAAAGCGATTCTCTTGAGCACAGTGCGGAAGCTCACCTGGATTCTGACTTCTTTGCAGAAGATTCTTGAGGAAAAGATAGATCGCTTTCCCTCGCCACAGGAGGCGGATGATGGTTCAAATCGTTCTCAGTTGCATGGTAGTGGCTCTTATATACAGCAGATGTTCCATGGACTGGCTGGATCTTTGCAGTCGATACAGGACTTCCTCAATAACGCTTAATTAATAGATATCCAAAGCTACTAGGTCTATATTAATAATACAAGGAAACGAGGCCCCCTTTATCGCTTAATGCACCTTATAACTACATCCTCTTAACACGGAAATGAACGGAAATCGAGCTAAATCGGTCGACAGATCCATAATATCCAGATAAGCTACTGCTCAAAGAGAGTTGGCAGACCTTTTTCCCCATGCACGTAATCTCTTGCCGAACGTATAAAACCTGTTTTCATTCAGTTAGTCGTACTGCTCCAGACACTCAAAAAAGGGGGACAGCTAACAAGAACGGAATCGGTATCATGGCTACCGCAATGAACCCTAACACACTACAGGCCCAATCAATGCCAAGATTGGTGAACACTTGTGATCCGTCAGCAAAATGTTCATTTCGAAAGATACATAAGGAAACTTACTTGCATGAGCAAACAATGGAAAAGCTCCAGCAAGGACGCTTCGCATCAGCATGTTTGCAGCAAGAGCACTAGCAGCCAGCATGAAGTACGTGTCAACCAGATAACTGATTGCACTTTGAAAAATGGTGAAATAAGCAAGGCCAATACATACACCGCCGATGCAAAACCTATTCTCTACCATCAGTACATGTATACGCCTGAGCAATCATCAATAGAAAAAGAATAAGAAAAGAGGGGTTACGCTATCCAATGAATCGACCGGTCAGATGTCCAGCCTATAATAAACAAACCCCCAGCAAAAAAGAATGATCCAATCATCATAGGAAGCAGGCGAGCTTCAGGAACTGGTTTGTTGTTATTTGCAGCCATGCGCTCGACGTAGAAGCCCTGACTCCACATCAAGACGAGTCCGCCGAAGAACGCTCCTATCAATACGCCCAGGAAGGGGAGGGATCCAATGACGGCGTTCCAGCCTCGGACTCCTTGGAATTCGATTGGGAAGACGGGAACCGTTCTATAGTATTTGTCAGCCTGTCATCTATGTCTAGTGAAAGGATAGCGTACAGGTAGATAATAGCATAGACGAATGATGCATAAAGGTTGATCAAGAAGCATATCGGATCAACAAGCATTTCCAAAGGAACAAGCAAGTATGTTCGTGTCCAATATTTGAAGCTCAGGTCGCTCTCTTGGTGTTTTGAATGCAGAGCCCAGTTCCCAGTCAGCTTTCGCAGTTTGCTGGCTTTTCGACTGAGTAAAACCGGAGGGAAACTTTCCTCTATGAAGAAGGTATCGGCCGCGAGGATGACGAGTAAGAGAATACCAGTAATCTGCATTGTTCACAAACAAATCAGCAAAATTCCAGTTCTCGAAGAGGACAAGATTCATACATATTCACCCCACCGCCACCCATCATGCTCCATATTAACCACCAGAGCCCCTCCAACAATAGGCGCCACCAAGGGTCCCGAAATGACTGCAATACCGTACGTTAAAAGCGCCGCACCGCGTTGCTGTGGCGGCCAGATGTCTGCTAACACGCCTCCGACATTGCTCAGAGGAGCAGACGCGAAGATACCAGCAAAGAAGCGTGTAATAAGGACAGTTTGGGTATCTTTTGCGACTGCGGTACCGAACGAGAATATGGCGCACATGAAGTACGGTATCAAGACGGAGATTTTCCGACCGTAGGCTTCAGAAAGTGGTGCAAAGCACAGAGGGCCGAGGGCATTTCTAGGGCAATTCGACTTAGTTAGATATATTCTTTTGTTGTTGAAGAGAATGAATAGACTGATGTACCCAAACAAGTAAAACGTCATACCCAACAGTGCAACCTCACTACTTATACCAAATCTCTCTTGTATCTCCGAAATACCCGAGTTGTATCTAATGAAGAAGTGGTATCAGCTATTGCTTTGGATCGTGGGGAAGTGTGTACTACATCGTGCTTGCCCATGTAGCGCCCATAGTTGTGAAGCTGTAGAGAATGGTTGTGACAAGTTTCTTCCGCATGGGCCAGTTGAGAGGTCGATAGGGGTCATCTGGACCGTCGAAATCGACGATATTGGCGTCATTGTCGCTGCTAGCTAATGGAGCAGCAGAAGGGGCTGATTCAGGGTCGATTGGCGATATTGAGTAAGTCTTCTCGCCGTTTAAGGCCTTGATATTCGAAACTTCGGAAATAGATGAACCTTCATGATCTGAAGTGTTTCCGTGGGCTTGGGAGTCGGCAGTGGTTGGACTCATTTTTATCGTTTTGAGAATTCTATTCTTCAGAGGAGATTTTCGTATTGTATATAAGGGCCAATAACCAGAGAGACATAGTACTCTTTATAGATCTAAAGGATAGAAACCAGAGTATATTTCAAAAGGAGGGAAGGAAACAAGAAACTGCTGCATGATAAATAGATTCGGTCCTCGGCGAGATTCCCTGATACTGTCTGAGTATAACATCATTATTAATCAGAGACGAATTAATAATATGCTAGTTAGACATAACTATCCCAATGCACAGACATGCATCGCACTAGATCCTGCCCAAGGACATGCTTATTCCCTTTTTTTGCCTTGGTTGTCATCGATTTTACGAAAAACGTGATTTCGAAAACCCTAACTCAATCTACCACTTCCGCTCTTCGGACTACGTATCATCCATCACCATACTCGAATGCCTACAAATTTCTCTACCGATCTAGATAGAATAATTGTCTGTTTTCAAGTAAATGGAAAAAGATATTCTTTTGTCCCATTGAAAAAAGTTGAGTTTTACAAAAATAATATGTTTAGAAGTAATCGCCGGAGCTAGACAAGGGTCAAGCTCTAGCGTCATCGGCACTTTATTTCAACCTCCATTTCATTTCCCTTTTCTTCAGCTGCAAGTCTTCGTCAATGTCCGGAGCATTTTGTTGTGAGTCATTCGAATTAATTCTGTTGTAGTCTATGAGGAGATGGCTTTGTTGGTTATCTAGCGTCTGCTCCAACTAATTAAGCAAGACTGGGCGGGTCTCATTATGAACGAGATTACATAGTTCTGCCTCCCCGAACCCTGGCAATACCAGTCCTCTTCGAGACAGATCTCCTACCCCCTTAATCTCTTAGGAGACTGTGACACCCTCTGAATCAGCTTCAAATATATCAATCCAAATCCCTGATACCATGAAAAAGATATGGGAGAGAAAACTTCGGACTGCTGCCCGACAGAGATGGAGGGAGCCCCTGCTGTGATCACTTTGAGAATATCGATTTAGACGAGATTTATTATAAGAAGATGATAAAGCGCAGAAAATCGCATATCAAGATGTTCGTCGAGTTTGTAATCACTGTCAGGAGGAAAGAAAAGAGACTATGTCGATTGATGGCTCCCAAAACGGCTCAAATTCAAAGCTCTGGACACATCTTAAAACCTGCCATAAAATCTATCCTGATGGTAGGGCTCCTACACTGAATACCTCTCAAACGATACTTGATTCTCATGGCATCGTTTACTCAAGTGGCGCTGATCCTACCCTAAGCTTAACCCTCGACGAAGCTATTATTGAATGGATTATCGACACTCAACAAAACAGTTCGATACAGTTTATAACGAAAAGTGGAAAAGGATGTGGAAAATTGCTCTTAATGCACCTTGTTCAATCAACCCCCATCAACTCTCCGCCGTCGAATTGAGCAAGAGTTCTCAAAGCGTCAGTTCCGCATGTACGAGGAATTAACAACTAGAGCTGAGACTGTTTCATTATCTCTTGATGTCTGGAATGTATCTGATAAGAAACACATTCCCGCCGTTATTTGCCATTGGGCTACAGAAGACTTCGAATATCGCTATTTCGTTATCCATTTTGGCCATCTCAAGGTTTCCCGCGGGTACCGGCGAGAATATGGCAAAAGAGATCCAAGAAGTGCTCCAAAACTTTGACCTTGAGCAGAAGCTTGTGGCTACAGCGCCTTGTATGTGCGGCTTTACATGGCTTACAATTCTTTGCCTCTTTCTCAGCGCCACTCCCATTATGCGACGTAAAAGTACCAATAATTTGGTAAGCTTGGCATGGTTTTGTACATACGGAAATGTAGTTACTAATTTTCACATGCTAGGTGTAACCAAAGAAGCTATTGTTTGTGATTAGAAATATGCAATATCTGAAAAAGCCAATCTTACTGAATGGACTGATTTAAGTAGCGTCGACTGGAGATTTTATCAGTGCATGCTTCAATCTTGCGCTTAGATGTTTACATACTTTGCATTCCCTTTCTAAGCTAGAATACAATAATATGCAAATACTATCTATACGTGTGCTGAAAGTTGAACACTAAACTACCCCTACAACTTAACTCGCCTTTTGTCTAGCTGAATGGTGCAAGAATGTGGCGTTGTCAAATTATTCCACATCTTGTAAGTCTTGGTCTTCGGGCGCGGGCGAGGGTGTTCTGGCAGCGATGATGAGAGGATGGTTTCTAAGGAATAATTTAGCAGCTGATCGTCTTTGGGATAAGGAAGATTGATGTTCTCTTCACGAGCAGACTGGACGGTTACCACAGCTGCCGGAGGTCTTGTTAAAATTTCCCACGGAGCTTGCGGACATTCTTTCCTGGTGAGCATCGTCTGGTTTGATAACGCATTATACTTATCCATCCAGTCACTGAGAGCACGAGAGGATAACCTGGAATACGGGCGACTAAGCCCTAATACTTTGCTGTGCAGGTAAGAGGATTTTTCCATTAAACTCAAGGCATCCTGTAGCTTCCCCTGAAATTTCCAAGTAAAGGCAAGGTTCGCCATGCTAGTCACAGTGTTGGGATGCTCAGCTCCCAGCACTGTGGACGATATTGGGAAAGTACAGAAGTAATAATGTAGTGAGAGAATTGCTGAATTGACCTGACCGACAGTGGACACAAAGACTAGAGAGCAAAATGTATGATGGCTGGACCAAGGCCACAGGGTAGTCAACCCCTGTTTCATGGAAAAGAGTTTAAAACCTGCGTGGTTGAGCAGGTTGAGCAGACACAATGAAGGAAAAGAATATGTTCTGAGTCTCTGAGCCTGGGGAATTGTTGTAGCTTATATAGCCGTGGATTGCAATCTATAGATTATCTCTCCGGCATAGATCATTGTCAGCTCGTTCGAGTCCATGGGCTTGCTGCGCGATATTAGCAAACCGTCCCATCTGACCTTCAGAAGCTTGGAATGTGCAGCTCTGACCGAACATTATTAGTTATACAATACCCCATTTCATCTGATGTCAATTGCATTGGTTGATGTATAATGGTTATAATGGTTAAGATAGCGTCTCAAACCCTACTTGCCCGTGATGCGTATTGCCTCTTATTTCCGATGCATCAAATAATCCGGTTGCATCAGGCTCATGCAAGGGCAGTTGAGATAAGCCAACCATCATCCATTTACGAAAATATCATGACGATCAATTACTACGCAGAGGTATCTTAATCTAGCATAGGTGCCTGGCTTAGGCAATGAACATGTCACAACTCACTGTCATTTAAAGACCTATATAGGTATGAGCCGCAAAGGAACGCCCAGTTCATATACGATTCAAGTGAGGTCAGTCAACCACAAGTTTGGTCAAGAACTCCTCTTCTCCCATACTTTGTATTCTTTGTTTTGAACGACCATGTTCTCTTCAGTAACTTCTAGCAACGTTCCAACCGCTGATGACTGGGTGCGAATGAACCAGAAATCACGGAGATCTGGCTACATCAGGCACGCGATAAGAGCAACCTCGTGTCTATACTTCATTCCAAGTACAGATATAAATCTATGTAAGTGCTTCGCTTTCTCTTTTAGGGATACTTGTGAAGCTGAGGCGTGAACTGTTCTTCAGGGAAAAGACCTCCACCACTCGACTCCAGAAATGGGGATTGTCCACTTACAAAACCTCTGCAAGACAAGACAGTCAGGAAGAGGAGCCATCCAGAAAGGCGAGAGCTCGTACTCTCCAGCGCAGAAACGAGCACCCTAAACCTACCTTTCGAACGTCTCAAGCGATCGCTCCAAGCTCCAGGGCTACTAGCCTGATTCAACCCAATGCTTATCGGCCTCACGAGGCCGTACTATCCTCAGCCGACCACCTAATCTACTCCAAGCTCATATTTACCCTAACGAGCTCATTTATCCAACGATTAAAGGGAGCAACGGCTACAGAATGCTGTGATGAGAAATTGCGGATTTGTATCACACAGCCAGGGTCTATATTGGCGACATAAAGCTCACGGAAAAATTCCAGAAGTACACTCTGGGCTATGTGACATGATCCATGAACTCGTTACATGTTCGCAAGATGTCCCCCTGGAACTTAATGCGAGCGCGCTACCAGGTCATGATCTCGATATTCTGAGGAATCTGTCATAAACTGATGCGGAAATATATGCTCAAGAGTCAGTGCTCAAGAGTCAGTATGGTTACCTACTTGTCTTTGACTTTCTTTTTCTTTTCGCAGATTTTGTTTATGAAGGGTACGGCAAGGAGCATCCTCAGATTGCTCGATGCACTTGTGCAAATACCATGAGCTGACATTGGAGTGGTTCTGAGACTACGGGCCACTCAAACTATCGAGAGAATGACACCAGGGCTCGATGTAAAGAGGAGGCTGGTTCTTCAATGTAGACAGACTTCGTGTATCTCATATAGATCAAAATCGATTCTAGTGTGATTTGAGTGCATTGAGCTCGTGCAATCTTAGCAGATACATATACGGCACATGTATTTTATTGATCAATGCACAAACTAGTCTATACTTGCTTTCTGAACTACATAGTAGAATAAGATACCCTCCTTAAAACAATGTTGTAACCCGCAGCTTGCGGTCTCTATATTTGACCAAAGCCAGATACGAAAATATACACGCCTAACAGCCCACCAAACCCCTTTTATACATATAATCTTCTATGAAATCTCGGACACCATACCCAGCCCGATCGTCATGTCATATACAAATACATAGTCAAGAGCCTCCAAACTAACACAATAAGAAAATGAAAATGCCGGGTCTAGGCGGAATCATCTTCCGCGTAGCTGATCTTCTTCGCACGACTGCTACGACGTGTCGGTGTAGATGTTATAGTTGTAGATGAGGGTAAAGGATCAGACGAAGGATCCTTCTCAGAGCTTGACGTAGAACCAATACTCGCTTCGGATATTCTTCTCTTTCTAGTTTTGGATGTTGCTTTCTTGGTCACTTTCGTCTTCGGTTTTGGCGACTCTTTAGTCTTGGATACTTTGGATTTCGCCCTGCTAGACGACTTCTTCGCAGGACTATTCGTCTCATTCGGTTCGACAGCTTCAACACCCTCAACAGCAGCATTCTTCCGCACAATAACCCTCTTCTTCGGCCTCAGCCACTCCTCACACCCCGACGGCCAATACACTCTCCCCTCCGGACCACCCATACTAACTTCTTCCAACGGAATACTCAACGGCGGCGGCGTCAACTGCGCCAAATCAATAAAATCGTTTGCCTTCTTCGTCTTTTTGGGCGGTTTCCATGGCTTATTCTCATCTTCACGAACATGCGGGACAATTTCACCTATACGTTCGTGGCCTGGTAATTTGAATTTTCGCATTAATTCAAATACGGCTTGTTCTTTGTCTTTCGCTTCAATCATGAGATCCATTGTGGGATCACAGGGGGGTAGAGTGTATACTCGTGGGTTGTGTTTGCGTCGTTGTCGGGGTGTGATTGCTGTTGGTTCGGGTTCGGAGTAGTGCATTTTCTGTGTTATCCCCTTTCGAGTCCAGGTTGCTCGTATCCGATCGTAGAGTTGCATTATATCTAGGGTTCCCTCGCGGAGTTTATCCGAGTCGAAAATGATACTGTGATGATGATAGTCGAGAACAAGCGGAATATTGAGTTCTTCGCATATAGGTAGTAAATCGTGAACAGACCAGCTGACGTCGTCGTTTTCGAGGACGAGACGGTTTTTGATATCTGCAGACAAACCCTTGTAGTTCTCACGGAATCTGTCTAGTGTGGCTTCTTTGTCGCCAAAGACGCCGCCCATGTGTAGAATCATGACGGCGTCGCGGTTCTGTTGTGGAGGGAGTTTAAGGAGCTGGAGTAACTCCGAATGAAACTCGAGGTCTCGAATAGAGCTTTCGATGACTTCTTTTCGGGGTGATCCCAATTGAGTAAACTAGAATCACATCAGCACATTATCCAAGAACAGAAGAGAGGGCGTGATCATACCTGCCCTGGATGCATAGTCAAACGATGACCCAGCTCAGCAGCCACTCTTCCAGCATCGGCCAATACCTCCGAAGCAAACGGCGCCAATTTATATCCATAGATCTCATGACTTGCGAACGGGAACATCTCGCTGCTCAGTCGCAAGAACTTAATTCCATATCGCTCATTCCATCGTAACATCTTTACTATATCCCGCGCATTCGCTAACCCCAGCGCCTCCACGTACGCTTGTCCTCGCGCATGATCAGCAGGCTGTTCTCGATCGGGCCGGTTCTTGGTCGCATGAAACGGCTGCGATGGGTCTTGTAAGGGATGTCGATTCTCGAGTATCGACGCTATCCGACATGTTCGGGAACTGAAGACCGGCGGGTTCGCGTATCGTAGGTACGTGTTAAGACAGGCATAGCCTAGCCTGCCCTTCCAGGGTAACGGGAGATAGTCACTATTGACCGGAGGCGGCCGCGACAACGCTTCCTTGACTTCTTCAACGTCGGCGGGCACGTCCTCGTCCGATTCGGGATCCAACGAAGCTGCCTTTTTCTTTCCGGGACTCGGCACGGATTCTAGAACATTGTTGATAGCGGATAAAGACGCGGTATTAGAAGCACCGACTGCGGCGGGTGAGGTATGAAGGGAGCGAGTCGCTCTTACAGCAGCCACTCGCGTGGTTGACCGTGCCATGATCATACCAACCACTCGGTTAGTTGCTTGCGAAACGGGAGGCGTTGTTGCGACAGACTTGGCTGATAATGAGCGGCCATGTGCAGAATTTGAGGTTGAAGCCAGGGCAACGAGACTCAGTCGTTGCGTGGGGCTGGAAGGGAAGAATTTCTTGGTAGAAAGAATAAGTCTTGATTTCGCCACTGCGGTCATTGCGATTGACTTGCCTCTCTGCGATTGAGAGAGCTGGTGCGGTCGAAATGCCTGGCGATCACGGCACGCGCATTTCTCGACTTGGTACAAATAATGCAAGACATGATGACGATCAAAAGCTCTAGCAGGACGGCAGCAAGGGAGCGGGAGAAACTTCATTCATGAGATGAGCTTTGTTGATTTCATTGAGTACGTAGTAGCCAAAAATTATTCTGGACGACGCCTGCGTCACATCTCTGGTCTTTGATCGCGTCGCGGTTGGAAGCATCAAAGAGCCATTCGCGGGTTATCCGCGTGTTAGCGTGAAGCCTAAGGCACTCGAGATGAGATCGAGACTAGTCACTATGTTACCATAGTATGTTACTTAATTCATCAAGAATATTTTTCTGACAACATATCGATTCGTTTATTCTCTGCTGGAAATCTCTAAAGTGAGATACGCATAATGTACAGAATGCGGCGATTATCCCAGCGTGGTAGACTCATCTCAGATTCAGACAGATGCCTGGGATAGGGACATCAGACAGCGATTCTCACTGACAAGAAAACGTTGCATCCGTTTCACATGCTAATTATATCTTATATATCATCTTGTTAAGATCTGTCGTCTCAGGGTTCAGGGACGCAGATGAATCGTCCGGCAAGCATCGCGAAACGTGTTTCACCCACCGAATCGCGTTTCCTTCCCTCCGGGCATCCATACAGAATGCCACCTCAATGGACGATGGATGGTGTTTCGATTAGGTACAAGTAGTCCCTAGATGAAGCACTGCAAAATCCTCTTCTGACCTGTCGTTTCGTCGAGATAGGCGCAAGGCGAGAAAGCAGCCAGCCAATCCACGGCGACGACAGCCTCTTGGCCGGAGGGATGCTCGGCGCTCCACGTTTCAGACTCTCTGTTGTCAGTCAATCATCGCTTGTATATCTGTTCCTGCATTTATCGTATATGTAACCTCATGGATCATCGGCTCCGTTTATCCTCCCACTGAAACGCGTGTCGATGTCAGAACAGTGGCGTGCACACGAAAAAGGAAATATTGAAGGAGTCGGGTGGAATTTTCCATCCTTGCTGTGGCGGACGATCTTTTTCGCATGAAAAACGCTTCATCAAATCTCCCATTGGTCGCAGAATGATGTTTCTGCGGTTTTGGAATGCAGTCGTCAAACAAGCTTCTGGGCGAGGTTGGCGGGGAGGTTCCATGTAGGATGTACATCCATTCCAGTGAGTGGACGGTATCTTCAGGAGTAGAAACATTCAGCACAATGGGCGAGTGTGTCGAGAAGATAAAGTGGCTCGATGTCCCGGAGGAAGAAGAAGAGATCAAAAGTTGTTAAGTTGTTGTCTCTCGACTGCCCGCATTTTCAGGCACCACTCCTTCCTGTTTGGTAAGCTTTGTTTACTTTTCTTTCTTTACTTCTTCCAACAATAGCATTATATTCACTCCTCCAGACAATCATCCTCTTTATTCCCTCGTCTGAGATTTCAGATAGCCATTCTTTTCTTCGCTATATCTATTGAAACAGCTCCACTTGACTGACCATATCATCCAGACCAACTCGACCTTCCTTCATTTCAACAAAGCACTGAATAGCCCTGGTTGGCATTCAGTATTTACTCTTATCAGAGCTTATATCTTTCTTTCATTATCAGAGTCAACATGAAGACCACATTCGCTATCTGCGCCTTTCTGGCCGCTACAGTCTCTGCGCACATGCAGATGAGCAATCCCTACCCCATTCGAAGCCCTCTCAACCCCAACGGAGACGAAGCCAAAAAAGATTATTCCTACACCAGTCCCTTGGACGCGTCAGGATCAAACTTTCCTTGCAAAGGTTATCAAAACGATGCGTTCAAGTCTGTCGCTACCTACACTGCTGGGGGAAAGTATGATATGTCGGTTACTGGCAGCGCTACTCACGGTGGTGGTTCTTGCCAACTGTCTCTGTCCTATGATACTGGGAAGACCTTTACCGTCATTCAGTCTATGGAAGGTGGATGTCCATTGACATCCAACTATTCGTTTACCATCCCATCTGACGCGCCTTCTGGGCAGGCGTTGTTCGCCTGGTCGTGGTTCAATAAGATTGGCAATCGCGAGATGTACATGAACTGTGCGCAAGTGACTATCGAGGGAGGCTCAGGCAAACGTTCTCATCCTCGTGATATGATGGTGTCTCGTGCGGACACTGCTTTCAGCTCTCGTCCGCCAATGTTTATCGCCAATGTCAACGGTCCTGGTGGATGTACTACCATTGAGAGCCAGGAGGTCAACTTTCCTGAAGCGGGACCCGATGTTGTCGGCGGTGTCGAGGGAAAAGGATACACTTGCACCGGTTCAGCCAATTTCTTGGGTGATGGCTCCGGGTCTTCTGGATCATCCGGGTCAGCAACAACTGTCCCAGCTGCCCAGTCATCAGCCGTCAGCACAACTGCTCCAGCCGCTCCCACCACTGCACCATCATCGGCCCCAGCCCCAGCTACCCCTACAACCAGCAGCGCACCCATCCAACCCTCCAACACAGCCCTACCTGCCGCTAGCAGCACAGCGCCCAAAGTCGTCGGTTCCGGCACCGCCACAGGCGGCCAAGCCTGCTCCAGCAATGGAGGTATTGTCTGCAGTGCCGACGGCAAATCATGGTCCATGTGCAACCAAGGAGCTTTGACTTTTATGGGCGCCGTTGCTGCTGGAACCACATGCTCGAATGGTTCTATTGTTAAGAAATAAGCATCTCGACTATTCACTCATCTCCAGAATTATTCTGCACCCGCAAGACTTTGTTTCGTTTCTTTCGCCTCGCTTGTTGGAGTCATTTGGTATTCATGTTTGAATGCAATGGTCTTACTCAAGATCGACGAGTGGCTGGTCCCCTCGTCCAAAACAACGATGGCTTTTTGGTTTGCAATTTTGGTTTATGATTCACGGATTGCATGGTCTGGTTGGCAGTTGTGTTGCATTTTTTGGGAGATGTTTGGTTTACTAGTCATAGCTATGCAGAAAAATGAAATGAAACAATGAACAAAATGCTGGGACTAATAAGACGTAGTAGAGAATCGTCGACTAATCCTGGTCAATTAATATCATAATAAAACGTCTATTAATAATACACGTATAACCCCATAAGGAAACAAAACACCAGGTATCCATCTCAGCTCAGCAGTCGACCTGGACAAATAAGACTATTGCTTCCCCTCATCGTCGCTCCAATCCAACAACTCCATCAACTTCTCCTCATCCATCTGTTTCTGCTGCTGCTCCGCTTCCAGCACAGCTGGTTGCTGTCGCTGCTTCCTCTTGCGCGCATCACGACCCCATTCCAGTACACCACTCGCCCTAATTTTTTCCGCAAAATCTTCCTGGTCGCTATTTTCGTAATCTTCATCTTTGGTTTTATTATCCTTGTCTCTCTCGTTACCGGCCGCGAGAGTGACAGCTTTCCTCCCAGTCTTGGTACTATCCCCCTTTTCACTCTTCACCCCTTTCTCCTCCTTTTCCTTATTGTTATCATCAACCTTCATCGTACCGATTCTCAAACTATTCCCATCCTTCTTCGGCCTCTTAAGTCCCTCCGACACCAACTGCGCATCCTCCTCCTCCCTCTTCTTCTTCTGCGCTTCTTCCTCCTTAACGGCCTGTCGCTCAAACATTTTCTTGAAGAATAGTTCGATGGCTGGTCGCACCATGATGTACCCGAATACGATGACGATTATGCGTAGCCAGTGGCGCACTTTGGGGCGGCCGACGTAGTCTTGGAAGTCGTGCAGGGAGTCGAGGGCATAGTCGTTGAGGGATTGGAGGAGATCGTAGAGGAAGGCTGTGGGGTCGGTGGTGGTCATTTTGTCTTTTCTATTGATTGGATTGTTTTTCTGATCTGTTGGAATATTGTATTTTGTGGTAGCATAGAGGAGAGGCGTGTGTTGTAAGTTATAGAAGAAGTGATGAATTGTATTGAGGTAAGATCCCGCCGACTCAAATTATTTTTTAGTCTTGTCCGAGCTTCCCGCCGGCTTGCCGAGTGCCGTTTTCTCTGTCTCTTTACAGCCTTAGATTATTTCTCTCTTTTCTTCTTCAAGGAATTCTTTCTTATGTGCACCGGAGAGAAAGGTTCATGTCTGCTGTGACATGAGCATGTTATTAACTTGGCGCACGTGATGTGCGAACCTCCTACCAAGAGACTGACTGGCCTACACCATGAAGACACGGAAAGAGCATTGAGATGAACTCGAGATATAAGAATTCATCTGAATATCAACACCTATTCTGCAAAATGTAGTCGTGATATATGACAGGCAGCCGATCTGCTTCTCTGACATCATTGCCACTGTTTGCCGCGTAATACAGTTTCAGGCTTCTACCTACGTTCTCTACAACACCTAACTCAACAGCAACAAAGCAACAATACGATCAAAATGGGTATCGGTCAAAAAATCCTCAGACGCCTCGGCGTGTCTTCGGATTCAACACCTCCACCAGTCCCTCCCCATCCAAACCCTCCCGTGTGGAATACTCAATCACAGGCAAGCCTCATAATCAACCCCGACGAACGCGACATCTCAACCGACAGGTTCAACGGCACCTACATCCGTCTTGCGCGTTTAGCCAACGGCACGATCCTCGCGGGCTTCACATGGCGCGAAGGCGGACGCATGGATGCCCTACGCATCTTGAAGATCTCGCGCAGTCTAGACGGAGGACAATCCTTCCACGATTTCAGCGAAGTATATCGGGGACACGGCGAGATTGATAATCTACACATTTGCGAGATCTCACCGGACGGACATATCCTCGCAGCTTTCCGAAACCATGATTTCGGCCACAACCGTGCCGGCGATTTGGCGGGTATTACACATTTTCGAATCACAGTCTTTGAATCCAAAGACGCTGGCGCTACATGGCATTATCTGTCCGAAGCAGCAGAAAAATCAGATCCTCCACTAGGAATCTGGGAACCATTCATACGAATGGGTGTCCAAGGCGAAGTCCAACTCATATACTCCCACGAATCGCACCGACGATCAGCGAACTATGCAAGTCACATCCTACAACAGGGCAAACCTGGTCCCAACCACGCTGCATCGAGGGATCCCTCGACAGATCCGCGACGGCATGACTGGAATCACACAAACCATCGACGCAGCCACGGGCCAAATCGCGCTTGTAATGGTCTTTGAGACTACGCGGTACGCGCCCCATTTCAATGTTGAGGCTGTCGTTTCCTACGATGATGGGTATACATGGCATCATCGTCATCAGGTATACACCCCTCGTCGAAGGGGTCATAATGCCGGTGCGCCGCAGATTACTTCCTTTGGGGATGGGTCGTTGGCGGCTGTGTTTATGACTGACGATGATTCGGCGGAGGTGAAGTGGATTCATAATGCTGCTATTAAGATTTGCTTTGCGGGGCCGCCGTGTAACGGGAGGATTGTGTGGAGTGAGCCAGTCGAAGTGTCGCCAGCGTCGAGTTTTTGGCCGGGGATTATGGCTTTGGATCAGAGGACGGCGTTGGTTACGTATGAGCATGAGGGCCCGAGGGGGAGGACTGTTGTGCGGCCGTAGTCTAATTTGCCGAAGGCTTTTGCTTTAAAGTGTAGAATTGAGAAATATCGTAGCTATCAATGTCATTCCTTCCATCAAATTTCTGAATAGGTACTATGCTAATGCAACAGATTCCTGACACATACTAACGTCTTCAATCTATTTCTTCGTTACGGAATAACCCAAACAATTCACTCTACGTGACTTGGAAAAAAAAATAATCAAGGATTCTTCTGCCCATCATCAAGCGTCAACTTCTTCTCCAACTGCGTCGCAGTCGCAGTCGCAGCATCACCCTCAGCCTTTTTGGCGGCAGCAGCAGCCTCCTTCTTCAGCCTCTTCTTCTCCTTCTCCTTCTCCTTCGCCAATTTCTTCGCAGCCGCCTTCTCAGCTTCCAAGGCCTTTTGTCTCCTCACTTCCTCACCACCAAACGCCTCCCTCCACTCCTCAATCTTGGTCGGCGGAATCATAGAAAACAATAGCTGAGATTCGCCGAGTTTGTGGCCCGGTTTCAGGGCATCTGTTACCCATTTCTCAGGGATACGTGCCTCGGGCACAGCTCCCAGTTGCTCAAAGATTGATTTGGAAGTTTGCGGCATAAATGGTGACAAAATGCTGGCCAGGAGGTGGATGTGATTGAGGGCGATGTTGATGACCGCGGCGCAGCGGTCGGGTTCTTCGGTGAAGAGGCGGTTGTCGAGTTTATTGTCTTGAAGGAGTTTGTTGCCTAGGGAGGAGATGTGCATGATATCGTTGAGGGCGGGGCGCATTTTAGTGGCGTCCATATAGGTGTTATAGGATTTTAGGTGGGTATTGACTTGATTCTCGTGTTCGGTGAGGACTGCTTTACCAGCTTCGGCGGAATATTCAGGGACAACGCCATTCATCTTGGCGATACAGAATTTTGTGACGCGCGCGACTAGGTTTCCGAGATTCTTGAGGAGTTCGTTGTTGTTGGTGCTGACGAATTCGTCCCATTTGAATTCCGTGTCGCTGCTCTCGGGCCGTCGAGATAACAAGTAGAATCGCCAAATATCGGGACCAACACCAGTATCTTTTGCGCTTGTGCCAAATACTCCCACACCTTTGGACTTGCTGAATTTGCCACCTTCGTAGTTGAGGTATTCTGTGGCAGAGATCTTGTGTACTTGAGTCCACGTCATACCAGACCCGAGTTGCGAACCGGGGAAGATGATGCTGTGGAATGGTACGTTATCCTTGCCCATGAATTGGTACAAGGACACAAGCTCGGGGTGTTTCCACCACTGCTCCCATTTCTTGCCCTCGAGATTATCCCCATCGGTATAATTGGCGGTGATAGAGACGTAACCAATACAGGCGTCGAACCACACATAGAAAACCTTGTTCTTATACGCCTCTTCATCCAAACCCTTGATACCCTTCGGAATCGGTACACCCCACTTGATATCACGAGTAATAGCACGAGGCTTCAACCCACGATCAATCCACGATTGCACAATCGAAGTAGTATTGATACTCCAATCATTCTCCTTGCTCACTTTCTCAAACCAAGGCACAATCTTATCCTTGAGAGCATCCAGACGCAAATACAAATGTTTCGTCTTGCGTTTCTCCGGTGTGGCACCATCGAGCTTACAGCGAGGGTTGATCAGCCATCCTGTCGCTCTTGCTTCGACATCTTGTTCCTCTCCATCACCACTTTCCTTTGCATCCGGCTCCAACGGATCCAGCAAATTACCACATTTGTCGCATTGATCTCCACGAGCACCAGGATCACCGCAAATACTGCATTCACCTTCAACGAATCGGTCCGCCAAAAAACTTGCGTGTCCCTCTACGGGACAATATGGTTGGGTAGTCTCTCGCTCTTCAATATATCCATTCTCCCACAGACCGCGGAACACGTCCTGCACAATCTTGGTTTGATGCGCGGTAGGCGTACGGCCAAAGATATCAAACTCGATATTGAACCAGTCGTAGATACCCTTGTGAATAGCATGGTATTTTGCGCAGAGTTCTTCCGGAGTTACGCCTTCTTCAAGGGCTTTGGTTTCGGTGGCAGTTCCGTATTCATCCTACCGACACCCGTCAGCCTTAGCTAACCATGATACCAATAACCTTCTCAGGGTGATACTAACAGAACCGCAGATATACAACGTCGGAAACCCCCTCGCCCGATTGTAGCGAGCAAACACATCTGCGGGGAGCACACTACCGATTATATTTCCAAGGTGGGGAACATTATTCACGTAGGGCAAAGCGCTAGTGATGAGGATATTTCGTTCGCCGGGTATTGGCAATGTAGGCTCATTGGTGGCCATGATTGAGTCGATTCTCTGCCAGAGTTTTTTCGAGAGGGGAGTTTTTCGAAACGGGTGATATCTTCTTTTGAGGCAGAGAAAAACGGTCACCGATAAACGCCCTCCGAATGGCTCAAAGATTCCAAGGAGAGCGAAATGCGGGGCAGAAAAATGACTACGATAAGCAATCAGCCATACCGCCTTCTGTTTTGGGCTATAGAGGAGGGGTAAGCCCTAACCCCTAACCCCTAACCCTAGTTATTAACGTTCGTCATCAGTTTGAGAAGAGAGAATGCTGGGTTCTTTTGAATGTTGCAGACCCTTCCAATAGTCATTCCGATAATCCCTTGTTAGGGCTAACCAGGAGCCATTCGGTTTCTGACTTTAGGTACGTACTTGGATAGGCAACTTATTGTTGGGGAGAAATATACACTCATTTCATTCACAGGATGATGCGACATTTTAATTCCGGATTATATGCCATTTATATATATTTGATCTGGACTCGGAAATTCTATAACTTCCACGGAAGCCCTACACCTCCCAACTGAACTATATGAAAGATGCGTCTAAGAGTCGTGAAGATAAGCAGCAATATTCCCCCCCCAACCACCTTGGTTATCGCCTTGCTTGGCAATAGGGCTTCCGCTCTCCAAGAACATGTTGGTCACAGATTTAACTCCCTGGCCGTAGATGTAAAGTGGCGACGACTTGAGGATATTGATTGCGTTCGATTGGCAATCACCACTGCAACCACCGTTGTTGTTAAAAAATACCCAGACCATGCCGTTATACAAGAATAAGTCAGATGAACCAGAGATGCGCTCGAAGAAGGCCATGCCGCATTTGGCGTCGCCGGAAGCACAGCTGCTGAAACCGGGATCAGAGGCGATCAGATTACTGCTCCAGGGTATAGGAGCGATATCATTGCCAGGTCCTTGCCAATAGGGGGTTTCACTATTTAATACGAGTTAGCAGCTGTTCAAAGCATTGGAGTGTGAGCAAACATACCTCTGCTGGAAGGTGGAGACAACGTTCTTCGCATTGTTATAGTTGTATTGGTACAAGGTGTGGTGCTCCATGGCCGTTCCCACAAGCCATGTTCCCTTGGTAGCTTCAATAAGCATACCACGACCAGTGGAGATGGTCTGACCATTGTTTCCATCCAAGTCATGGTCAGCAGTCCAACCCCACATATTCTCAATGTAGGCAGAGGATGAGCTCGTCAGGTGGATAAGACCCCAAGCTGCTTTGCACTGATCGGGGCTACCGCCACAGTTTGTCTCGACCTTGCTACCAGCAGCACCACCGATACGGAAGTGGGAGTTCCAGAGACCAACATCGCCAGGGTTGGAACCAGCAATATTCACTTCGACCTGAACAGAATCAGTGGAAGCCCTAAATGAAGGCTTAAAATGGGGAACTTACCAGTTTGCAACCCTGAAGAACATCGGCAACCGTAAAGATTATATCAACAATCTGCGCAACACCGACATCACCAGCATTTCCGATCTTCACCATGGTGCCTGGTGAATTAGGGTTGTAATAGTTGGAACCAATAGCCGAAATAGCAGTTCCGTAGCCCTCACCATAGATACGAGAACCAGCCGGAATAGTGATGGTATTAGTCACAATGTAAGTTCCAGCAGGGAAGTAGATGACTTTGCATCCAGCATATTGCGCAAGGATGGTGTTGATATTTGCCGTGTCATCAGTAGAGCCGTCACCGTACACCGGCAGGCCAGCAACCGACTTGATGTTCAGAACCTGGTCCGCGGAGTATTCCTGGAAAGTAGGAGGCTTCTGCGTGATGAAGTAGTTGCCGTTAGACAAAAGAGATGAAGAGCGAGGGGTTGTCACTGTGGTTCCACGAGCAAGACCGCGGCTAGAGCTGCCGCTGGAATACTATTTAGTATTAGCACAGATATTACTCCCAGTATTCTAAATAAATATCATACCAGATCACCATAGACCCAAGTATCAGTGACGCTACCAGTCAGAACTGTGCTCCCGCTCAATTGAACAGTGGTTCCGGAGTATGAAACGTTCTCAAGAACCACAGAGTTGCCAGCGCCACCACTGTTCGTTCCCTGAAGGAAGACGCCAAGATTTGAACCGGACGAGTCAATCACGGTAATCGTACCGGATACACCAGTTGCATCAATACCAGTTGCAGCATAAGCAAAAGAGCAAGCCTGGCAAACGACGCTAAAACCTCCGGCCTTGATACCGGTGGTAGTGCCACTCGTCTTGATATTCTTGAGGATCCATTGCTGTCCAGAAAGTTTCAAACCGTACGCACCACCGTTGAATGTCAGGTCGTTTAAGATGATGTTGCTGTTAGAGTCATATTGGGAGGTGACACCAACATGGCCAGTGGAGTAGTTGGGCATGTTGAAAACAACGTTTGCCAGTTGAGTAGCTTGGCTAACGGTCCAGTCAAGAAGTGCCAAACTTTGAGCGCCATCGACAGATGTGGAGTCAATAATGATGTTCTTTATGCCAATGTAGAAATTGATGGTACCGCCAAAATTGGGGTCCTTTGCATAGATAACATGATCATTGGGGAAGCCGGCGGCAGCTTTGAGAGTCGGAGGGTTGATGGGATCGCCAACAAGCACAGTACCGACAAGAAGCTGAATGCTGCTGGACATTAAGTAGGTACCAGCTGGGAGATAGACTACTGCAGGTTGACCAGTTGTTCCGTAGTTTCCGGAACCTCTAGCAGGGCCTCCATTTGACGGACCGGCTAGAAGATGTTATTAGCATGATACAGGAAAGAGAACAAGACCAAGAACGAATATATACCATTAATAGCTTTCTGAATAGCAGCAGATGCATCCGTGGCACCGGTGTTGTCTGCGCCAAAGTCGGTTACAACATTACGGAAGACAGAGTACTCGTTCCTGTAATTTGAGGACATGAAAGAAGACAACCCATTATGAGTGACACTTTCGTACCACCAGGTAGACGGATTTGAAGGTGTAAGAGGAGTGCAAGTGGACGCAGCATCAATCATTGCAGCAGCAGCTATCTGTGATGGCTGATTGAGTTTAACCCATGGTTGGATGGACTCATCCTTCAGGGGGAATGGGATGCCACTAGATGATCGATTAACATAACGATATTCACAGTCATAGAAAGAGATATCCATACTGCTTCTGAGGCGCGTAGGAGTCAGAAGGAACAAACTGCGAGACGTTGAAAGAGTCGGCGTCGTGACTGCGATCTCCACGTGACACCAGCCCGTCTGCGGGTAGGGCTCCTGTCAAAAACGGTAATGCCAGGAGGGAGACCAACAGTTTGGCCATTTTGTTCTTTTTCACCACTATGTACAATTAAATAGAGAAATAAAATATATAAAAAAAAATATAAGAGGTTGACTTCTAAAAGTTAGAACAAAAAAAACTAGAAAATTACCCTCAACGAGAGTATCTGAGGCGGCGCGAGTCCAGAATGTAGAATCCGGAAGCCCTAAAGATCGACATACCAAAGCAGTTGTGCTCTTGCCGGACATAGCTCCTACATATATAGGTCTCTAAAATCAGCTTTTCAACTGGCCTCAGCTTGATTCTCAATTATGGAGACCTGTTTCCCCTTTTGCAATGCTAGCCGGTGTATTTGTCGAAAGGTAGCTGATATTCAGGTAGTTAGTGTCGGCCGAGCTGAAGTCGGCCTAGTACGTAAGTACTTTCATGATTAGTTAGTTAGTAAATATGATATAGGCGATAAAGTTCTTACCTCTCAGGCATAATCAGGTGGCTAATATGCACTGTCATTTAATGAGTAATTCTGCAAAGACCACTGTGTACTAGATCATCTTCTATGAAATTAGGGGTCAAAACACGATTCCATTGGCCCAGAGCCGGTCCGCCCCCGGCTGAAACGGTATTCAAGGTAGTATCTGAAGAAATTAACACCTTGGCTAGTTAAGCACGGTAAAGAGGAGAAGCTAAAAATCTGTATGCTCTCCTGACATTCAAGACTACAATAGGTTAGGTTCTTCCAGAATCAGAGTAGTAGCAGCAAAACGACTTGGTGGTCCTTATGGTAGATGCCATCAGTGCCAGACCTCAGCTGGAAAGAGTGTACACTTATTACTACACGCTTTCCTAGGTCGGAGTATGGGGTACAATCTAATAAAGGTGCTTATTCATATTAAGCTCATTCGATCTGCAAATATCAGCGGACATCGATAAACACGAGATTTACATTATTTCCTATTTAGGAATATGGGTCTCGCCGAATTCGGTTGTTTGTTTCAAGGCCTAAACAGGTTCGCCTGCTTGTACAGGATGCTGTAGGTTGAGTTGAATGAAATTACGACTTCAAAAGGGCGGTATCCTTTAGCAGTGAATAAGTAGAGTTGGTATATTATGCAAATTGCATTTCAGTGGCGGCATATCAAAGTGATTATTAGCACCTTAGGTACTCGAGCATCCACGTTTCCCCTACGCCCCACCTCTAATTTGTAAAGGTTTCAATTTTACCTAAAGAGACATCATCGAGTCAATAGTGACTGTCACCCTCTGCGGACGAAGCGGCTGAACAAATACCGAAAAAAGAAGCTCGACATTTCTTCACTTTTGGGGTCCAAAAGCCACAGCATCCGCAATTCGGGACGTCGGGCATCTTTTGAGACATTGGCATCTAGATCACACAGATGTAGAAATTGAGATACGTAGGTACAGACGGGAGTTTAATTAGTCTTTATACCAAGCGAGAAGATAATCTCGAGAACACTCACAATGCAAATGTAAGCATGTAGATCGCAGATCAGCAGTTGAGATAGGCGGAGTTAGGGCTAGGGCAAGTAGAATCTGCATGAAATGACTAGGATAAATGCCCCACGTGAAAGCAGGTGAACGTGGCAGATGCAGGCCTGGTACTACCTCATATTGTTACATTTAAATTGACACTTTAATTGGCTCACTCTGCCGATGATATTATCACCTGTAAAAGATTGCCTATTTGATTTAAAGAATGTATGAAGACATGATATGGACACTTGGGTCTTCCAATGGTAAAGCAAGATTAGGGAGAAAGGATACAATATTATATCCAATAGTTGAGATTCGAATGGATATTCGAAGCCAGAAAAAAGAACACAAATCCAGTCAACATTTCCATCGAAGAGAACGTAATGCAGCTACTAGACTGCTACAACAATATCAAGTTTAGACGCAGTACTTCAAAGGACAAGTCAAAAAAAAGAAAAGACAGATGACTCAGCCAATACCCGTCAATCTTTTTAAAGCTGCATACTATCCAGAAATCTAAAGATTGCAAATTCTGGCAGCGGAGATCCAGCAAGTAAGACGATTGGCAATGTCACTTGCATAGCAATGGATATCGTAACCGGTACCAAAATCACTGGAAACTGAGCCAGAGTTGCAGATACGAGCGACACGGTAAAATATTTGGGCACCAGAGGCGTTGGCTTGGTTGATGCAGTTGGCGAGACCATCGCCAGATCTGACTCCGCCAGCTGTGCGGATACCGTGTTCAGCATTCTATATCATTGGACTGTGCTGTGTTATACATGGAGAGGTACTTACTTCCTTCCCATCATACCCTCACTCGCTTTTCCTCTATCTCTCCTGGCTATCTACTCTTTGCTTCCACGAAGGGCACTATCGAGAAGATAACGCGGGTTATGGCTAGAAAGCTCGCTCCAAAAGGTGGGATTCACTGTCAATGCCATTGTGCCCGGTCCCATTGCCACCGAGGCCTGGCTGAAAAGTAACTCGGATGAGCTGATTTCCGCGCTGAAGGATGTCAGCCCTTTTTGCCGACTGGGGGAGCCAGGAGAACATTCCTAAGGTGTTCAGGCTTTTATGCAGTGATGAATATTCATGGGTTGCCGGTCAGATCTTGATGGCGATCGGAGCGGCAGTAGTGTAGGTTGTCGTTTAAGCCATTGGCTCATAGGCCGTGATTTGAACAAGTAATTATGTTCGCTAATCACATATTCTTCTACAATATGGTAGTCCCACAAGTATGCTTGAACTATCCATGGATGTCAATGTCCATAGCACCATACATCCTAGAAGTTCGGCTTTGGTCATGATGGCCTCTCTAGACAATCTTCGTGACTGTCCCTACATCAAGAATAATATGACGTACAAGAAGGATCTCAGAAATTAGAGATAGACTCAAAAATGGAATGTTGACGAGCGACTAGCCTGAATGTCCAGACGCCTTTTGATATATATACAAAACGGGTATCTTTCATGTACAATACAACGTATATGGACTCATAAAATAACCATGAAGATGCCCCAACACCATAAATATATACAGGAAAGCGAAGAAACAACAAAACATAGGTAAGCCAAGCTCACGTCAGGCTAAGCCCCTCAAATTGCACATCACCTCTCTCTATCAAACGAAGCGCCGCTCTGAGAGAGGTAATGTCGTATCCCGCAAAACCGACGAATTGAACTTCATGCATCATCAACTCATTCCTGAACTTGCTTTTGCTCGCCTCATACATTCTGCGAGGAGCAATATTCACTATAGTTCCTCGAGTGCGACATGCTGAAATCGCCGAGGTAGCCGAATATGCCATGCCTCGGCTTCTGTTAAGCATTGCAGAGGGAGGAGCAGCAATGTCCTGGTCGACTTCGTAATCATACTGATCGTCGATATGAAAAACCACATCAGCGCCCACATCATCCGTGAGTAACCGTACGGACTCGGAGATATCGATATCTCTAGGGTTAATAACATGGGTGGCACCGAATTGAGTCGCGAGTCGTTTCCAAATAGGGTGATGTTCCACAACGATGATTTGATACGCGTTTTGCAGGGATAGCAGTCGAATAAGAAAAAGTGAAATCGGGTTACTCGAGACAATCAGGACATTATCAAGAGGTCGAAAAAGGGACATGCGTAATAATGCATGATAGGCCGTTGCGAGTGCTGCGAGATATGTGGCGCTTCTAATGGAGATGGATGCTGGTAGGGGATATAGATAAGATGATGGAGCGGAGAATGTACCTAAAAAGCACCTGAGGTTAACTCTGTAACCAATATAGGAAAAAAAATTATAGAAGACATACCGTTTGAATCGGTAAGACCGTTCTCTCCATAGTCGTATCCATCTAGTGAATCATATGAAGATTGTGATGGTATAAGAACCACATTCTGTCCTTTCGCAAACTGAGATACACCCAGACCAACTTCCTCAACCACACCAGCCATTTCATGATTCCCGTATCTCGTCTGTTTCGACGGGTTCAAGAAACAGTCATTTCCAACTCCGGCAGAGATCTGCCAACCATTGTGATTGTCTTTCGATTGACCATCGCCAATAACACTGGAGGTGTTCCTGGAATAACTGTAAGGTGCCGGTTTTATCTGATATCGCGACAAAAATATTTATCAATTGATGACCTAGTTTAACGCGGAGATCTCGTGAGACCACTGAAATGAAAGCATAATAAAGGAGATAAAAGGGATGGTTACAGTAACCCATGCGTCACGGCATGCTGGCATCTCGATTTCCGCAATTGTAGCTAACGGATCTTTGGACGAATATTTCAATGTAGTCCATGAAGGTCGAGGCATAATGAGAAGTGTGCAGCTTTTATCTCTGGTGTTTGAATATTTGCAAAAATTCAGTATCAGTCAAAAGCTCTACTCCAAAGTCCTCCATGGTCGCAAAACACAAGTTTATATATCATATCTCCGAGGAACAATTGTGGCGATACGAGAAGCGGATTAGATATCCTTCGAGCTCCGGATATTTTTGCCGGAGATCTAAGTACCCAAGCAATTTGGTCCATAGGCTGGGGAAACAGAGGATATTATATCCATAATAACAATCAGCCTGCCCTTGTAGGGGTGGCGAACGGTATCTCTCCCACCAATCGCTGTAGATTGACGACTTCTCCACAAAAGTATACAGGCCCTACAGGGCCTCTAATCAAATCGCCAAGCGCGATCATCCTCTGCAGACCTGCCGCTCGCCAATCGACTGGATCAATCGTAATGCTGTGAAAAGAACGTGCTTAGTCAATGATTTGCAAAAAATAAACGTCAGTCCGTTTGCTATCGAGATTCTGTGGGGGCGACGGAGTCCATGCTTCTTAGATCTCGTCGTCTATGATGAATTTTCCACTTTGAATCATAGCTAGGCGATGCAAGCCAATGAATGGTTCACTTGTTCAATCACTGTCCTCGTCTTGTGGCTGTTGCTGCTCAGCCGCTTCCTTTTGCTGATCAATGAATGCTCGCAGGATAGATTCTAGACCTTCATTACGTCGCGCTAGTAGCATCACATCGTTGATATTTATCGTTGATCGGCCGGCATGTCTAATAGGTGCGGAGTTGTTAGCGAGTGTCTGATTTGAATTGCGAGCTATTGGAAACCGAGCGGGTGGTTATACTTTGCGAACGCTTCTAAGTCCTGACTAACTGACTCTGTGCAATCATATGTTAGATAATTCCTCAAAGATATTCTGCGTGATTAATTGCAACGACTCACCAATCTGTGCCCATACCATCTCCGTCAATGCTCCGATGAATTGAGGAGTCGCATTAACACCCAATTGTATGGTTTCCTCATCGACAATCTTGCCAATAGCTAGCCAAAGGGCCGATTTGAATCGCTATCGATTAAGCCGTTAGCTAAGCCAAAGACCTTCTCAAGCGATACCTAGACGAGAGACGCTCAATGGCGGTATATGTACCTCTTTCAACGCCTGGTTTTCTTCTTGGTTATTGTCCGACATTTCCAGGATTTATGTAGATCGTAGTGGCTGTAATTCTTAGCAGCGCTAAATAACGTCGATAAACGATTGCCACTGGTAAGCGAAAGTAGACAATTTCGCAGAATAATCTGTGTTGTTCGTGTTGTCCGTGTTGGACGCGCAACTGACGCGTAGAAGCTTCACCAAATGCTACTGGATTCGTGTGGCTTGTCGGGTTTCAAATGGAAAACAATATCATCGAAATTCTTTCGTGAATCAGGCGTGATAGAGCCTCTAAGAGTAATATCTCTACGTCGAACTGCGAGAAATACCTCTTAGAGTCTCGGATTGTTCCTGGTGAGCTGAATTGGTGAAGGGAAGAAATGAGACTCTTCCGGCGTAGCACTGACGGACCTAAGTTGGCGCCTTCCCGCGGTAATCTTAACCACCAACCATTAACTGTCTCTGGTCATGGTCACCCAGTTTCAATGTAGTCGTCTCTGAAGTCCCGAATGTTAGAGAATATTTCAATTCAATATACCTTGTCATAATGGACTGCAAAGACATGAGGGTCAACAAGAGACAGAAATCAGCTCTTGGGTGTCTTACCTGCAAGTATATCTGCCCTATCTTTATATATCCCGAGAAATCGCATAGCTAGGTAACTAATGGCATCATTAAAGAAAACGCAAAGTCAAATGCGACGAGCAGAAGCCGCAATGTCAAAGATGTCTTTCGACTGGACGGACTTGCGATGGTTATCCTGTACCATCCCCAACAAGAGACCGTCGTCCTGGGCTGCTGCTCGCTGTTCCAGTAACCCAGCATTTGAGGACAGCAGAGGACTATCGTGCTTTTCAGAATTTCATGAGTCTCGTGCCCAGCCTTGCAAATTTTGCGAGCACTGAATTATGGAATACTTATATATTGCAATTGAGCCAAGCTGATGCTGCTATTCAGCACATTGTTCTCTCCGTTGGCCACCTTGTCGGTACAACCTCTGGGGAGATCGCGCTGAAAGAACAACAGGAGAAATTGATATGTTACCACTATAGCAAGGCACTACATGCGCTGACCAACGATCCGAATCCCGACGTGTATATCGTGCTACTATCATGTCTACTTTTCTGTCTGTTTGAAGAACTCCAGGGAAACTGCTATCCAGCTATACAGCATATTGTGGCCGGCAGAGATATCATCTTTAAACATATTCGCTCATACAGGTCATCGGCGTCACGCAGCGATAACTTGGTCTCAATCAAGGCTTCGTCGACCTGGAACCCACTACTTGCGCAGCTTTTGCAGGTATACTCGCGGCTGGAAATGCATGTAGCCGTGTTAGAGGCACGAGCTCTTAATCCAATTGCCCGCCTACCTCTATCAGGGTTTTCGGAAAGAGAGATAGAATGCTACAGCAAGGTTCCAAACCGTTTGTGTTGGGACACTCATCCCCCGTTATCTAATAACGTCAATGATAATGATGTTACATTCCCTGAATTCGCAAATATGGTTGATGCCAGCCGCTACTTGGCTGGATTGGCAGCTATTTGCGTTGCAAACCTACCAGCAAACCCATCGAATGAGACTCGACCAAGATGGCGCAGTACCTTTCTTAGGCCCTCCCGTCAAGCTCTATTACTGGACCACTGGCTCGAAGCATTCAACGCAATGATGTCAACCTACACAGCTAGTAAGATTACTATTCATGACCGAGTCCACTGTCACATCCTCCGACTCTATCAATCTTGTCTTGCGTTCATGAACAAAGCCAATGAGACGGGTCAAGAAAGGATTTTTGATGAGAACAAAGTGATCTTCGACCTGAACATGTTCAGAATGACGATCCTGAAATCTGTGGCGCAGGAGGAGCTCATATCGCCATTGTTCTTTGTGGCTACCCGTTGCCGTATTGGTTACGTTCGGTGTACAGCAGTGGAATACCTCCGTCGGTGTGGTCTAGAGGGCGAATTTCTGGCCGATGTTGCAGAGCGGATTATACAGGTAGAAGAGTCCAATCATTCAGAGGAGGATGAGACGACATCCTTCGGCTTTCCTGCCGAAACGTCACGTCTTAGACTTCATGGCTTGCAACCTGCGATAGGCCAGGATCAGCAAGAGATGTTCCGCCTCATGGTGTCCAGTTTTCCATACCACCCCCACGCACCAATATGGCCGTTGACGGTTCATCTTCCTCTCGTGCAGGAAAGGGGATTCATGGTCAAGGCTGGCGCTTGTCTTGAACGAGCACTTCGTTTCGAGATGTACCCATCCGTTTCCTGAGCAATAACCTTGTTTAGTCGGATTTAGGTCGTTAAAGGCAAATTCCATTATCTCCTTGGATTCTATCGTTAAGCCCGACCAGAAAATATTCCTATAAATCCTGCACTAAAATGTTAGCCTCGCTGGGCAATCGAACACGCAGCGAAATGACGACTATAGAGCCATTAAATGTAATGTGATTGGTCAGATCGGAAACTACCTCTAGCGTGGTTTTGAGATTCCAGCCGTGTGATTGGTCAATCGATTTCTGTATACTCCGTGCTTCACGCCGAATATATAGAGAGTCGCCAGGATGATGACAATAGCGAGTCATTTGAATCTGAGATGAATCTTGCAGGCTCAGGCGTATTTACGCTGCTTACGGCCGGCGACATGGTATGAACGCGCATATCTCCTTGCTGGAGAAGTATATAAACGTCGAACTTGCCAGCTGCAATCGTCCATCATTCAAACAAACAGTTACTGTTGATATCAACTAAAAACCCTGCATCCAATCATCTATATTCGGTCATCTTGAGAATTGTACCAGCATCATGTCTGTCACAATTGCCAACCGAATAGTGAACCCAATCGGCTTCGGCTTGATGGGTGCGAACCCCTTAACCCCTCGAAAGAACTGGAAATAACTAACATCATCAGGCCTCACTGCTCGCCAAAACTCCCCATCCTTTGATGAATCCATAAAAGTCATGAAACGCGCCCTCGAACTAGGGGCCACATTCTGGAACGGCGGCGAATTCTACGGGCCCCCCGAATCCAATTCCCTGCACTTGCTCGAATACTACTTTCGCAAATACCCCGAAGACGTAGATAAGGTCACTCTCAGCATCAAGGGCTGCTTTTCAATTCACGATGGTCGTGGTCCGGATAACAGTCCCGAGGGCGTCCGCAAGAGTGTCGAGAACTGTCTCTCCATACTCCAGGGTCGAGTCCCCATCCACATCTTTGAGCCAGCTCGAATCGACCCCAACACCCCAATTGAAGAGACCATCAAAGTCCTCGCAGAATACGTCAAACAAGGCAAAATCGGCGCTATAGGCCTAAGCGAAGCCGGTTCAAAGACCATCCGTCGTGCTCACGCCATCCATCCCATCTCCTCAGTTGAACTAGAACTCTCCCTCTTCACACCCGACATCCTTGAGAACGGTATCGCAGCTACATGCGCTGACCTTCAAATCCCCATTGTAGCTTACTCCCCTTTAGGGGCGGGTTTCCTATCCGACCGGTTCAGAAAACTCTCTGATTTAAGCGAAAGCGAATTTCGACGTTATCAACCCCGCTTTCAGCCTGGTGCTTTTGAGGCGAATGTTCGTATTGCGGATGAAGTGAGGAAGATCGCCCAGGCCCGGGCTGGAGACAGCGCGGCTACTACGGCGCAGGTAGCTATTGCATGGGTTCTGGCTCAGGGCGAGAAGGTTGGATTACCGTCTGGTATGGTGGTTATACCTGGTTCCACGACTGTTGAGAGGGTGGAAGAGAATATGAAAGAGGTCAAACTGAGTGAGGAAGAGTTGCATGCCCTAAACAAAATTGTGGAGGAGAATGATGTTCAGGGGGGGAGGTATATGGAGTCTTTGGCTAAGCTTATTAATGGTTAATCTCAGCGAAGTATTTGTAGTCAAAGAAATTAGATAGATATATGAGACCTCGATCGCATTGCATTAAAAGCTCAAATTGTCCCACATACATATACATACACTATCAAAAGGTTAAGGACATTGGATTGGAGAGGTATCAAACATATTTCCCATTGATAATAAAGAGAATCGACACCAACATGCACGATAAAAACAGGCCAGGCTATCGACTCGATAGAAAATGATAATACTCATTCTGATATAGAAAGAGAATACAAACAACAAACCCAGCCTGGCAGACAAAGCTTTACATAACCATCAAGTAAAAAAGCATTCATCCAGGGTTTGCGTTAAGATGATTGGATGGAGGTATAATATCGATATTTATTTCATTTTCTCATTTTTTCCTTGTTTTCTTTTGTGATTGTCAAAAGGTTAAGCCTCCACGGTCGCGGCAGTTTCTTTGAATGCCTTGCTCGTATCCGCCAAATTCGTGGCTGCAGCTGCAGGTCGCTTTGATTGGTAATTCTTAATAGCTGCTTTGATGGCATCTTCAGCCAAGAGGGAGCAGTGAAGTTTGACCGGGGGGAGGCAGAGTTCGTTGGCGATTTGGGTGTTTTGGATTTTGCCTGCTTCTTCCACTATTTCCCTAGTATTAGTTATATGTTTATGATGGGGAGTGGAATAAGGGACGTACAGGTCTTTCCGGCTAGGAGTGTGGTGAGATATGAGCTTGATGCGATGGCGCTGCCGCACCCGAATGTTTTGAAGGCTGATTTGACGATTTTGCCGGTCTTTTCGTCGACTTGGATGTCGAGACGGATCTGTTACTGTTAGAATCGTGAGGTTCTAGAAGGTAGAGGGAGTGAAACGTACGACGTCACCGCACTGATAGCATACGTTAGTAAGAGTTTTGAAAACAGTTCATGAGGGTACATACTGCAGGCGCTCCAACTAGACCGGATCCAACATCTGCGGACTTGCGATCCAAAGATCCCACTAATTCAAGTTAGCGATTTCTGCGAATGATTGTATAGATGCGCGTAGGAATTGAAGGTTTAATCAGGAGTGGCGAATGCGAGCGACGACTGCACTGATCAGCTTCCTCGCAACAAGGAGCTGCGTGAAACTAAGAGGTATAATCCAGTCGCCATATTGTCAGAAGAGTGCACCGTGTAATTGTCGTATCCGGACGAGTCCTAGGATCCGTCATCGCATATGCCGCGGGATGTGTCATCGAAACAATTTGTAATCCGGAGCGGGACTGCGCATTGAAAATTGCGTATCAAGGACCGAAGCGAAAAGATTGCACGAAACCGTTCCAGATCAAGAAGGTTGAATCGATAAACATATCGAAATCGTGCACAAGCATGGCGATACACGCCTGGAGAATACCAGTATAGATTTGTTCGAAAAGTTCGATCGGTCTCCGTTCCGCAATATATGAAAACCCAAATCTCTGAAAATATCGATCAAAATGTTCTCCTCCATCTTCGGCCAATATCTAATCCGAATCGCAATGACTTGGTGCACCTTCCGACAATACACCCCATCCTTCACAACTCCCGACGCGAGGGCGGGGAAAGACTATGCGAAAACGACAATACAATGCAAAATAACCGTACTAACCATTCCTAGGATTCGTATAATGATCTAACAGTTTGAGTATGTCAGCCTTTTTGTCCAGCATACATCACCCAAAAGAAGTCTACTTATCTTTCTCGTGATAACCTCGGCGAGCAGCAATAGTCAAAGCCGGGAGAACCGGCGACAGCAAAGCCGGTCGAGTTGAGAGCATATGTCCCGAGCGGACAATGTTTCTGACTGGATTCATATTTGATTTTGTGATGTGATACGCGATGAAGGGAGATGCAGACAGAAAAAAAGTAAGTTGAGAGTTGAGATTTCTGTGGCAATGGTAAATAATTCTAGAAAGTCGATCGGTGACGTTCAAAATGTGAAATTGGATCACGTGAACTCCGGCATCGGGGATTTCGGGTGCGGAGTTATCTGATCGTCCGAAATACTGACTCAGGACCAATCAGATGCAGGAGATGTTATCTGATTTTCGGAAATAAAATATATCACCAATCAAAATGCAGGAAAGCTAAAGCCGAGTCCGAGTCCGCGGAGACTCCATCAGATAAATTTGTTGATTATTAATCATTCTGGCTCTGGATGCCGCGTGCAGTTCTCATTGGCTCTTGATTATCTACACCAATGGCAATAACTGGGGGTTTATATTGCATTCCACAAACTAAACCTGCTTAGAAATCCTCGCATTCACTGACAATCTCATGTACCAACTCAATACAAATATCAGTGAGACTCAGGAATGGCGCCATATGACTGCTACTTGGAATTTCCTTCACAATCCATCTCTTGCCAGTTCCTTCTATCATCTGGTATTGCGCATGCTTGGAGACAGCTCGGTCTTCTCCAGTGACTATATATGCACAACGGCCATCGTAGGATGACTCGGTCCAAGCTGAAGGTGGTTGCTCCGATGTAAATGCCAAGTTCGAATGCGGTTTCAATTGTGCAGTCATCTGATTCGTGAGACCTGGTTCAACATCGGCGGCGAAGATCTCGACTGCATTATCTGGAATATTCACCCCTTTCTCGGGCTATACAGAGCCAGAAATAGTTAGGTATATGATATTGTCTCTTTCCCAATCACCTACCTGATCCAGTAAAACCCAATCCGGAAGCTTCCCTCCTTGCAAACCAGCACAACTCAATCCCTCCGGCACCAGAAACGCCCCAATACAAATCAATGCAATGATACCTCCTGCTTGACCGTTTCGTTGGCGGTCCGTTTTGCAAAATCCCCTGGCTGCTGAGGCACCGGGCATAGACCCGTACGAGTGCATAAGAAGAAGGATATCTTTGCCTTCATGCTCGATCAATGGCTTGATTGCTTGGTCTCGAATAGCTGTTGCGTCTTGTTGGCAATCAGCGCCCGCGGATTCCGAAGAGGGGAACGAGATGTAGCGGACGGGGTATCCGGCCTTCTCCAAGGCTTGGAGGAAAGAGGAGTAAGTAGGCTCGGGGAGCCATGCTCCTGGTATGAAGACTATAGTTGGCTTGGACATGGCCGCTTAGCATTTCAGAAATCTGTAGTGAGCAGAGAGTTGGAAGACAAAGACACCCCCGCCAGATTAATGTTGGTATTCCAACATGTTGGTTGATACCCCGCCTACAGTTTGGCGAATAGAAGAATATCATCATGACCAACTCCCTCCCATCATTCCGTCGACACCAGCCATTTTACCCTCTACCGGGTACGCACAGAAGCGAGTGATGCATCTTTACAAAACCACGTCCGACATTCTTAGGGTATAGGGTTAGGGCTGATTCAAGTTTATATCCAATTCCAGCCGATGAGTCAGTCATACCGATCGACGGCGGATAAAGGCACTCCGTGGATAGAGTGCCCCTGGAGAGAATATTCTACCGCGTTCGTCCGTCGAGTTTCATCTTGCCTTAGAGAGTCGATATGATAGATTAGATGGATTCACCCCATACTTGTAGGCATCCATATTTGGACATGCGGAAAGCAAAGTTGCCGGTTGCCGAGACGCCAAGCCAAGCATTGGCTTTCATAGGGTAAATTGATGACTGGCCAATCAGACATACGGCTTTACGCGTATACTTGATGCCGAGTATGAATCGATAACCACTAGTTAACCTAGTTACACCTCTGTTTCAATTCCTAAATATAGGTTGTCATGACTCAGTTGCCGCTGATATTGGCGCACGCTTCTCGGATTGTCTATTATTGCATCAATAGACATCTGAGAGAGTTAAAGTAACTATTATTTATGAGTGTACAGTAAACGCAGTCACAGATCTACTAGTAATCAGTCCTCATACCAACTTATGCAGGGCTACAATGCATATTATGGTATGTGGCATTACATATATTACTCTATACGCGTGGTTGTCGTATAGCCAACCAATCAGCTCGTCGACAATTCCCGGAGCACGGGTCCTGTGTATCCGGGCTGTATGGTACCGTATCGGCGAATTAAGCATAACTAGTGCTTATCCTGACTCATTTGAGAGTAATTATTCTATTTGGGACGGGTAACCCAATGAGTCCATAGACTCCATACACGGCGCCCGGGTCGGATGCCTTACAGTACAGTACGTATCATTCAGCTAGACAAGCCTATTCACCTGTGTGTTATTTGTGTTTTTAGTTACAATCTGGTATCGATCGAATTCGTCCGTCAACAACTGGCAGTGGTATCATACCATCTTGCGATTACCGTTTTCGGCCAGAATCCATGTTCGGTTAATGAAATCTGCCCACCCGATTGGCTGTATCTACAATTCATCGGTTTCTCCTTTATTTTTATTTTATTTTATTTTATTTTCTTTTTCCATTTTGAATCTTTGGCTGCAAACCAACTAAGACTGGGTCAGGGTTGGTCCAGATTATGCTCAGAGTTTCTTGGAGGTGGGGATCCATTCTCGGAAAGGGCCAGCTTCCGTGTTAACATACATTCCTTATATATTGAAGGAGGTAGGTCGCGTGTTTGTTGATTAGTTGCTTCTTGCAATTATACCCCTCCAACAACTGGATTGCTGCATTGAATAGAGGTAATAGTAGTTGTCGGTGAGGGATACGACCAGTCAACTCGGGAATAATATTGTCATACACGGAAACTACACAACATCAAATAGTGGCATCGCTAGGAAACGAATTTCAGTCGGGGAGGAGGGCAGACCTTAAAATGTCGTTCGCTATTAACCCGAACCCGCATCAATCGACCTCCGTCTTCAGTCACAACACTGCCCCAGTACACGAGACGACGGCGGAAGATGCATCAGATCTGGAGAAAAAGAGCTCCGACGAAACCCTGATGGAGCGGGAAGAGATCGTAGAGCTCCGGGTGGGTGAACTGGCTCGCCAATTGACACGCCAATCCACTCGATTCTCAGCCAAGGGAGGCAGTCTTCAGAACCCATTCTTGACAGATGACCCGGAGTCCACTATCAACCCGCACAGCCCCAACTTCCGCGCCAGGGACTGGATCAAGATGTTCTTGGAAATGAGGCACCAGGATCCCGAGAGATACCCCGAAAAGCATGCCGGTATCTCCTTTCGCAACTTGAATGTGCACGGCTTCGGTTCTCCAACAGACTATCAAAAGGATGTCTTGAATATGCTACTGGAGGTTGGAACGCTTGTCCGATGGGCTTTTGGAGTCAAGATGCACAAAGTTCAGATTCTTCGCGATTTTGAAGGTCTGGTCAAGAGTGGTGAGATGCTGGTCGTGCTCGGAAGGCCAGGCAGTGGTTGTTCAACATTGTTGAAGACTATTGCCGGTGAAATGAACGGTATCAATATGTCGGAGGACGCTGTAGTGAACTACCAAGGTATGTACCCAAATAAGTTCAAATCCGAGGCAACAAGCTAACGATGTCAGGTGTCCCCGTAAAGGAAATGCACAACAACTTCAAAGGTGAAGCCATCTACACAGCCGAGACTGATGTTCACTTCCCCCAACTCTCCGTCGGCGATACTCTCAAATTCGCTGCTCTCGCAAGATCGCCTCGAAACCGTTTCGAAGGAGTGACGCGCGACCAGTACGCCACGCATATGAGAGACGTTGTCATGGCGATGCTTGGTCTTTCGCACACAATCAATACCCGTGTCGGTAACGACTTTGTTCGTGGTGTCAGTGGTGGTGAGCGCAAGCGTGTCAGTATCGCCGAGGCTACTTTGAGTCTGGCTCCCCTCCAATGCTGGGACAACAGTACTCGAGGTCTTGACAGTGCCAATGCTTTGGAGTTTTGTAAGAACCTTGCTCTTATGAGCAAGTACGCTTCCACGACTGCCTGCGTCGCTATCTATCAAGCTTCGCAGAGCGCATACGATTGCTTCGATAAGGTCACTGTTCTTTACGAGGGACGACAAATCTATTTTGGACCTACAACAGAGGCAAAGCAATTCTTCGTTGACATGGGATTCGAATGTCCCGATCGTCAAACAACTGCCGACTTCTTGACCTCACTCACTAGCCCGGCAGAGCGAAGAGTCCGCCCTGGATTTGAAGGCCGCGTCCCAGAGACTCCTGATGAATTCGCCGCAGCATGGAAGAAGAGTGAGGCCCGGGCCAAGCTTATGCGAGAGATTGAAGCCTTCGAAGCGCAATACCCGCTTGGTGGTTCATCGCGTGATGCATTCATTGATGCGCGTCGCGCCACGCAAGCAAAACGTCAACGTTCCATGTCTCCATACACCATCTCTGTTTGGGAGCAAATCTCTCTATGCACTGTGCGAGGCTTCCAACGACTCAAGGGTGATTCCAGTTTGACTCTCAGTGGGCTGATTGCAAACTTCATCGTTGCTTTGATTGTCGCATCCGTCTTTTTTAATCTTGGAGATGACTCCAACAGTTTCTATGGGCGTGGTGCCTTGCTCTTTTATGCCGTCCTTCTCAGTGGTTTTTCTAGCGCGCTCGAAATTCTCACCTTGTATGCTCAACGTCCTATTGTGGAAAAACAGTCACGTTACGCTTTCTATCACCCATTTACCGAGGCCATCGCGTCTATGCTCTGTGATACGCCGTACAAGGTCCTTAACTCCTTCACCTTCAACATTCCTCTTTATTTCATGACCAATCTCCGCCGAACTGCGAGTGCTTGGTGGACTTTCTGGCTTTTCTCCCTTGTCACGACTTACACCATGTCTATGCTTTTCCGAACTATTGCAGCGACTTCTCGGTCTCTATCCCAAGCTCTTGTTCCCGCTGCTATCTTGATTCTTGGTATGGTCATTTATACCGGTTTCGTTATTCCAACCAAGTATATGCTTGGGTGGTCCCGCTGGATGAACTACATTAACCCCATCGCTTACTCCTTTGAGAGCTTGTTGGTCAATGAGTTTGCCGATCGTGACTTCGCGTGTTCAGTAATGGTTCCTTCCCAAGGTCCGTATGACAGCGTTCCAATGCAATACCGAAGTTGCTCTACTGTGGGTGCCAGCGCTGGTTCCAGCACCGTCTCGGGATCAGCTTATTTGAAGCTAAGCTTCGATTATCAAAAGAGCCACGAATGGAGAAATTTGGGTATCCTGTTTGCCTTCATGATCTTCTTCTGTGGAGTATACTTGGTCGCTACCGAATACATTTCCGAAATCAAGTCCAAGGGCGAGGTTCTTTTGTTCCGTCGCGGTCACAAACCCGCAAACTTGTCTTTTCCCGGCAGCTCTTCTGATTTGGAATCCTCGATTGGAGGTATCTCGGAGAAAAAGGCCTCCGGATCTGCTCCTGGAACTGCTAATTCGGAATCGATTCTCAACGCTGGCACTGCAACCCCGCCTGCTGAAGCTAAGATTCAAAGGCAAACGGCTATTTTCCATTGGGAAGATGTGTGCTATGATATCAAGATCAAGGGAGAGCCCAGACGAATTCTCGACAATGTCGACGGTTGGGTCAAGCCTGGTACATGCACGGCATTGATGGGTGTCTCTGGAGCAGGTAAAACTACTCTGTTGGATGTCTTGGCTACACGTGTCACTATGGGCGTTGTTTCTGGAGACATGCTTGTCGATGGACGTCACAGAGATCAATCCTTCCAACGCAAAACTGGTTACGTTCAACAGCAAGATGTCCACTTGCCCACGTCTACCGTTCGAGAGGCTCTTGAATTCAGTGCCTTGCTACGTCAACCTGGACATCTCAGCCGTAAGGAGAAGCTCGACTACGTCGATGAGGTAATTCGACTCCTTGGAATGGAGTCCTACGCGGATGCTGTCGTTGGTGTTCCTGGTGAAGGACTGAATGTTGAACAACGCAAGCGACTTACCATTGGTGTTGAGCTTGTTGCCCGGCCTCAGCTGCTCTTGTTTTTGGATGAACCCACTTCCGGCCTTGACAGTCAGACTTCTTGGTCTATCTTGGATTTGATTGATACATTGACTCGCCACGGACAAGCCATTCTCTGCACTATCCATCAACCCTCTGCCATGTTGTTCCAGCGATTTGACCGACTTCTTTTCTTGGCCAAGGGTGGAAAGACCATTTACTTTGGTGATATCGGCAAAAACTCTTCTATCCTATCGAGTTACTTTGAGAGGAATGGTGCCGCGCCATTGCCACAGGGTGAAAATCCTGCTGAGTGGATGCTTGAAGTCATTGGAGCAGCTCCTGGATCACATACGGATATTGACTGGCACAAAGTTTGGCGAGAGAGCCCTGAATACGTTAAAGTCAAGGAACACCTTGCCGAGCTCAGATCTACTCTATCACTCAAGGAACCAGAACCACAAGCCAATGACCCAGGTGCTTACCGAGAATATGCGGCTCCTTTCAGCGTTCAATTGTGGGAGACCATGCGCCGAGTTTTCGCGCAGTACTACCGTACCCCGGTCTACATTTGGTCCAAGTTTGCTCTCTGCGTGTTGACTACTCTTTACATTGGGTTTTCGTTTTTCCACGCCAAGAACACCATTCAAGGTCTCCAGAATCAAATGTACAGTGTGTTCATGTTGATGACCATTTTCGGTAACTTGTGTCAACAAATCATGCCTCTTTTCGTCACTCAACGTTCTCTTTATGAAGTGCGTGAGCGACCTGCAAAGACATACTCCTGGCAAGCTTTCATGATGAGCAACATCATTGTCGAATTACCCTGGAACACACTCATGTCCGTGCTTATGTTCCTTTGCTGGTACTACCCGATCGGACTGTACAACAACGCCAAACCTACCGACGCCGTCACCGAACGCTCAGGTCTCATGTTCTGTCTGATCTGGGTATTTATGCTCTTCACCTCTACGTTTGCGCACATGGTCATTGCCGGTATTGAAAATGCCGAAACGGGTGGTAACATTGCCACGATGTTGTTTTCGCTGTGCTTGATTTTCTGCGGTGTTCTTGCTACTCCTCAGGCCATGCCCGGATTTTGGATTTTCATGTACCGCGTTTCACCTTTTACCTACCTGGTTCAGGGAATGTTATCAACCGGCTTGTCTGGTACGCACGTCCAATGCTCATCCGTCGAATATCTCACCTTCGACCCTGCGCCTGGTTTCTCGACATGCATCGATTACATGAAGGATTATATCGACCTAGCAGGCGGTTATCTCCTTGATAACAACGCCACTTCGCACTGTCAGTACTGCACCATTGGGGAGACGGATACTTTCCTTGCCAGTGTCAACGCGTTCTTTTCGCAAGCTTGGCGCAATTTTGGTCTTATGTGGGTGTACATTGGGTTTAATATCGTGGCTGCTGTGGGAATTTATTGGTGGGCTCGTGTGCCAAAGGGGAAGAAGTTTTCTGGATCTTCTTGATCTTTTCCTATATCTACTCCTGTACACTACAGGGAACTTGCATCTTTCGTTCTCTTGATTTCTGTTTGGATACATGCAATCATCATCCTTCTCTAGTATTTCTTTACTTCTTATACGAAAACTGTCGTCTCGCGACCTCGGGAATTTTCTTTTCTCTTCTAATCACTTCACCGTCTTGACACGTTTCTTGTTACATAGTTCTACTCTTTTTTGACTAGTTGCATTGTGTTAGATTGGTTGGCTTGTTTTTTTGTGTTTGCCTTTATATATTCTAGAAACGGATAGATTTCTGAATTTGAATAATTTAATGTTTTTTGATTCCTCTGCTTTCTAAGTGTCTTCCAAGGTTGTTTAAAAAAATATTAGAAATAAAACGAATACGACGTTACTGGGTTATGCTATCTGGCATTGTAAATCGGCGATGTGACGGGTATGGCAGGGATCCCTCGTGCTGAAATACCAGTTGACGGGCTGAATAAATCCACGCGAGCTTTCAGCTAAACGGAGCGTGTCCGGAGTGTCGGTAATGTGCTCTACGTATTCCAGAATCGTACGAGATGACTAAAGTACAAACTTTCTTTCTTTCTTTCTTTCTTTCTGTCAGGATTGGTTGATGAATCTACCCGATATCTCGAAAGCTGACACCCGCAGTAACTATGTGGCGTCCATGCGAACAGCTGAACATTTCAATCCCACTACGTACGTCTTAGGACCTACGAAGTACTTTTCAGCCTAATAGTACTCAAAACCATTGGCCTGATTCACACTCCGTACGTAGTAGGTAACGCCTTCTATCCGCTCCACTCGTAGGGCAGACCCCTTTTCCATTCTATGCAATCTGATTGGATGATACAATCCTTGTAAGGGGCATGAAAGTGATTTAAGGCTGAAAGCTCATCCCTGTCAAGATCCAATCCTCTTTTTTGGGGAGATCTGACGTGTCAGTTCAGAGTTAAATTACCACGGAAACTTTGAATTTGCTTTTGTTTGTTCATGGGGGATGTATGTATGTATAAGAGGTGAGATTGCCGAAATGCACGTTTCGCATTTAGCCCTACATCCATACACTCTTTCACTCTTTTGTTTCGATCTGTTGTCACTCTTTATTTTTATTATACACTATATCAAATGATCTACTAGATATGCAATATGTCCTATCCCTTCTAAAAACGATGACAACAATTCGAAATGAACAGCACAGCGACACGACGATCCCTACTCTCCTTTTGATATTGACGTGTATCTTCACTACAACATCCGTTTCTTCAACTATCATTCGCTTTCTCGTCCGATTCTCGCATCGATTTAGCTGGGACGATGGATTGATTCTTGCCATAACAGCACTGTTAATTGCGAGGACCGGGATACAGATTTATAGTGTACATCTTTATACTACCTCGCTTCCACCCTTGGTCCCATCCGATATTTTAGAGCGGCTGGGTGAAGAGCAATGGATTACGGAAATACTCTCATTCCCAACTGCGTGTTTATTGAAGTGTTACTTTTGTCTTCTTCTTCCTCTTGTAGCGGGAAGTCGATCGAGAAGGATAGGAGTATGTATAATCGTAGCTGGCCTGATTGTTTCCACGATTGAAGCAATGGCCGTTTATCTTGTTGGATGTGTGCCTGTTAAGACGTATTGGGAATCAAGTATGGGGAGGTGTTGGTCTAAGGGGCTTTGGAGGGGGTCTTTGTATTTTCATCTCGGTACTGCCCCTTTTCTTCGATTCTGAGTGGTTGGCAGGTCTACTGACTTTGAGGATTGAAGTGTATTCGTTATTGTTTGATACAATGGTTACGCTAATACCGCTTGGTATTTCGGTCGTGTACAAGTTGGGTATAAGAGAGAGAATCGTGATGATTGTCCTTGCGAGTCTGGGATGTTTGTTTGTACACCTTTTCCCTCTTCCACGAAGGCAATGACTGACATATCGCAGAGTCACGGCTAGCGCTGTAATTGAGGTTATTATGGTGGATCATTTATCTGGAGGTTCATTACGTGCGTACTTCATTTAATGTGGAAGACGCCGGCTTGTCTTCGGATAACGAGTAGAGAGGAACACTAATATTCTTACAGTCGAATCTTACAAAGCAGCAATATTCGCAAAGTAAGTTATCCTACACTCGGCGTATCAGCTTTACTCTTTCTCTTGCTAATCTGCTTACTGGAAAAGTATCGAACTTCATATCGGGATGATTGCTCTCAATACCGCCTACTGCTACTACCCTCGCCAAAGAAGAATCACAACAAACAAACACAACAGTCTCAATCAATACGGCTGTAGTCTGCGCTCCGACTTCAAAAACTACTCCCTCGACGATGTCAGCAGCGAGACAAAAATCAATAAAACCTCAAGTTCAATATATACCCCCGCAACCGTGCATACAGCCGACACCCAATCCACCATGTCAGGCCATGACAACACCCAAACCAGAATCCTCAAATCACCACTATCACCACTATCACTACTAAAATTGTTCTTACAACGGAACCAGTCTTCATCTTCCGTGCAAGACATCCACGACGACACCGACATATACACCCTCAAAGTCTATGAAGAAGAAACGGAATCCATCCCGCTCAAAGACACAATACAGAAAATAACCGAATACGCGGTTGTGTCAACACGATTATCGGAGTCATCGGTCTATCTGCCAGGGAATGGGAATTGGTTTATCAGTGGGAAGGTGCCTGTATAGAATTTTTGACTGTCTCTATATAATATCCACGATAATTGTTTTCGGGTTCGGTTCATGGTTTGCATACCGGAGTGCTGTACTTGGGTTGCATATGGAGAGGTATTTTCGGTTGTATATTACTACGTAGATAGATTATTATAGAGTAATGTCGCGAGAGATATAATACTAATACAAGACTATACACATTGTGTTTGAGAGAAGACTTTCATGAAAGTAAACATACACGCAACGTGATTGGCTAAATGAAGAAAGAATATAGAAATATACAACCAATCAGAGGGTGATATTACACATTTAGCTCGCGGGGAAATTGTAAATATTGACCAATTAAAATAAAGGATGATTGTCGCCAAGAATGGTGACATTGACCTGTTTCATTGTCTCTGCTCTTGGATACCATCTACTCACGATATATAACAGATTGCATATACATCCCTGGCAAGAAAGTAAATACATCAATGGCAGACCCGAATCCCACAACTGACAAGACACCAATCAAAGACTTCCTCACCCCAATCACAAACACCCTCCAAGAACCAACACTCTACAAACTCTCCCACGAACTCAGCAAAACCTACAAAGACCTCGCAGCTAATTCAACAGAGCAATTCTTCCCTACTCCAATAACGCATTTACCAACCGGTAAAGAGCGGGGAAGATATCTGGCTGTTTATGTTGGATTGTTTTATTTACATGTTGGATTTATTGAATTGTTGGGTTACGACGACCAGAATACCCAAGAAGAGAAGAAGGGGCATAGGAGATGGTTCTCTGTCCGGCGAACACTGGAAAAAGCATGGCCGATCGAAGAGAGATTGAAATTGGAAAATCCGGTGGAATTTTTTGCTTGGATTGGGACTTGTATTGCTGAGGTTGTTGGGGATAGTTTGAGCAGCAGCAGCATTACCAACGAGAAGGGAGTGGAGGAGGAGAGGGAGTTGGTTGCGGGGATATCGTTTTGTTTTCCTATTGTGTGAGTTCCTTCCTTCTTTTTTTTTTTGAGGAGAGGAGTCGGGCTGATTGGAAAGACAAAAATCCCTCGATGAAGCTGTGCTTTTACCAACTGGTAAAGGATTCCAACTCAATTCGAATCTGAATCTTCGTCAGGCGTTATTGGATGGATATGAATGCCATATTAGGCCTCAATCTCCTGAAAATGAGTCCAATCAATGGAATGATTTCATCCGCCACGACGATGACGAAGGAGGAAGAACAAGCAAAAGAAGAAAACATTTTTCTCTTCCCAAACTCAAAATCGCCGCCATGACAAACGACACCGTTGCAACATTCGCCTCTCTGGCTTACAGTATCAAGTCATTGCATATCCCCAATAGTCGAGTCGTGATGGGACTAATGGTTGGAGCGGGCAGTAATGCGACTGTGGCCATGAAAGTATCTGATTTACATCCCTCTAAAACAGAATTCTTCGCCACCACCGCCGTCTCTGAAAAAGACGGCAGAGAGGGTAGAACAGAAACATTGGTCAGCACAGAATGGACTCTCCTCCGCTCCAGCAAACCCCTCCTCGACATGCACATACTCACAAAATGGGACAAAATAGTGGAAGAGTCATCGAAACCACCTGGTTTCCAACCAATGGAATATATAGTCGGTGGTCGATATATGGGTGAACTCGTCCGATTAATTGTATTGGACTATTTCACCAACATCCTGAACATCCCGACAGACGTCCTGCCGTGGCGATTACTCGAAACAGGCGGTCTAACAACAGATTTCCTATCTCTAAATGTCGCTTCGTCCCCATCTACAGCGGACGCTGGGACAGATCGAGGGGAAGATGACCCCCTCGCCAAAGAATTAAATCAACGTCTCCCATCCGCCAAGGGATGGACATGGAATACCGAAAAAGCGAATATATTACGCACAGTCGCGTATGCGGTAATGTCTCGATCTGCGGCTGTGATTGCTGCTGCGACGGTGGGGTTGTTGTCTTGTGTTGGAGAAATTAGTCTCAATGATCCTACTGCCACGAAAAGCAAGGATGCAGTAGAAGATGATCTAAAGGATGAAAAATGGGACAAAGGCCCTGAAGAACTCGTCGTCGCCTTCTGTGGGGGCGTAATTCAGAATTATCCCAGTTACAAAGAGAATTTACAACGATATATTGATCGGTTATTGGTTCATGGGGGTCCGCAGCAAGGTGGGAAGAGTATCTTGCTACGTGAGGTTAGTGATGGCGGTATTATCGGGGTTGGAGTACTAGCCGGCACGGTTATGGGGAGGATTGAGGGGATTGTTGGGTCCAAGTTGTATGATACGTAGAAGAATAGAATATTGGAGAGAGGGTTTGATTTAAGCAGCTATACTAAACTGAGCCCATGCAAAAGTTGAGAACCGATAAGTAAGACTGAGTTCGATGAGCTATCTCGCAAAAAGGAAAGAACTAGGAATGTCAGAAGTCTGAGGGGAAAGAAAAAAAAAAGCTGTCTAAGGAAACAAAACATGAAAAGTCAACCTCCCTCCAATCAACCGTTCTAATCAACCATCTAAAACGGCGGCCAGATCTCACCAAATGAGTAAACCCAGCTACTTGCTCCATTCTTCCAAGTTGTCTCTGGCAATGAAGCACGATGTGAAGGGCATGGAATATGATCAAAACGTATCTTCCGGCAGTTGTAACGACATTTGCATGATGCTGGACCACAGTCTTCAACAATGACAGTATTGGCCACATCGGTTTTATCAACCCAGTCTTGTAGGTGATGTGGATTCGCATGTCCTGCTTTCCCTTTTTTCAGATCATAACCCGCGCCGATACGTTTCATACTCTCGAAGACAATTCGACAACCTTTTGAAGATGTGCGAACATGGTGTTCGAAATTGAAAAAACTCGCTGAACACCTTTTGCAGGTGACTTCAGATTTGTTTTTACCATCATTCCCTAAAATCATGTCAATGTCCCAGCTGCTGTTTTCGTCCTCCAGCATGACCAGCATATCCAGACAATGTGTCACTATGCCTCGATGAGGACACAAGTTTGGAAGCGGGAATACTTTTCCAATCCACTTCAAAATGTCCCTGACTTTCTCTGACTTAATCTCAAGGACATAGCGCTGACGAAAGTATAGATCGTTCTTCGTCCCGCTAATAAACGGCTGCGCACCGATCATGATTTTGTGCGGTCCTGCCATGAAATGACAGTGATGATAGAGGCGTTCGCTCAGACTGTCATCTTCAGGGGTGCGCCCAGATTCCTTGCGTGCGACCGCAAAATCCGCTAACGCCTTCTTGAGTGCTTCAACTTTCTTGTATGTCAATGCAATATGGGGGCAGATGTGTATGAGTCCTGGTGCTCGACAAAGACGCTTCTTCGGAGGATTCTCCCCTATCTCTTCTGAAAAGAATTCCGTCTTCGGATGAAGCATAAGGCACCCTGAGCAACATTTCCAGTTGTGATCCTCTAGTCTCTCAAGCAACTTCCACCGTGGATATTTGAAAAATGGCCATGGTTTGATCATGCCATGCTGTAGAGTGGCACGGGCAGGAAGGACATGCGGGAGGTTATAACGCTCCAAATGCAGTTTATCCTTCATCCACACCCAAAGACTTTTTGTTGTGAGGGCCAGCGAGGTTTTGTCAACAGGGTCGTGAAGATGGTCCATGATTTCCAGTATAATGTCTGGAGGCAACATTGTAAATGGCTGAAAGTTGCGATGGATTTCAGGGGACCATTCTTTGGTGAGGTTGTGAATCATTTTTGTCGAAGTTAGTCGGCGGGCCTTGACATTATCATTCTGCTGATTGACTTGAGCATCAGGCTGGTGTTTAGGCTGACCGCAGTCGTTTCGAACAGAGTTGTTTTCACAGGAATCTGGACCGTCCTTCTGTGAAGTGCTTGAAGTAATAGTCTCTGCTTGAGCATTTGGTCCCTGGCCGTCCTGGTTGGCGTCTTGTTCGGAGTTCTGTTGGGCAATTGGCTGTGGATTCTCCGAATGATTGTCATGCTGACCAAAGCTGCTCTGGTCGGACGTCTGCAATTCATCACCACTCTGCAAAGTGTTCAGAGCAGCGGTTTCTGGCTGAGCGTTCAGTCCATGGTTCTTCTGGTCGGAGTTTTGTTCACTACAATCCTGTTGAGTGGAGGCAACTGAAGGCGGGTTCTGGGTATGATCATTCCGTAGAGGTGCAGCCTGTTGCTTAGATGGACGATTATTCGGCCCCTGACGGCCTCGATGCCTTTGATAACCAGCATTTTGATGGTTATTGCCTTTCGGACCGGAACCTTGATGACTTGAAGTCTGTGAAGTTGCCTTCTGGTGACTCCCTGTCTGAGGCTTTTTCTCACCAGATGCTTGTCGATGGTGGGTAGATTGTTGAGCAGACTCCTGCTGGCCGTGACCCTGTCGAGGGTGACCTTGACGAGGGGCAGAAGACTGACGATTGTTTTGACGGCTTCCTTTTCGAGGACGATTTGGAGATTCCCCCTGCGCCATGGCGGTGATTGGATGAATCATATCACCACCTGTGACTGGGCCCAGAGAATGACGTAGTTATCAAACGAGTTGGGAGGTGAAGGCTAGTATGGTTCAGAGAGGGGAATAATGAAAAAGAAGGGAGGTAGTTCTCAATAAGAGAAGTGAAGTAGATGGGAGGGAAATAAAGAGAAGAACTAATTGTGAGGGGTTGGGGAGAAGAGGAAGGAAGATTCCGCTCAATACTCAGTGACTGCCTGAATAGAACCTCAGGCAGCCATCACGGGCTCCAACAAAGGAAATTTTGAAAGGAGAACAGCAGAACAATCCCTTGCCTTTGTCAATAGTTAGCCCTTGATCTATTGTTGTTTAGCGTGTGAGAGTGTCTTGTGACGGAGATGTCAGGATGGTACTTGAGTTGAGGCTTCAAATGTAGGTAGTCACCATAACATAAAGTAGTTTGTTTCTCAGTGACTGCTAGACATGAGAAGGACTTGGCTGCAACTGTCCTACTGATATCAGGTTCTGAACTGGTTCAGGATCGCTCTCTATCCATGGTTGAGTATCAGTAGAATACCTCGATTAGCTCTACCACGTTATCCAGAGTTCAACTTTCCAGCGGTTGACTTGACAACTACCGTAGATCTCAGTTATTTGAGAAAATCTAGCTTACTAAGTGGTGATCTTAGAGGAACCTGGAAAGTGAAATCCATCTACCCAAGCAGCGTTCTGATGACGGTTACAGTCCTGTACTGTAAGAGTCCAATCTCTATTCTTGGTTACATCTCATTTTGCTGTCTTCTCTGACTTTCGAATGCCAGCTGACTGTTTCTTTCCGAATTGATAGTGACTATCAATTCCGACATGTGTGTGGTCACTGGTGAGTTTAGGGCTTAATTTGCGGATGCTGGATATACAACAACCCTAATCGACATCTCGCTTGTATGATTGACTCAGTTCGCAAAGTCATCTGATGTAAATAAGACGTCTCTAAGTCTGATATTTTTACCTCTTCTACTTCAACATGACAGGATGCATGCTAATTCTGTATGCTGATTGATATGATCATAATTATTTACTTTGTTTATTTGCTTTTCAAAACTGCAAATCAGCTGCTCAATATGGTTTAGTGTCTACAGTCCGCTGTATGACGCGTTTAATTCAGGGGAAACGCAAGTCTGTATAAAACCCCCAACTCATCTCAATCCCGGCATTTCTCATAGGGAGTTTACTAAAATTGTATAGCAGATCGACTCTAGCGAAAAGCTACACGTCTTAATATCATTGTCTTTCAATCAGCACACAAACATGCCCCCCAGACGCGCACCTCCAACCTCAACAGACGCGTCTGATGCGTCCAATGCGTCCAAAAAGGCAAAAACTGCCAACCCTATGACTGGGACATTCGATCCAGATGTCCCTAGAAGTAAACGCTGGTCTGATTTTTCTGGATCCGCGAATGCCGATTACCGTTACCGAGTTCAAATGAAAGATCCCGAAGTAGCGTACTCGTTTATCTGTATTTGTCAACCGCCATTCTTCGATGACGATGAATACGACTCGGAAGAAGAGGACGAAGACAAGGATGAGGGGCCGACAAAAGACACAAGTAATCAAGAAAAACGACGCTGTGATGGTGGCGTTACTTGTATCTGCGAGAAACCGGCCGCAGACCATCCAGAGCACACATGGGTAATCAGCAAAGCAGGACATAGCAGATACTTCACCCAGAGGATTCATCTCTCACTACGATGTCCCGACATGTTTGAGATGTATACTTTCAACGACCATGAACCTTACGGTGTGATTGAAGTAGTCGAAAATATGATTATGGATCATGTCGAGGCTGGACGGAAGAAGAACTGGAAGGAGCAGTGGGCTATCTGTGAGGCGATGGCGTTGATGTTGGCGGGTGATGTTTTGAATCCTATGCAGATGTACATCCTCTTGCCCGAAAGAAAGAAGAAGGAGACACTGACGACGGTAGGGCTGATGACTCGGAACGAGTCTGCGAAGTACTCTCTCTTATCCTACGCATGTTCCTCTGCACACTCTCATACCTCGAATACATGTCCCTCCTCAAACCGGACCCCGAAATCAAAGATCTCGGCCCGATCATGGGTCTCTACATCCACAGCTTCGAACAATGGCAAGACGTAGTATCATTGGAATCATCCCGCGCAGCCCCAACAGGCTCACGCCGGAAGTTCGTCATTTCCAAATTTGACTCTTATGTCGCAGCTTACGCAAAGAAATACAACATCACCATCACCGGCCCACCAGACATCACCGAAAAAGTCGCAGAAATCGAAACAGACGATATCAAGCTGCCGTCTTGCGACTTGAAGGACCCTTGGTGCTGGACAAAACCGTTTAGTGAGTATAGAGAGGAATATGGATATCATCCGTATATTATTGCCAGGAGGACCAAGTCGATTGGTGGCGATCGGTATGATGTTACGGCATGGCCTAGTGAGGAGAGGAAGATGCATAGTTTTACGAAGAAGGATCCGCTTGGGGCGAAGGAGATTGCGGCTCTTAAGGCAGGGTTGGTTTTGGAGATGATGTAGCTGGATAGTTCTTACTATTTTACTTTGTGTATTACAGTAGGAACCTGGCTATAACGAAAGGAAAGCCACTCCGCAATTCCACTAATATCAGCTTGGATGACTTTAATATGGAACTGTAGTCTCCGACTTGTTAATACTAAAATGGACTAATATATTGGAGGTGCCCTTCATCCCTAAATCGAACTCACGTCTGGATATATAGGCTTCGGCCCTGAGAGGCCCTCTGTTCGTTATAGCCAGGCTCTACTTATAAATCATTGTTTATTGATGTGCGGGAATCAGGTTTGACAAGTTCAGTATCGTCACTGTAGAACAAATGATGACCATCAGCAGTTGGGTAAGGCCAATTGAAACAATCACTGAACACCTACGGGGAGAATCGGGTTTATGTATATTTCGCTGTGTTTCTCTGGCCGGCAAACCCTAACACCAGCCCCCAACACACGGATTACCCCGATAAGGAAAATGGAGAGCAACCAGTCCCACGGGGAGGCTGGAGCCCTCTTCTACCCTTTTACCAAAGTAGCGGCTCTAGCGAGTATGCTGCCTAAACATATAATCGAAATGTCTCACTTGCAAGTCATCACCGAACAGTCCCCGATTCAGACACATCAACTCCCTTTCGCGTAAGCCAAGGACAAAAGCAGTAAGCTCGCGAGGCCGTAAAAGCATGCTGATTTCCTGTTTGGATAGTCGTAGCGATGTCGTATTGTTTTTTGTCTCTTTTTGTCATCATTTTATTATTCTTGTCATAGAAACGCGATAAACGAGACGAGTAAAGAGGTGGAGCCACGTGCATAGGGCCAATTGAGACCGTTGAGGCTAAATGCCGTGTGCCAACTCATGCAGTTGCATATGTATGTCTTGGATCTTTTCTTAGTTGCAAGTCACACAGTATGCCACGGACTCTACTACTACGGTGTACTTGACATTGTACGACTGACTGAATATCAATGTTGAATCACAGGATGAGTTGGTATGAGTCGGTTGGATAGTTTCAATAGTCGATGGAGTAGATGTTGAAAGTGGATGACCTCATGGCATCTGTCAGCCCTGGGTCTAGCACAACTGACCAAGTGGGTATATACGAGTCGTGGCTTGAACTAACCACTGTTCTGGATCTTGTCAATCAGTTGTTGCTAGGCTGCTCCCAAGCGGTACTATCTATCAGCATGTTGCCATGTACTATTGAAGTAAGCGACATGGATTCCTGGACATGATCACCGCTAGTTGTACACCGTAGCACCACTTTACTATTGTCTGTTACCCAGAGTATTATTATTATATCTTCAAGAGGAGGAAAGAAAGGCTGTAGAAATATTCTCGCCACCAGGCAGAAAGACAGTAGACAGACATATTGCTAAGAATAGAGGTACTCGGGAACCCGAGAGACACCGGTACTCGGCAGCTATTCAGACAGATACGAGATGAGAGTCATGGAATCATAGCTACCTGACTAAAAAAACAATTAATCAATTTTGAGGTGTTTAATTCGTGATAAATAATAATAAAATTCTTGGATGAAGACGATCAAGTGAGACAGTCCTTACCCAATGTGGACTAGATCCGTTTATTAGCCCTAATTTTTTTTTTTTTTCCATTCTCTCACCTCCTTTTGAGTCTTGACAGATGAAGTACCACGGATTGACCATTGATGCTACACCCGTGATATGAAACTGCGTAATTACATTCATGCTATTCAATATGCAGTTTGAAAGAGATTAAATGTATCTACCCGGTCAAAAATTTGAATTCAACAACACGAGGAACCGGCGGATCCAAGATCCACCCGGCCTGGTTCGGCTGTGCATACGATGGAGCCTCTATCAACGCCACTTTATCTATACACCATCGGCGAACAAAAGCAATACGTACGTACAATAACGTATTCAGCGTGGGCAATTGTCCAATTGACCTGCCACTCGGCTCTACAACCACTCAGAATGCCGAAAATGGGCCACGATCCCAGACCCGGTCTTGGAATCTGTCTAGATTGTCTCGGTGTTACTTTCTACCCTTATCAATCATGGCATAGCGCGAGATATTCTAGAAAAGGGTCGTACGAAAACAGGCGTCAGTGGAAGATGCGCCCCCCGCTCTACCTTCCATGGAAAGTTGGCATTAGCCCTGTCTCGTGCTTACTGAGCACAGAGCAGGGTGGTGGAGTGATATAAAGAACCTGGTCTCTCTGGATCTGGTACTAAAGCTTTCATCTTGATTTTTCACGCTTGTCGATACCTTCGTTCGCTATATCCTGATCAGCCTCACTCGCTTTGGCTTGCATCTCGAAGACTATCAGCATCATAAAGAATCACATACTCGAAGGACTTAATTAGTTGAGATGCGTTCTGTCCTCGTCAACGCAGTCCTCATCGGCTCTGCTCTGGCCTACCCAGGCTACTGGGCTGAACGCAGACATTATGGCACCGGCGTCCCCCCCCCCCTCTCAACCGGCGTCAATCCTCCTCCTCCACCCCCAGTGACCAGCACCATTACCTCCGTCACCCCTGCAACCACCACTACAACAGGTACAGGTGAATGGAGCACCGCAACTCAAACCGAAACAATCACCAAAACCACTTTTGTCCCTTGCTCAACTTCGGTCGGTACTCGCGGATCATCAACTGTATGGTCAACATGGTTGTCGTCGACGACTACCTGCTGGACTTCGACCTGGACTACCGTTGTACCTGTTACAACCTCCACAGCAACGGCAACCGTTGTCCCTGTCGCCCCCGGTGGTGGAAATACGTGTCCGTTGCCGGTTACTACGACTCATACTGAGACTACGACTGCAACTGTGACCGTGACCGCGCCTGCTATTACTGTTACAGCTACAGCTCCAGCTCCCGGTGGTGGAGAGACGACCACTACAACAGTCGTTCCTCCCGCACCACCTGCAGAGGGTACCTCTACCGCAACCGTGACTGGAACTCATACCGGAACTGCTACTCATACCCACCCTGCCACTGCTACCGGAACCGAGACTGGGACTGCACCTGGTGGCGGTGCCCAGCCAACTACATCTACCCTCACAACTACCACCACCGAACCATGCACGACCACCACAACGACTAGCACCGGCATCGTCGGTACTGGCGGTACTACCACTAGCACATCAACCGGTCCCGTCGGCACGGGTGGAGTGACGGGTCACAAATGGAGTATGAGGAAGCCTCTCGTTCACTAAACTCTGAGCATTACGCCGGTTGATTAGTGAACGGAAGGAGGATAATTATTATATCCCCCTCCCCTCAAGCCGAAAATACAAAAAAAAAGAAAATGGAGAGAAAATGAAGAGATTATGGATTCATGAATGATTACGATGTGTTTTGTACACAGCTAATACTTATTACTTATTACTATTCATCTACCTCGATTTGTACACTCCCTTATGATTGATGCATGGACAATTGGCGTTTTACTTTACTTCTCTGGGATGGTTTGTGCTCGTGATTGGAAACGAGATACGCTCCTTTAGACTAATAGTTACATAGTTGCAATCTAGTTGGTTAGCTAGGTAGTACATTTTGCATCATAGAAGAGGTTTTAAGGGTTACACTGCTCACCGCGTACCTGCTTGCTTGCTTTGTGTGCTACGTGGATGGGTACATGGGTGTTGGATATGGGTAGATGTGATACTTTCTTCGTTGTGTTCCTAGTAACCCTCTAAACTTCACGGATTGATATAGCCATGTTAGAAGAGAACAAATCCTATGTCTGATCTGGAGATTATTACTTCCAACTCTGAACCATGACCTACTAAAATCCGTACATTTCGATATCAGTAATGCCCAGGTGGTGTTAGTCTAAGACATTAGAGATAGGTAGATGAGGACTGTTAAAGAATTTGTCTACACATGGAAGATATTCGTAGATTATAGGAAACGGGACGAAGGACTTAATTCTTTTTTTGGATCATCATAAAACCCTTTCCCACGGGCGAAGGACTGATAAAAGTACAGTTCGATATCAGATAGGTGATAATATTGGCCTCTAAAGCAGGACATCATATTCCAGAAATTTACTTCCAATTTTGAACCACGAAATTTTCCAAGATCACGCGTTCTGATATTTGTATCAGCAATGATACCAGTCTTGGGCGTATCATGACTAAGGTATTGCACATGGGTAGATAAGGATGGCTTAATAGTCTTCTTATACATGGGAGATAGTTGTAGATTGTAAGACAGGGACTGAGGTGGCCTTTACACATTTAAACTCGATTGATGTGGGTTCGCTTCTGCACATGTGCATACAAGTAGCTTAGTAACCAATTGGTAAAGTCATATTCTTCTGATTGTCTGTCTCTTCTCTTAATGAGACCCCGACGCGGTCTATATAGTCCTTGCTTGACGAGGTCACGTGTACCTTCACGTGACCTCTCCTTGGTTCGCGTCGGTGCCAGGAATCTCGATTGCACCTATAAACCAACAATTGAAGTAATACCCTAAACATGAGTTGTTACTGGCACAGAAAGATGATGACACATAAGACTGGTGATTGATTACTTCCAACTTTACTCAAAGCCTCCCTAATTGACCAGCCTGAACAGCACTGAGTCCTGGAAACTATGTTGGAATTGTCTAGGACGTTATGTTTCTACTGCTTTTATCTCATTCGAAAGCAAGCACAGCATTCATTTCTTCTCCTCATATCAAGGGTACCGATATCTGGAAGCGAGCAGGCTTCAGGATGCGCAATAAGTGAAAACTCCATCCATTCTTCATTCTCATCAACGGTATCACCGTTGACTAATTTTGCTCATTCTATGACAGGTGGTAATGAAAGACCTATGACCTGATCTTCTCAGATACACTCCCCTCACCATTCCGTCATCTTGTTCGAAATGCAATCAAAAAAATAGTTGGAAAACCGACTGAAAAAGAAAAAAAAAGATTTATTCTGGCTCAAAAAGAAATCGTCTCGTAACATGAACAGCGAAATATCCGCGATTCTCCTGCCGGTCTTTCCATAGACAATAGGTATAAATCCTTCTCACAGACACAGTCATGGTCCTTTCCTTTCCTTTCTGTTACTCCTTAGACTATTTTCCATCCATTCGTCAAGATGTTTTTTCTGCCGGGAAATGAAATATCCTCGAATTTTTTTTCTTTTGTTGGTTTAGAGAGTAAAGCGTCTATCGGAGACGGCGGGCTTCACGCTCGGATTCGAGGAGGCAGAGAATATCGTCTTCGCGGACTGTATTATTTTCAACGTTAGAAAACTTCCGCGCAATATTTACTCGTTATTTGGACGTAAAGATACGTACCGGGTCCCTTGACGTTACGGATGATGGAACGGGTCTGGTCATCCATGAACTCAACGCGGACTTGGGTAACACCACCGCGAGAACCTGTTTCGAATCATTAGTTTTTCCGAATCTGGCCGTATTTTGGATTCAAACAGGAATTGGATGCGCGGAGAGCGAGTGGAATAATCGACAGAGACTGAAAGGGAGAAGTAGAATAGAATTATCCTTTTGTCCAAAAAGTCGCCATTCCGTTTCGGTTCATGTCGATACGTCGTTTACCCAAATGATCCGATTTCAGACTCCTTTCCTAGCAAGCTGTCGTATTTCAAATATTCTCCTCTTCTTCTGTTTCTCTCCCTCTGTGTCGCCAGATTCTCACTTCCGCGCATCCATTCCCCCTTGTCCATGGCAAAAAAACGTACCAGTTCGGCCCAAAACGCGGGTGACCTTGACAAGCTTAACAGGAACCTTGGCAGAATCCATCTTGATAGTAAGAAAATGTACTCGAAGTGAGTTTCGAAAGTAACGTTAAGATGGATGGACGACGACGACGACGACGAGCGACTGACTAGAGCTTGTTATTGTTCGGTTTCAAGAGTTTCTGTCAGTTTTTCGTTTTGCTTAGCGGAGTTCACTGATTGGGGCTTGGCGCGAGTTTACTCTTTTGGATCGTGCGATTAGGGCTTCTGCGGGAGAAGCCCTGGAATAACGGAATGGGTTAGTGTGTAATTTGTTGATTGGCTGGATGACGGAGCCAATCATATGCTGCTTTTTGTACTTCATGTGGCTCAATTGGATTTTGTTTAGAAGTTCGTGAAATGCTTGTATTGCTAGCTACTGAATTCCTTATTCCTGATTGCAGGGGAGTACCATGTCAAGTATGGACCTGTAGAGTTAAAAAGCTGCACTACGATGCTAGAAAGGTTAGGGTTCGAGTTCATCACGTCGCATAACAAGTTCAAGTAGAAAGGACAGTCGTGGCAGAATCTCCTGAGAGTGGAATAGAATCCGTAAAGAGCGAGTAGTCCTCTCCTTCATATAGCGATAAGAGGCGAAATAATGCAAACCCGCTGGGTAAATGGTTAGCAGTACCTAGTCGAGAATTGACACTCGATCATTCAAGCGCGGTTGTGTTGCTCGAACGGTATGCAATTGACCTCGACCAGTCGTACGAGGGCGTCAATGTGCTCAAGTTCCGCCACATCAGGCATTTACCTGTCACACAGCATTGACATTTTGCAAAAAATTGTGTCTCGAGAGCATGAACACTACCACCATAGAGATTCTTTCGCCATACCGGAGACGGGGTTGTCAAGCCGATCTGATACGATGTATAAACGGTTCTTCTCAATGACGATGCGATCGGAGAAGATACCGAAAAGGCCTGTATACAACGAGTTCGAAATAGAGAATCTTCCAGCCTCGGCGGCTTGAGGGAGCCTCCTTGCCCTCAAGCCGCCGGGATTTGGAATTTGTAGCTTTGCGAGACTAGACTAATATCAAATCCCGGATCCGCGACGAGCGAGTCAGCAATGGTGATCACACCGAGCAGATAATGAACCGACAACTTCCCTTGACATTTCGTCGTCTGAATTAAATTTCGATGCGAGGACCAAGGAGAGGACACGGAACATTCGTGATCGTGTTGCTGATTTCTCATGGTATGCGTCGAACGACAATTAAAACCATCAGCACCCCAGTCAGCGCTCTGACTGACTCCCTACTGCGTCCTGACCATGCAGCAATGTACCGGCATACAAGTGCAGGCAATATTGCAAGGGGATATGCAGTTCGCAATTCACAGCTGGCAGTTTGTCTGACACGTTGAATGCTAGAGAAGCTGTGGAGAGAGCAGAGAGCAGAGGGCGAATCACGGGATGTGCCGCACATGGCGTACTCTTGCAACTTTGCCACAACGTCCTCTCTTGATTCTCCCACTACAACCACAGCGTTTCCATAGAACAACAGCAAAAATTTTCCTCTGCGAACGCTCCAGGCCACATTCCGCCGATATATGGTCGATGTCTCCGCTACCGTGTATATCCTGAAAACTCGTCGAGCACAAAAGACATCCACCTCGAACCGGCGTACGCGCATTCGCCACCGGCCCCTTCTCCGCGGATCAGAAACGTCTGTTCTGACCTCCCCTTCTCGAGGATCGTCTGGTGCATGCTGCTTGATTCTCTAGGAAACGAGCTGCAATCAATGAGATCTCACGCATCCCTGTGCAACTCCCACATCATGCTGACTGGATTGTTACGCTGACCGCCTTTCTACCTGATGTGGCAAGCCAACGTCAGTCTCACAACTTCCTGATATCATACACCTTCGACATCCAACATATATACCTGCGACCCCAGGGCGCATGACTTGGGATATGCTCTTCCTCGATAATCAACAGGCTCGACGAATCTGGCGGTAGGACACGTCAATGTGTCACTAGGTATATCGCCACTTTCGCACCGGATCGCCGATGGCAGTGTAGCTTTGTGACTTGTAGAAGTTCTCGTAGTGACCGCTATGTCTATACCATCAGAGGTCACCGCTCATGCGCCGCCTGTGCCGCCTATTCCACCTGCTGTCGCTTGTATGTTGGGTTTCAATTGTTGCCCGGCAAACGTCCACCCTTCCCACATGTAAGGGGACCCGCACAATGATGGCATGAAATATACAGTACTCGTCGCTCGATGGGTGCAGAACGGGGGCGGCTACCGTGTTCCGCTCATTCAGCACAGCAGCAAAGTGCCGTCCGGAAGACACTACCTAGTTTAAAACGCGGTGTTGGGCTCGGAAAGAAGGAACTCCATCAGGACGCCGGTTGTTGCAAGAAAGAACGGACAAGATGTAATGTGGCCTTTCCTGCGTTCGGGCAATACTGAACCCCACAGGACCCTTGTTCTTCCTTGTGCAAGGAAGAAACGGGGAGATTGAGCTCGAGACGGCTTCTGTAGAGAAATTGCGCAGAATCGACTCCTTTTGTCGGCCGAAGACGAAGGAGTATCAGAGCGGTGAGTCTTCTAGTTGGTGATATCGAACTGGCATCGCAAACCGACGGAAGTGGAACGATTTTGATAGGTGGAAGTCGATTCCTAGCGAGGGTGAAAAAATTTGGCGGATCTGGAAATGTCACTAGAAATAATTGATTGTTGGCTTCAGATTCACCTTAGTGAGCTTACCAACCTTCGGCGGATGGGCCTTGCAAGGCAGGGCATCCAATACAGCCTCTCATTATTCATGATCACGATCTGACCCTTGATGCTATGACTCGACCCGCAAGAGATATATCCGCTCGCGCCGCCACAGCAACCAGTGGAACAGAATCACATTCTGTAGGGTACAGCTGAATTCGGACAAGCTCCTGACTGCGTCGACCGTTGACAAGCTGACAACGATGTTGAAAGTCTGTCCGTGATGGCAACCATGAAGAGTATACATGTACGTAGGGTACGGCGTCAAATTTGCAAGTGCAAGACAACCCGAGTCCGCTTGTTATTTTCACTCTCTGCAGCCCAACGGATCACACGATGGGTGTTATTTCCAGCTCAGCCTGAGTGGCCTGAGCAAGAAGATATCCATTAGAACAGAGGCCAGACCCGCTCTGCTCGGCCAGATTTATCCACGGTTCATTCTTCCAGCCTACCAAAACGGCGGGAATGCATTTTACCAAATTCTACTGACTTCTTCTTTTCTCCCCGGAGCTTGTTATCTCGTAGTCTATAGGTTGTATCACTGCATATTCGTTTTGCATTTTTGTACCTCGAAATAAAATAGGGGGGCAAAAAAAAGAGGGAAAGGACAGAAAAAGGAAGGTCCCAGGTATTAACGTGTTGCCTCCTATGCTGTTTCGGGCCGACGATGCCTTATCCCCTCCCCAATGGAGTTGTATTATGTATTATTTTCTTCTATCTTCACCAAATAGTTTAATTTCTCTTAGCTCTCACTGGGTTGCTTGATGCTCTACTGAGAAAGACAACGATGGGCGACGAACATCAACGTCCTCCACGTCGTCCATCAATAGCGGTCAATCAACTTGTTGGCAATCTGGACAGTTTCCCACTTCTGTCAGATTCCACGACCACTTCTTCCTCGTCTGCGTCTGCAACAGGCATCATCGTGGGTGACTCGTCTCGATTCCGCGCTCCTAAAGATCACCATCAACACCACCACCACCATCACCAACATCATCACCCCTCCTTGACCCGCGCTGCAGCAGCTGGAGGAGGTCCTCCCGCCAAAGTTGCCATCCCCAGAGCCCCGAATCTTTCGGAGCAGTCAAATGTAAACAGACGGGTTGGTCATGCCTGTGAATCTTGTCGAGAGCAAAAGACCAAGTGTAGTGGCGATCGTCCAACATGTCAACGATGTCAAGATCTTGGTCTGACCTGTCTTTATGGTGACCGCAAGCGAGAAAGAACAGCAAAGTCGCTAACCCAATATCCCGTTTTGCTCTTTTTTTTGCTTCTATTTTCTCGCACATTGTTAAGTTTTTGGAATTTCCTTTCTTGGCTAACTTATTTCTTTTTTTTGTGTTTGGTCTATTAGGCAACTCAGAGATCTTTCGAAGCAGGTACAAGAATATGAACAACTTTTCAATGAATTGCAACCAAAGCTTGACCCCGAAGACAGCCAACTCGTCCAAGATCTCTTATCTAAAGTAGGTTACCTATGTTCTGACAAGCTTATATTCCCTTTCTTTGTTCTTCTTGCCTATACTTCCCGCCCCGGCAACAACCTAACGTAGCCTCTGTAGTATAAGATTGATGACGGGTCCATTGTCGAAGAGATCTCAACGCCGGTGACTCGGTCAGGCCCATCGGACTCAGGTCCTTCTGATGCAGACTTTACAGGAACAACAACATCGACGGTACGACATATTGTGACCAGCTTTCTTAGCGGAGCCGACTACACGGAGGAGGACTTCAATCGTAATGAACGCTCCAAAGCCCTCGGTTTTGTGGGCAAGCATTCCGAAACGTCCTGGTTATACCATCTGAAACGCGACCTTGAATTCAGTACTTCTTCTTCATCCGGCACGAGCAGCGTTGATAACCCCCTGAACACACCGGAAGATCAAGACCGTAACTCGATTGCATCCGTGAGTTACTTTTTAGATGACGACGAGATCCCTATACTTGACGACGCAGAACCTTTAGCACGGCCACCACAAACGATTGCGAATAGTCTGGTGCAGACTTTCTTTACTACCGTGTATCCAACATTCCCGCTCATAGTACCGGAGACATTCATTCGACAGGTGAACACCTTTTATGCGAGTTCCTTCGTACGGCCTGGTCGTAGATGGTTAGCAATCTTGAATTTGGTGTTTGCTACATCGTCGCGATGTCTTCATCATCGGATGCAGTCGAACTCGATGGTGGCAAACGATGATACCTTAGTGTACTTTTCTCGGGCATGGAAACTTGGTATGAAAGCGAATGCGCTTTTGGATCATCCGGACTTGCAACAAGTGCAAATTGAGGGATTGCTGGCTATTTTTTTGCTGGCGTCAGGACATGTCAATAGGTTTGCATTTCCCGCACCGTGGTGGTCAGAGAGCACAGCTAATAAGAACAGGGCATGGCGAATATGCGGTATTGCGATTCGATCAGCGACAGCGATGGGACTCAACCTGCGTAGTGAGAGCAATTACGTGACACTCGCCTCTAAAGAATCCCGCTACAAAGTCTGGTGGTCTCTTTACACCCTCGAGACGATCCTCGGTAACATGACTGGTCGACCGTTGAACTTGGAAAGAGACTTTTGCACAACACCGTTGCCGGTACCATTCGAGGAACACGAGTACACCGACCAAAAAGTGATTCGCATCATGACAGATCACAAGATTCGAAACAGTCTTCTAGGGCACGTCATTACACGACCAGTTGGTGAGACGCCCGCAACAGTAGACGCGCAATCCGTTCGAAACGCGATGGAGATCTTGAAACCGAACATGACGCTCTACTTTGTATGCTACGTTGATCTCACACGAATCATTCGAGAGACCGTCGAGACTCTGTACGCCCCCGAAATCGTCCAGAATTCAGCCCGGGACGCCGAGACCGCCATCACAGACGCAAACGCTAAGTTAGATACATGGCTTTCCAAATTACCTGCTGGATTCCGAATTTCAGAAGACGAAGGAGGCGTGGCACACGATCGATATAGTCTCGGTCTGGCGCTACATTATTACAGTGCAAAGATGTTGGCATGCAAGCCCTGCTTGCATTACTTTAATAAACCGCCTTCATCGACACTATCTTCTTCTGGAGATGACACCTTCTATACTCGCATCGCCGCATCCTGCGTCCAAGCAGCGTGTCGAATGCTGGATCTCTTCCCGGCCGAATTTGATGGCACATGGCTCAATCAACTCGCTCCGTGGTGGTGTATGCTTCACTATACCGTGCAAGCCACTGCTGTTCTTCTAATTGTCTTCCCCCTTCATCCTCCCGGATCAATACCAAATGCCGCCAGACAGGCGTTGGAGAAGGCTGCTAGTTGGCTTAATGAGATGGCGCGCAGAGATTTGGCATCCCAACGGGCTTGTACTGTTTGTGGTGCATTGTTGGCGAAGCTTTCTGGTATGGCTGGTAGGACTGCGGTGGTGGGAGAGGGATATCTTTCTGAAGTACGCCTATATCGCTGATGTTTTTCAATTTGGCTTGTAGCGGAAAATGCTTCAAGTGATGCTAATCCGTTTTCAGGATGAGACATGATTTTGATTTGTTTTTTTCTGAAAAGGAAGAAATATGTGGGTGGTAGGATCTCAATGGCCAGAAGATTCTTTTTAATCATCGAGTGTCGGTCCATCATTATTGACTTCACAATCGTAAAGTTGATTCGGATTCGCGTCTTCGATTCGGTTAGGGTAATGGATTAGCTACCTATCACTGAATGCGAATCCCTCATGGAGAAAACGAGAGACTGTTGAATCGACACATATTTACCACCGCCAACACAAACACTAAACCTCACCATGCATTCGCGTACATTCAACATCAACGTTCAGCGTTTTATCTCTTGCATATTTCTCCCTCATCCATATTTCCTATTGCGTTGCATTAAATCATTTCCAACAGCGTATATCCAGTACACGCCAAGATATAAGTCTTTGTCTTTGTTCTAACGGCCTCCTCCATGCATATAAAGTCATGTATCTTTTCCGATTCATCATATCATTGTCATATCCACCGATTTTTGTGATTCAAGCATAGCGCGGGGCCAATTATTTATCGGAAGGTGGAAGGGGTTGGTGTTGTTGCATCAATTGAAGATATACTTTTTCTTCGCAGCTTTTTTCGTTCTTTCTGGCATAGGAGATCAGTCTTTTGATTGTATTTTGCGGTATTTGGGAGAAAGGGGGGGGGGGCAAGCCACTCTTTGGACTTACTTATCTCGGATTCATTCCAAAGACCAAATTGCATGCCATTCCCCTTTTTGGACGCAAAGTGTCTTGTAATTGTTAGGGTAGATCGCGCATTGTAACGTGACAAGAGTGACTGAAGATGAA